AGCACTGGAAGACTCACAGACTGCTGCAGACTCCGCTGCTGACCAGCAGCAGCAGACTGCCGCTGCAACAGCAGCAAGTGCTCCAAGTTTTGCTGCTGCTGCAGCTCATACAGCCGCTGCCTGTGACGGCTTTCGCGCTTCAGAAGCCTCGCATTTGGTATCAAGGCTTCGCCGCTTGCAACAGTCTCCCCTCGTGAGCTGCGTGGCAATGCAGTAGCCGTGAGGCTGCCAGAATCAGACGCTTTCCGCTTCCCATGCAGCTTCACAGTTGCATGCACATCAGTTCCGCTGGGTAGGGGGCACGCTTTTTCCTCTGCCCCACACGCTTCGCTGTCACTGCGCTGCTGCCGCTTAACTCTACAGCGATGCTTAGTACGCTGCTGCTGCTGCTGCTGCTGCTGCTGCTGCTGCTCTTCCTCCTCCTGCTGCTGATGGTCGCCTGCTGCGTCCTCCCGTGTACAGACACCTCCATAAGAAGTGACAGCCATAGTGCCCTCCTGCCCTCCGCGCTGTTGTTGCAGCTGTCGTTGTTTCTGTTGCTGTTGTTGCTGTTGTTGTTGCAGCTGCTGTTGTTGCAGCAGCTGTTGTTGCAGCCGTTGTTGGTGTTGTTGCTCCTGCATGCGCTGCTCTAGGGAGAGCAGCAGCTGCTGCTGCCGCGCTAGCATTTCTTGCGTTTCCAGGATGTGCTGCTGCATCTGCAGCAGTTGCTGATGCAGCAACTGCTTCTCCTCGTGGTGGTGGAGTGTCATGCTGCTGCTGCTTCGGCGCTTTCGCCGCTGATGCTTCCGTTCTGTCGCTGTTCGCGCAGCCTCTTCTACTGCGACGTCTGCTGTCGCCAGCGGTTCTGCATGTCGCTTTCCTGGTGCCGAAGCGGCTGACACTGTAGGGGATGCAGGAGGGATGCTCAATGCTTCTTGCGATTGTTCAAGAATTTCTCCCAGAGGCTTCGTCTGCTGCCTCTGCAGCAAGAAGTAAGGGCCGTCATCGTCTTCTTGCGAAACGTTTTGCAGCCAATCCTGCGAACATATGCCCCCCGCGACAGTGTGGCGTCGATACATTTGAATTTGCTGCTGCTGCTGCTGCTGATGTTCGTTTTGCTGCTGTTCATGTTGTTGCGAATCGTTCGGCAGCAGCACTGCCTGAACAGTAGAGCGAGCCAGGCGCCGCTGTGTAATCTGCTGTTGCTGATTTAGTGGCAAAGACAGCGATGAAGGACGCTCAAGAGTCGTGAAAGACGATGCAAGCAGTGGGGGAGACGACGCAGGTGATGCAGAGCTGCCCGCTTTTGTTGCTCTTGATGCTCCTCCTGCTCCTTTTTCTCCTCCTGTTGCTGTTGCTGCTACTGCTACTCCTGCTGTTTCTGCTCCTTTTTCTTCTCCTGTTGCTGCTGCTCCTTTCTCTTCTCCTCCTTTCGCTGCTACTCCTGCTGTTTCTCCTCCTGTTGCTGCTACTCCCGCTGTTTTTTCTGCTCCTTTTCCTTCTCCTGTTGCTGCTGCTCCTGCTGCTCCTCCTCCTGTTGTGCCACTAGGCTGCTGCTTCAACAAAGACTCCCCCTGTGCCCTCATCCAGGGAGAGTCAGGGGGAGGCCTGTAGCTGTGATGCTGCAGCATCGCCTCGAGACGGTTGCTGCTGCTGCTGCTGTTGTTGGTGTTGCTTTGTTTCTGCATTTGCTGCAACTGCGCTGCAGAAGGCAGCAGCCGCAGGTCGGAGTGGGGTATCGCGTCTTCCTGAAGCAACCCCGTCCGTCATCACCAACACAAATACATACACAGCAAACATGCAGCTTCAAATTGAAGAGGTCAACTTGAATTTCCTTGCTTCGATCCCCCTGTCTAATACCTCCCGAACAAATCAACTCTCTCTGCCCTACACGAACGACTAACTCCTACGCCTTCGCTTACCCCTGAACACTGCAAGTCAGCGAGGATCTGATCTGTGACGGCTTCATTGGAGAGCAGAAGCGGATGCAGACGCTGCATGCGACTTTGCTGCTGCTGCTGCTGCTGCTGCTGCTGCTGCTGCTGCTGCTGCGGGGGCAGCAGCAGCTCGTCATCGCTGCTGCCGTTGTTGGCAGCAAACCATGCGGCAGTATTATCACGTCTGCGCAAGAGTTTCTTTCGCCGAAAGACTCGCCTCTTGCCGCTGCTGCGCTTCCACTGCTGCAATTTCTGCTGCGGGTGCTGCAGATGGTCGCCGACATCCGAAAAGCTGCTGCTGCTGCTGCTGCTCCTAGACATCCACCGCTGCACTCCAGGATCCGAGTCGCTGTCGCTGCTTACGTCATTCAGCGCATCGCTGCTGCTGTCGGCTGCAGCAGCAGCAGCAGCAGCTGCTGCTGCTGCTGCTGCTATCTCCGCTGCCGCCTCTGCAGCTCCCACCTGCGCTCGCACGACTTCATCCGCCTGCTCAGCAGCAGCAGCTGCTGCTGTAAGGGCTGCTGCTGCTGCAGAGGCGGCTGCAGCACGCACATCGTGCGACGTGGCAGTTGGCAACAGACGCGCTGCTTCTGCAGTTGCCACCTGAGCAGCAGCAGCAGCTGCTGCTGCTGCTTCAGCCCTTGCCGCAGCAGCAGCTGCCGCTGCTGTTGCTGCCTTCACAGTATCGCCCTCGGCTGCTGCCTTCGCAGAATCTGCAGCAGCAGCTGCCGCTGCTGCACGGCCTCTTGCTGTCTGACACACACGCAAGACACGTAGCATGAGACAAAAATGCATAATCCAAAAGGCAGGGTGGTACAACCCCACCCCACCCCACCTCACACACCACTCCCTAGTTCCCGTCCTTGCAGCATGCAGACATGTGCCTGCAGTTTCAAACGACAAACGAGAATCTGCGTGAGGCACCTCGCTCCTGACACTGCTGACGTATCCTCACCTCCTTCGTTACTTCCACGCAGTCAAAACCTACAAAATCCTCCAATGCACGAATGCCAATTTCCTGAGCACATACAAACATATACATACACATACATACAAGCAAACAATCATACATACACATACACACACATATGCATACATACACATATACATACAAACATACATTCATACAAACATACATACACGTACACATACAAACATACACATATATACAAACATACATTCATACAAACATACATACACGTACACATACAAACATACACATACATATGCATACATACACATATATATACATCCATGCACATACAAACATACAATCATACAAACATACATCCATATACAGTGAGGAAGCGAGCACTCTTGCTCTGACTGCGCGCGAACGGCGAGTTATCGCGCAGTTAGGAGCTCAGGCTGAGGATCGCTTGAAAGGCTTCGAAATGTGCATGTACCTCTCCATCATGCTTCTCGTGAAGCCTGTTTTCTTCTGTTCCTCCTTGCTGCCGCATGCGATCCTCCGCTTGAGAAGACAGCTGCTGTTCATGGAGCTTCCGTGTCTCGGCATCTGCTTTGTCGCAGCTCGCCGCCTGCTGTACGTACACCGACGCGGCAGAAAACTTGAACTCCAGCGTTATCGCAGCACGCCAAGCAAAAAGAAAGGCCTCAAATCTGCAAGCCTCACAGAGGGGGAAAGGTGGGGAGAACGAGCTTACGGGGGAAGATGCAGCTGCAGAAACAAAGAGGTGGCAACTGCCGCTTGCAGCGTCTGCTTCAGGTGCAAGCCCTTCCACCCCGTCTTCATAACTGCTGCTGCTTACGCTGCTCTTTTCATTCCACTGTTGCAGCAGTTCACGAAGCTCCTGCTGCAAACGCAATACTTGCTGAGCAAGCTGCTCCACGTGGTACTGTTGATTGGGCTTCTGCTCGTCCTGCTGCATGTGCTGCTGCTCCTGTATTTGTTTCAGCTGCTCGAGCAGGATCGCGACTTGTCTAATTTGGTGCTGTCTGTGCTGCTGGGGTTGCTGATGCTGCTGCTGCTGCAAGGCAGACTCCACCTGCTGCCACTCCCTGTATTTGCTCGCAATAAAGCGCTGAGAGTGGCGCAGTCTATACGGATCGAAGGGAAAGAAGGCTGCCAAAGGGTCGTTGTAGCTGCTACTGCTGCTATTGCTGTTGTTGCCTGAGTGCACAGTGCATGCACTAGGCAAGAGATTGTGGGAGTCTGGACTCATTGGCGCGCTGGGGGGAGCCTCGCACAAGTGTTGGTGCTGCTGCATCTGTGTTTGCTGCTGCTGCATTTGTATCTGTATCTGCTGCTGCTGCTGAACTTGCTGCTGCATGTCAGTCGGAGACAAAGGCGATAAAAAGTCTTCTGTAGCTGCCTCTTCCTGCTCGTGTGTTGCCGTGGCTGCTGCTGCTGCTGTTGCTGCTGCGCTTGATCCCCCGAGGTTTGCTGCGCCAGAAGGGGGGTTAAGCGCTTTCGCGGCAGCAGCTCCTCGCAAATGCTGCTGCTGCTGCATCTGCTGCTGCTGCTGCTGCCTGTGGTGCTGCAGCACAGCTGCAAAGTGAGACTCCATCGCCACAAAAAGCCCCGTACGCCTGCATGCGGCAACGAACTGCCTGGCAATGCCACGCTTGAGATGCAACAGCGGCTGCAGGGGCAGCAGCACTGAAGAAATATCGAAAGGGGGAAGCAGCAGGAAAGCGAGTCTCCCTTGCTGCAGTAAAGGTCCCATCCAGAAGCACAAACCGTAGCAGAGACTTTCCACGACAGTCCGTAGCAGCGCTAAAGGCGAATCTGCGCTGTCTGCAAGCAACAACAAAGAGGCACAGGCAGACATACACACACACAGTTAGTAGCAACAGTAGTAGTAGCAGCAGTAGTAGCAGTAGCAGCAAGAGTAGTAGCAGCAAGAGTAGTAGCAACAAGAGTAGTAGCAACAGCAGTAGCAGCAATAGTAGTAGCAGCAAGAGTAGTAGCAACAGTAGTAGTAGCAAGAGTAGTAGCAACAGTAGTAGTAGCAGCTGGAAGCAGAGGAAGATCTTGCATCTACAAGGCAGCAGCTGATACGCTGATAGGCAGCAAGGAGAAATGAACAAACGAAGGAAGAAGGTTCATTCGAAAGGCATTTATTTTTCGGTATGTTTACCGAAGTCTCTAGTGAAGGCTGCCTGCAAGACACGCATGCGCTGCTGCTGCTGCTGGAAAAGACCAGTGCCAGTCCTTAAAAAGCCCCTATGCAGCAGCAGCAGCAGCTGCTGCAACGCTGCAGCCGCAATGCTAGGAGGTACAACGCGTGCTCGACAGAGAAAGGAAGCGATGTAGCAGCAGGCGATGCGACGCTGTAGAAAACAGAGCATACAGCAGTCAAGCAGCAGCAGCAAGAAAAACAGTGGAAAGCGTCTTCATGAAGCTGCAACAAGAGCCGTAGGACGAGCATTAGCAGCAGCGAAATCAGCAACAAGAGAAGTGGGAGCATTAGCAGCAGCAAAAGCAGTAGCACACGCAGCAGAGCATTAGCAGCAACAAGAGCAGCAGCAGTAGGAGCATTAGCAGCAACAAGAGCAGTAAGACAAGCATTAGCAGCAGCAAACACAGCAACAAAAGCAGTAGGACGAGCATTAGCAGCAGCAAACACAGCAGCAAAAGCAGTAGGAGCATTAGCAGCAGCGAAATCGGCAACAAGAGAAGTGGGAGCACTAGCAGCAGCAAAAGCAGTAGCACACGCAGCAGAGCATTAGCAGCAACAAGAGCAGTAAGACAAGCATTAGCAGCAACAAAAGCAGTAAGACAAGCAGTAGCAGCAGCGAAATCAGCAACAAGAGAAGTGGGAGCACTAGCAGCAGCAAAAGCAGTAGCACACGCAGCAGAGCATTAGCAGCAACAAAAGCAGTAGCAGTAGGAGCATTAGCAGCAACAAGAGCAGTAGGACGGCAATTAGCAGCAGCAAACACAGCAGCAAAAGCAGTAGGACGAGCATTAGCAGCAGCAAACGCAGCAACAAGAGCAGTAAGACAAGCATTAGCAGCAACAAAAGCAGTAAGACAAGCATTAGCAGCAGCAAAAGCAGTAGGACGACAATTAGCAGCAGCAAAAGCAGTAGGACGGCAATTAGCAGCAGCAAACACAGCAACAAGAGCAGTAGGACGGGCATTAGCAGCAGCAAACGCAGCAGCAAAAGCAGTAGCAGAAAAGGAGTCGGAATGTGGAGAATGCTGTGGCGTGTCAGTGTAGCGAGGCAAGGGAGGGGTAGTGCAGGGGAAGGATGCATAGAGGACTGTGTAAATTATCTGACGTGTCGTATTAAAAGGCTGCTGCTGCCTTTTGAATGCGACTTGGTGTGTAGGGGGAGGCATGTGAGACAAGGAATTGAAGGATGCGTTGTGCCCTTACAAGTCGGATGTGCCTTGCTCTGTTGACGAGCAGCATGAAGAGCTGCTGCAGCAGCAAAACAGTCCATCGAACTTCGAGAGATGCCACGAAGAAGACGATAAACTGCGTGTGTCTGCAGTTGTGTGCTGGCAAGACAACACGCACGAAGGCATTGAGCAGCTCGGCGACAAAAACGTCTGCTTCTGAGGCAACTCCAGACACTGCGGCGGCAGCTTCTCCAAAAGCAGCATGTCGTGCAGCAGCTCCTCCCTCCCCCACAGCTGCTGCTGTGACTGCAGCAACTGCAGCATCGCATGCAGGAGAAAGGAGGGGAGAATCGTCGACACAGGGGGAGTAATCTGCGGCGCTAAGCCCATGCCCACGCCTTGCTGCTGCTGCTGCTGCTGCTGCTGCTGCTGCTGCTGCTGCTGCTGCTGCTGCTGCAGGGGCGACTGCAGGCTTGTGGCGAAGAGCTGGCAAGTGCACTTTGAGATACGACAAGACTGCAACCATCAGACAGTCCAGCGTTCGCGCCATTGCATCAATATCCTCTTCGCTGCGGATGCGGCAGTACAGCTCCTGCAGCAGCTGTTGCTGCTGCTGCAGCAACTGCTGAACGGATCCTAAATCGACTGAGCCTTGCTGCAGCTGCAGCGACAGCTCGGCTAGCTGTTCGCGCTGAGGCGCAAATCAACGACACGTGAAACACACACCCACTCCAGTCAAGAGAGATCTGCATTCCACGCAAATCTCGAAGCAACCTAGTGGAAATGCCGCTCGTTGACTCCAAACAAGCATGCCCTCCTTTCCTCCCCCTTCTTCTTTCCCCCCTTTTCTCCATTATCAGTAAACATGCCAGACAGGAGATCGCACCTTCCACGTGCTCATCTGCTCGGCATCTACCGAGTTCGGATCCTTGTGTTTGATCTCCGAGTCAATAACAACCATGCGGGAAAGCAGCAACCTCCAGATGCTCCCCCGAAGCTGCAGAATGCATGCAAAACGCAACGAGAATGCAATACTAGGGAGTGCCGCTGCAGGGCGACTGTCTCACGCTACGCGAACCTCTCCCCCCTCTTTTCTCTTCCTTCCTCTTCCTTCCTCCCCCAGTTTGCTCTGCGGAGAAGGGGATATCTGAAATGCGTGCAGTGTGTGTGTGTATGTGTGTGTGTGAGAGAGAGAGAGAGGGAGGGAGAGAAGGAGTTAGAGAGAGAGTCAAGAGAGAGTTAAAGAGAGAGACTTAGGGTATTAGATATTTAGAGAGAGAGTTAGAGTTAGAGTGAGAGAGAGAGTTAGAGGGTTAGAGGGTTAGAGTCAGAGTGCGAGTTAGAGAGAGACAGAGACAGTTAGAGAGAGGGAGAGACAGAGAGGGTTAGATAGATAGAGGCAGAGAGAGTTAGAAAGAGACTTAGAGAGTTAGAGTTAGAGGGCCAGACAGAGAGAGTTAGAGAGAGAGACTTAGAAAGTTAAACAGAGAGAGTTAAAGAGAGAGAGAAATAGTTAGAGGGAGGGTTAAAGAGAGAGGGTTAAAGAGAGAGAGTTAAAGAGAGAGAGAAACAGTTAGAGAGATAGACTTGAAGAATTCGAGTTAGAGAGAGCTAGAGAGAGAGATGAGGCACAAGCTCAATCCGAGATGAGGTGCGCATAAAGCGAAATGCCTTGCGCAAGGAAAACAGGAGCAGACTCGGCATATCAAAGCCTCGTCTTACGGGAGGAATGTTGTGTGCAAGCCAGAGCAAGCTTTTCGCATAAGCTCCATGAATATCAGAGGGCTGCTTAAGGGCAGGTGCACTGCGGCGAAGAGATTCAGCAAGACTCCCCACAACGGAGGGAAAGGCTTCTGCAAACTGCAAGCCACACAAATTATCAAAAGGAAAAAAGAGATGCCGAGAGAGAGAAAGAGATAGAGAGCGATACAGCCCCCACCCCAAGAGGCGAGATCCTTGGCAGTTACACTGCTTTTTCCTGTGTAGTTCGAGACGCTAGAATATGCAACCGCAAAACAACGATGCATGCAGAGCACGTAGACACTAAGGAAAAAAGCAGTACATTGGCATGCACAGCCTGCAAACACATGCATGCAAACGGCTTTTATACGAAGACAGACTCTTCTAGATCCCCTATCGCTTTCGCCATCTGAACCTTTTCTCTCTTTCTATCGTTTCCTCAACCTCCCTGCCGCTCCATAGCTCTCTCTCTATATATATCTCTGACATATCTCTTCCTAACGTTTCTCTCTATATATCTCTGACATCTCTCTTCCTATCATCTCTCTCTCTCTGTCTCACTCTCTGTCTCTGTCTCTCTCTCTCTTTCCCCATCCCCATCCCCACCCCCGTTACACACATACACGCCTATGAGCATGCATGCCTCCTTCTCAGCCTCTCTCTCTCTCCCCCTAGATGCAAGTATACGCCTTCGAGATACTGCAGTAAGGAATGCATGCACAGAGCTGGCCGTCCCCCCCTTTGGATGCGAATAGGATGTGAATTTTCTGCGCACTTGCTTAAGGATCGAACATATAAGCCTCGAGGCTTTCGTGTCGACGGAGAGGATGTTCTCAACACATCGGACGTAGCTGAAGTCTTCATCCTTCGCCAATTTCACGCCGCTCACACTTTGCATCCCCGACTGACAAGCTGCCTGATGCGTCGTGACACCTTCGCTAGCTCCAGCTGTCTTTGAAGCCGCTTGCTGCATTTCTGCTGCTTGAGGTGATGAGTCTTCTCGGCGAACAAAAAACGTTCTTGTGGAATGAAATCGCGGATTGGGGTGTGCAGACACGTAAATGCCTCGCATGCCTATACATATAGACATATATATAGATATCGATATATGTTGATATATATTGATATATATTGATATATATTGATATATAGATATTTAGGTATACATACATAGATATATACATGTTGGTATATAGATATACGTTTAGGTACATACATACATATATATATGTTGATATATATAGATATGTAAGTCATATGCGTAGATATAAATTTTATAGATACATATAGATGCATATACATACACACACATATATATATGGATATACATACATGCATATCTGTACATATATATATATATCTATATATAAGTATATACATGCACAGAGATGAGATGCACGACACAAGCTCACAAATCCAATCGCCACTATACAGCAGAAGTGCACATGGGGCCTTAGCGCAGAGACGGCGCACGAAACGGGCATTCAAATCAGAATTGGCATCCAGAAGAGCAATATACCGTGGAAATTAGCGCCTTAAAAAAAGGATTTTTGAAAAGTTTTCAACAGCACAGTGATGACACACACATAGAGAGCTAAATCTCACGCCTGAAGCCTTGTCCCTTAAAAGGCATATTTCCAGTTTTCCTCCTTTAAGAGAGAAAAGCGACACATACCACGCATTTTCAATTTCGCTCGAGGATGAAAGCGGATAACAGCAGACACCAGCTCGAAGTCTTCGCCTTGAAGATCCTGCCCTTCTTCTGCACATAAAGGGGGAAAACGACTTGCCGAGAAAGCCTCCTGCGTTCTCGCCTTGTGCTGCGAACGCGGGGAAGCACTAAATCCCGTGTGGCGCTGCATGCCGCTGCTGCACTGCCCGCATGCAGTGCCACACAAGGCTTTTGAAAACGCAAACTTCTCTTACCCCCGAGTTGAAGGATGGATCTCAACTTCTGCTTCAAAGCCCTTCGATTGGGAAAGGCGAAGCGTCCAAGGCGTAGCCAGGCACCCCCGCTGCTGCTGCTGCTGCTGCTGCCTTTTGCTGCTGAAGAGGCAGAAGAACCCCCCACTGCAGAGCCGTCAGAAACAGCACTTCCGCCACCTCCACTACCACTAAGACCACCATCTCCGCAGCTGTATCCTACGTGTTCGCCTTTGCAGCTGTCCACACCACCATACACGCACATCCCCTGCTGATTTCCACCTGACAAGCGTAGTAGCGTGTTGTGTGTCTGTACACCCCAAAAGCCCTGCAAAAGAAGCGTTCTCGCCGCATCCCCGAACTACCCGCACGCGCGCAGAACGCTTACAAGAACAGGAGGAACCAAAAAGCGAAGAAAAAGCTTACGCCTCTTTGAGATGATGAACCAGGCAATCCGCCGCTGCCGCTGCACCTTCACCTGCACGAATGGCAATAATATCGAGGAGCAGCGAACCGAAGAGTATAATAGTCTCTCCTGCACTGGCCCTCGAGTCTGTTGCTGCTGCTGTTGTTGCTGCTGCTGTTGTTGCTGCTGCTGTTGCTGCTGCTGCTGCTGCTGCTGAAGGCAGCACAGCGCTGTCGACTGCAGAAGTATCTGTTGCTTCGTCCTCGTCTACAATTTCTCGCTCCACTGAAAAGCCTCCCGTACAGCTGCCGGCAGCAGCAGCGACGAAGTCGAAGTGCAGCAGGAAGCTTTCAAGGAGAGGCTGGAGACGCATTGGCGGCAGTCTGTTGCAGTGCTGCAGTATCCATCGTCCAAGTAGCAAGACGTTCTCGTTCCCCCCTAAGGCTGTTGGAGGGCAGTTCATAGCCAGCGTAAGCTCTGCTTCTGCCGCCGCCGCTGCTGCTGCCGCTGCTGCGCTGCTGCTGCTGCTGCTGCTGCTGCTGCTGTTGAAGGAACTCCCAAAAAAGTCTCTCGTAACCTGCAGAGGCGAGTTGCTGCTGCTCCCACAGCCACCGTAAGCAGACAGCGGGGAAAAGCAGCTGCTTGCACTCGCTGGAATGCCTCCTCCTCGAGCCGCTGCAGTGGCAGGGAGGCGAGGCTGTGGGAGGGGTGCTGTCTCTGTCATGGAGGGTGAAAAAGGAGGTGTCGAGGGAGACAGCAGCAAATGTTGTTGTTGCTGCTGCTGCTGCAGAGAAGGAGCCTGAAGGATGGACAGCAGGGGAGAGTTTGGCGATAGGGGGCTTTGAGGCTGCTGCAGCATTGGCAGCCATGAGGGCTGTTGCGCTGGAAGTTTCTGTGTTACGTGGGTTGCAGCAGGGGGTAAAACTGCCAGTCTTGGTATTGCACTGTCACTGCTACTGCTGCTGCTACTGCTGCTGTTACTGCTGCTGGTATTGTTGCTGGTATTGCTGTTGTCTCTGCAGGTGGTGTTGGTGCTGCTGCTGCTGCCGGTATTGCTGTTGTCTCTGCATGTGGTGTTGGTGCTGGTGACGCTTGTTGTCACAGCATCCGCAAGAGCGGCGGGAAGCAGCGAGAAGTCTTCAGACACACCTCCCCCAGGCTGAGGGTGGAGTTGTCGAGGCTGCTGCAGTGCTGAGGAATGAGCAGGAGAGGCGGCTTCGCTTTCCGAGGAGATAGGGGACCCCACAAAAGAGGGCTGCTCCTGCTGTTGGTGTAATAGCAGCGGTTGGTGTTGTTGCTGCTGCTGCTGCACGTTGTTTCTGGAGATTGCGAGAGCTGCTGCATCCCGAGGCGGCTTTAAGGATACGACTGAAGATGCTGTTGCTCCTGTTGCTGCTCCTGTTGCTGCTCCTGTTGCTGCTCCTGTTGCTGCTCCTGTTGCTGCTCCTGTTGCTGCTCCTGTTGCCGCTGTTACGCAAGGAGGCTGGAGAAGCCTCCTGTAGGTGACATGTTGAGCGAATGTCATCTTCCTGCAAAAGGTGCATGCGCGTTGCGCATGGCCTGCTTGTGGAGGTATCGGCGGAAAGCAGGTGCCTCCTGTGACGCATATATGCATGCATACAGATGGACTACAACAAGTCTCTGCCTAGGGCATTGCAAGAAAGGCAGGATGTCAGAAGGCGCTCAGCCTCCTGGATAAGACGCCTCCTGCTGCTCCTGCTGCTCCCGCTGCAGTTGCAGCAGAATTCCTCCATCAGGCAGCGCAACGCAGACAGCTCAACGGCCTTCCCGGCAGAAGCGGATGGCAACTCGCTGCTATGCCTTGCATGCGAACGCTAAACCCGCGGTGTCTGAACGCCTGGGAGTACGCAGCACGAAGTTTTCGCTAGAGCAGCTGTTGCGCCTGCAGCAAATGGATCCGCTTCGCTCCCTTCCCACCGCACAGCCCCGTTCAGGAAGCCTGACGGCGGCTACAGGATTGCGGTATGTTGCATGTTTGCCATGTTCCCCTGAGTCTTCCGCCCTTATTTTTTAATTCTGCAGGATGTAAAAAACAAATTGCCTCAAAAAAAACGCTGCTTACGCCTTCGCATGCCTCGGATATCAGGTGTCTGTCGACCGTGCCCCCATCGAGAACCTGGCGAGTAGGGGGGCAAAGGGGCACTCAAAGAGATTCGTTGCCTTCTGCGCAGCCTTCTGTCCGTACAAAAGTCTAACTAAAGGCACACAGCAGGGAGTAGAAGTTTTGACGGTTTTTGTTGTCGCAGCCTGTTCCTCCTACCACGCCCACCCCCCCTCTTCCCCCCACCGCACCCCCCTCTCCGTAGATCCCCCCCGCCCCGCTAGACCGCGAACTTTCGTGTCCGTCTGCACGTCAAAAACCTGAACTACCCCGTGCGCTTCTTGAGACGCTTCTAGAGCGTAATCTTAGAATGCAGCTGCCTGTACACCCGAGTGAAGGCTCTCTCTGCAGGCTTGCGGAGAAGGCACGTCACAGCTGCCGTCCGAAGGACAGGCGAGTGGAGACACGTCTCGCGCCGCAAAAAGCCCCTCTCTAAGCCTCTGCTGCTGCTGCTTAAAAGCTACCGATCTAGCAGTTTCTTGAGGCGCTCCGACTGGAGGGATACGAGGGGAGAAGGGGGGCCCGGAATGGCTATCACGGCTTCCCTTGCACTGCAGAGGGGCAGACGTGCGTAGAGATGCTTGGCTACTGCAGCCCCGTCAGCAGCCGTGACTGCCGCAGCCGCTGCACCAGCATCTGCTGCGGCTGCGGCAGCAGCTGAGCAGAGATCGGCTGCAGAGAGGTAAAAGGGGAAGCCGAGTCTGCTTCTATCATTTCTTATGTGCAACGACACTCGACTATTGCTGCTACCCAGGAAGACATCTGCAACAGCCGCTGCTGACCACTCCGCGAGGGCAGCAGCTCCAGGGTGTCCTCTCAAAAGCCCCAGCAACCTGCTCCCCAGCACGCGAAGCAGCACCTTCTCCGTGTCGTGGAGCGGCTGCTCCTGCTCCTGACGCTGCTGCTCACGCGCACGCGCAAACGCATGCAGAGCTGCGTTCATGTCGAAAAAGTACAGCCTCGGACGCACCGGCGGCGATCCTGCTGCTTCTAGGCTTTCAGTCTCTGCCTCTGCAGCGGCAAAGCGCGTCGAGAGAGCCGCGCGTTCCTCTTCCGTCGCATCCGTACACACGAGGACCTGCATGCAGCGACGCATGCGTCCGCGAAAGAAGTCCATTTCAGGGAGCTGGGGCTGCAGCTAAGAGCAATTCGGGGATAGCAGCTGCGTGTCTTGCTTACTGCATGCGACTGGATCCGCCTGGCAATCTGGAGCAGCACTTCCGCTGCGGCGGGCAAATCCGCAGCCAAACCCAGACGAATAAAATCAGAACGCCGCAAGTGCGCAGATACGAAGGGAAACAATGCTGTTGCTGGTGCTCGATGCTGCCTAGCAGGAGGACGCGATGTTACTAGGGTGCTAGTGCTGCTGTCACGGGGGGTGCTGTTACTTCTAGCGCTGCTGTCAAGCATGTACTGCACGAAGGCTTCGCCGACTTGCTGGATTTTCGGATGTACATAAATGCCGTAATTAAGACCCCACAACTCTGCCTGATCTGGAAAAGGAGGAAGCAGGGCATCTGCATGCTGCAAAGACAAAAATACAAGTCGCCATCCAAGCAAATCGAGATCTCTGCGCCTCCCCATCTCTCGTAGACGCCGTGCAAAGCGCCTTCCTACAGCTGCTGCTCGCGGCTCAAAGCCCAAACTCGCCTTAAAAAACACGATTTGCGCGTCTCCTGCAGCGGCGGGAAGGCAGCGCGCGAACGTCGAAGACGTGGGAAGCTGCGTCTCAACACACACCTGCAGACACGCGGCACAAGCAAAAAACACTTCACTGCAAGGCCTATTTCCACACCGCACAAACAGCCCGCTAACCCCCTTTATCGATGCTCCATGATGAGAACCTGCGCGCACCTACTTGTTTCCTTGCGATCACGGGGTTGCAATAACCTCCAAGCCAAAAGAATGCAGCCTCATCATCTGCTGTCTGGTGCTGGGGAGGCCGCTGCTGGACGTACACTTCACGCGCCAGGGTTTGCTGCTTACTGACAGACCCCCAGGACGAACACTGCACAGCAGCCAAGGGGGTGCATGCCGCATGGCTTTGAGCTCCCTTCGTGGCAGTTTTGTACTGCAAGATCACGACGCTGTCAACCTGCAGCAGCATCCGCACCAGCACCAACACCTACCTACCTACCTGCCCGCAGAAGCGGCTGCATGCACAGTCAAGGGGTAGCTGCAAGGCAGAGCCTTTCATCGCGCATGAAGATCTTTTGTACTCGTGCCTCACGCGCACATGACGCATGCACAGATCGCAGCCGCAATTGCCAAACTCGCCTCATGCCTTCGGTGCGCATGCAGAGCCTCGTAGTCATCGTATTCAATGGTCGGCACGAGCTGCTGCAGCTGTTGCAGATGCAGCAGCTCCCCCCAACGAACCCGCGAGATGTCCTGGAGCCGCCAATGCTGCAACCGGCACCAAGGGGGCAGTACTAACACGTACACCTTTTGCTGATGGACGGGGTGGGGTTGTTGTTGCTCGTTCGCCTTGCGCCCCTGTTGCTTCGCGTCGAGATTCAGTTGCTGCACCGCCAGTGCAACGCGGACGGCCACTTCCTTCTGCAACTGCATCACCCGCATCCGAACAGAAAAAGAAAGGGGCGCTGACTGTCTGCTTAGTTCAGGAGGGGAGCCGATTTGAACTGCAAGAACGCTGACATTCAGGAGATCTGGCGTACGTTGAAGCCCTCGCCATTGCGAACATCGTAGAGCAAAAAAACAAATTGCGTGTCGCTGCAGAATCGGCTTCTGCTCTTTGCGGAAGATCTGCAACAGGTTTTGCCGCTGCTGGCCAGCGAGGCAAGGCGCACAGAGAGGCTGCCAAACGCTGCACAACTTGCATCGAAGGCGGCTTGTTGGGTGGCTGGTGCCTCCCACGCCGCCGCAGATGCGATGCACATAAAAGTCAGCAGCAGCCCCCAATGCAGCTGCTGTTGACAGCGTAGTCGCCTGCATTCGCCGCTGCTCATGCTGCTGCTTTTGCAGCTGCCGGAACTCATGTAGGATACAGTGTGTCTTGGTGTTGCCGCTGCTTCTCCCTGTGATCATGCAGGAGGCCAGAAGGAAGGAGACAAAGAGAGAGACGGAGAACAAGAAGCGAGAATACCAATGAATCTGGCGGAACGTGGGAAACACGCTGAAACCCTCAGTGTCTCGATGCCTATCATGTTGCGGTCATCAGTACTCGAGCATCCTGCCCCTCCAACAGCCTCCTTCGACGCCCTAAATCTCGAGCGTTCAAATCTCCGCGCTCTAAAATATCAGCTATGATAGCGCAAATAGGGAGAATTTTTCTCAAGATACCCAGAGAAAGGGGTTTTCTTCATGCGTCAAGTCCGTGCATGCACGCACTGTAGGGAGCATGTGCAGCGGACGACTCTCGATGGTCCATCTCGTGTGCAGCGATGTCGAGGGCAGCTGATGCTCTTCACAAGCGTAATAAAAGGCATTCAGTGTCTGATAAACCTTTTGGAGAGCCTCCTGGAGTCGGCCGAAAGCCAGAAAATCGCAAGCGCCTGGTGCTTGTGCTCTGCCTCCGGCAGCTAACCAGAGGAACACACGGCGGTCGCCCTGGAAAGCACTGATCCGGGTGCTCCCCTGCCAATTGGCGCCGTTCTGGTAGAAGATAAATTGCCTCGCCCTTCGATCGGGGGGGCAGACTCGCCGTTCTTGCAAGTAGCTCAGGTACACTCTTCCGCCGCCCTGCGTTCACGAGTAGCTCTCGAGCAGTGAGCCGTGCGGACGAAAGACGCTGCAGAGCACGGCCTCCTTCGCCACAGAGGAGCAGCAGTGCGGCACACTTGCGCTCACGGAACAGCTTGCTAGTAGGTGTAGGGGAAAAGGGGTAGGCGACACGGGGATTTGGGGGGTAGGGCAAGGGCCAGGATTGCGCCTCTTTCCCTTGTTAACCCCTAAAAGCCCACAGAGGTGAGGCTCGTAGAATAGCGGAATGAGAGGGATGACTGTGGCGGCGAGCGCGGTCGACGAGCGTAACTCTCTGCTGTAGCATCATCACAGTGCGCGAGTTGCACGGACAGATAGCCCCAGGCAAGAGTAACTGTGAAGTCTCCTCCTGAGAATTCGTGCACATCGCCAAGCCAAGTGCAAGAAGCGCCGCCCCTTTTTGTGCTTTTTCTGCAGCCCTTTGGTCTCCAGGGAACCTTTAAATGGTTTGTCGAACCAGCGCAAAGCACCCTATACAACCTGCCAAACAGCTAGGTGTTACGGCAGTGCGCTGCATCACAGCAGGCAAATAGGCAGCACCTGCCTGCAGCTAAGTACATGTACATCTATATATATATAGGCCTACGTGCTGGAATGCGAGCGTGATGCACGGCCTTCTCTGGGGGCTGCTAATGTCACGTCTGCGCTGGTATCTTAGGAAGCACCGAGGGCATAGTAGTAGCCTGTGGATGCGCACAGCCTTCGCTGGAGCACCTCATTCGCAACAGCGTGCAAAGCGGATAGGGAGGAGCTGCCCTCCTGCGTATCGAGAAAGCTCGACCGCCCTTACAGGCGCGCCGCTGTTGCTACCCCAACGGGCTGGTCGGCTTCTGTTGTGCAAGCGTTCCGCTGAAATTCGTGCGTGTCCGAGCAGCTGTCGTTCTGCTCTGGGAGAGCGACACAAAAAGCGTGATTCGCGTTTCTAGGCATCTAGCCAGGCAGTGCTTCAGGGTGCCTGTGGCGCCGAACAAATATGAGAAAAGGCGCACAACAAACCCCCAAACGCTCTCCCCGTACTATGATGCGACCTGTAACCACCTGCGTTCAAAAGCAGCAACGCGTGGCACCCAAGCGCCATGCGTGCCGCATGCACATGAGCAGTTGCAGCAGTCGGAAGATGTGGCATTCTTCGTGCACAGCGTGAAAATCCTTTTGCAACACACACCGAGTGTGCTCTGTCTTCTGCCTGCAGCCCCATTTGGGGGCCCCTTATTATAAAACGACGCGCGTATCCCTCAAACGCCCAATGAGAGCTTTTTGCGGCGTAGGCAGCTGCATTTTACCGGTCCTAGAAAAGCGGCAGTAGCCCTTTCCCATCCGCCCGGTGTCTCTCCCTCCCCTTCCGGCTCACAGAAACTCCACAACAGAGTATATAAATGATCAAAAACGCTCGGAAGTGGATTGAAAGGGTCCGCCTCGCGGCGGGTGTACGTGTGCAGGTCGAGAGAGGTTCCCTGTTGTGGCGGGTGTACGTGTGCAGGTCGAGAGAGGTTTCCTGTCGTGGTGAGTGTATGTACAGGTCGAGAGAGGTTTCCTGTCGTGGAGGGTGTATGTGTGCAGGTCCAGAGAGGTTCCGTGTTTGTTAAGTTCAGAGAGCTCAGTACTGTGATGTAAACCACTGAACCGCAGCGAGTTGCAAGTCATTCGCTGCCGCAAAGTCAAGGGCGCGAACGAGTCCTCCCCAACGAGCTCTGCTACTGCTGCTTGGCACATGTTGCAGCCGCAACTGCGGCTCTTCCTGGAGTGCCTTCTCGTGCGGCTGCATGCGTTGCTGGTCGTCAAGTGATCCCACAAACAAAAGCAACACGTAGCGATGGAGGCCTGTGTCTTTCGGGGGAGTAGGACCTCTGTAGGATACTGAGAAGGAAAAACACCAGAGAAAAGCCCCATACCCGAGGTTTGCATGCAAGATGCCGGTTACCATCCCGCAATGGCTGCACTCTGTTTTAGAGAAATCAAGCGTTCCCCCTCCTTCCTCCGTCGCTGAGCCTTCCGCTTTCTTCGCGCGGCTTCCACTGAGCTGCCCGACACGACGACGCTCACGAGGGCTTGTCGAATTCTCATCAAAAGTGTCAGTTTCGCTAATCGCCACCCAATGAGACCACTCTCTGTAAATGGGCTCTTCTCTGAGACGCATGTACAGCCAAGTACACACTCCGCTAAAAGCCCCATTCTCTGCGGCAGCGTGTGGGCAATAGACACGCGCCTTGACCAAACAACGTTGATTCTACTCGAAAAAACACGCTTCTTTCCCCAACCCTTCCTCCCATACTCCCATACTAACACGCAGCAAGCGTGCAATCGGTGCTTGCTGCGTTTTGATATCTTGTCAAACATTCAAAAGAATAAACGACTACTGCCACGCTCGAACTCGCAACCTTGCACTGATGAAACCCACGCGTCACCAACCAACTGTGCTAAGACGCCCTTCTATAAGGCTCACAACCGACCTGCTAGGAGCATCTGGATCTGTCATCAAGAGAACAAAGCGCGTGTTTCGCGACGGCTTGGCTGACACCAAGACCTTAGGGGCCTTTTGCGCTACATCCTTGGGAACCTCGGCTCCCCACTGCGCCAGGTGCCCCTCAAACGAAACTTGTAACTGCAAGCCGCACAAGTCGCTAGACACTAGTCAAAAGCTCTCTGGGTAAATGGGCAGAAACAATTCCGAAAGCGGCGCATACTCAGACAGATTCGACAGATACAGATATTAATGTAGAAACACAGAGACAGGCCAACACGTACAGAGAGAGAGTGAGAGAGGCAAAAGAGAGAGATGAATACACACACAGAGAGAGAGAGAGAGAGAATAACACACACGCACATACACATACACATACAGAGATACCGGCATACAGCCCGATGTACACACACAAACATATGTGTAGACAGAAACAGAGAGCCAGCAATGCAGATTGAACGACACACACACTCACAGTTGCAAAGGGTCAGAATGAGCATCCGCATCAGGCGGCGCGCTCATGAAGTGTAACTTGTGGTGTACATGTAGCACGAGGGGCAAGCACACCTGTAGATGCAAGGATTTGCATTCTGCCAGTTTGATGACATCCGGGATGATTCTGCTTTTCTCAAGGACCGCGCAGTCCACCTTATCCGTGCCTGACTGGGAATCTTGTTTGGGGAAGGCCTGCTGCTGGAGTTGCTGCGACTCATTGTCGCTGTCGGTGTTTGACGCCGCATGAGCGGAGGGTGTCGTTGCTGCTGCAGCTACTGCTGCTGCCAGCAACAAAGCCGACTGCCACAAGAAACGCATGGTTATTGCCTCTTCAGAGGGCTCTCAGTGTCTTGACGGTTCAGAATCTGGACTGTGCATACACCTGGTCCTAAAGAGAGGCGCATGACACCCACACCACCCGCCCACAGCGCACCCTCCGTTGACTTGTTGAAACGTTTAATTCTAAATGCCTAATCTCACAGGGACGCGGACGCTGCATTCAGGGTAGAAGACGCTGAGCGCGAAGGTAGCGAAGGGCGATGGTGCCCTGGGAAGGCGGCATGGGAGGCGTATCCTCTGGTGATTTATTCATACCGTTTCGCATAAGCATAACTTGAAAATAGCGAGGAACCTGTTAGAGCGCGGAAATTAAAGGATGCAGACGTTTTGATGAGCGTCTGTAGCGACACCGCAGCAGCCCTGTTTCGACGACCACTGCAGCATGAGCAGCCGAGAGAGCGGCTATCGCCCTTCTATCCGAATTGCAGGAAAGCGCATCCGCAGTCCTAATTTCTGGCCTGCCGAGCTGTCCATACAAACTGTATAGTCCTTAGCAGGCGTCATTCGCGCAATCTTGAGCCTCATTGTCTCGCCAGATCCGTATGCCACCTGCCACCTCTGGCACGCCCGAAGGAGCGACTCCCTCGAAAGGCCGATTTGGCGACTTTGACACGAAATCGTAGAGGCCACAGGAAAAGGCATTGAGCAGATAGCAGGATAGCTTCTTCGCGCCCAGCTGTCTTCAATGTATGCCGCAAGACTTGTACGGAGTCCACCCCCAGCAGCAACTACAACCCACACCAGGGGGCGTCAAACCGCCCCGCTGCAATCGAGCAACCCCACCGGTGCCACGTGCAAAAGCCGCTGCAAGGCCTGCAGAGCGTGCAGGAGTTTCCGCGAACATCACCTTCGGGGGGGGGGCGGCAGCGTGCAAGTGCCACGCTTCGACGCCTCTCTTGCTCCTGCTGCTTTTTGCATCCTCCGCTGCTGCTGCGTGGCGAGTTGAAAGCCCTCTTGGCAGCATCCTCGCTGGTGGCTGCAGCAGCAGCAGCTGCTGCGGCAACCTCTTGCCCCTCTTTCCCGCTTTCGCTGCCTTAAGCCAGCCTCGCCCACAGCAGCATTTACGCAGTGTCGAAAGCGCACAAGCGGCCAGAAGGATGAACAACGCATTGAGCAGCTTCGACGCGTTTTGCTTCTCAGGCTCCTCAACAGGTGTGCCTCTAAGTGGCCGCAAGCGTTCAACGCCATGCAGCAGCAACAACAGCAGCAGCAGCAGCAGCACGAACAAAGGCAGCAAAAGAGGGCTAGCTAGCGATGAGGCCCCCAGAAAAGCGGCTCCAAAGGGGGCTGTGAAGAACGAGCCAATCCAAGTCAAAGAGGAAGCTGTTGCTGAGGCGGAGAAGGAGGAGAAGCAACACCAACAAGAGCAGCAGCAGGAAGAAGAAGATGCACGGACTCTTAGAGCCAGGAGGCGCAGCAGCAGCGTTCACCAGCGTCTGAAGGAGCAGCAAAAGGCGACGCCAGCATCTGCCAAGGCTTGCAAGGCTGACGCTGAGGAAAAATCGCGTGAGACGGTGCAAACAAAGCAGCACTTGAAAGAAGAGCTATCCCACACACTATGCAAGACAGAGAACCAAGAGGCGGCAGCTGCAGAAGGCTGTACAGGAGTGGAAATTAACAGCTCCTGCTCCCCCCTCAAAGGCCGTGCTCGAACCCCCATCGGAAAGCCGAGGGGGCGTCACTATAGCAGCAGCAGCAGCAGCAGCAACGCATGCAGCAGCAGCAGCAACGGGAACGGCGTATGGAGCAGCAGCAAGGGCCCCAAGAATCCACCTCCTCCGAACTTTGACGCCGTTTGGGAAGCAATCTGCAAAATGCGAGAAAAGGCAAGACGAAGTCTGCATCCTTTTCTCAAAGCCTAAGCATGCGCAGCATGTGCCCTTCATGCTGCATAGGCCATGCATCGCTCCATCAATTCTGCGATTTTTGTTACAGCGAGATGCTCCTGTTGACTCTATGGGTGTGGAAGCACAGACGGGCAAAGACGAAAAGGAAAGGGTAAACAAAAATGCTGCTCTTCCCACACTCTAGAGCCGCTGTATCACTCTCTCTCTCTCTCTCGCTCGCCCTTCTTTCTTTGTTTCTTTCTTTCTCTCTCTCTCTCTTGCTTGCCTTTCTTTCTCTGTTTCCTCCTTTTCTTTCTTCGTTTCCTCCCTTTCTTTCTTTGTTTCCTCCCTTTCTTTCTCTGTTTCTTTGTTTCTTCCCTTTGTTTTTTCCCTTTCTTTCTTTCCTCTGGTCACTTCTAAAGGCTATTTGAATCACGCCTTGTTGGCGCTGGGAACGCCGAGGTTGGCACACAAGGACGTAAACGTTTTTAGCGAAGGGTGGGGAGGCAGAAAGGAGCTGTTTGGCTACTGCTTTTGGATTTTTTGCGAGCTGTTTGCCTCGCAGAGATTCGCTGTCCTTCTCGCCGTGATGCTTTCCAGCCAGACGAAGGATGAGCAAACCAACGCATGCATGCAGCGCCTGCGACAAGAAGATCTCCTAAGTCCACAAGCTATTGCAGACTGCGACATCGGTGAGGAAGAAGGCGGCTTATTCGAAAGGATTTTTCGACGCCTATGATGCACTTGATTACCCCGTGCCTGCCCGCCACGCTGCATGCCGAGCATCGCTCGCGGCAAAAGGAACCTTTGGGGTGTATCTACGCTGCATGCAGAGCATCTTCGAAGCCTGCTGTACGGCGTGGGCTTCCACAACAACAAAACCGTCTTCATCAAGGCTGCTGCAGAGACGCTGCTTAAAGAATACGAAGGAGAAGTTCCTCGAACACTCGAGGGGCTCATGCGGCTCAAAGGTGTGGGACGGAAGATGGCCAACATCGTCATGCACTGCGTAAGCCGCTTAAAAGCCATTAGAATTGAAGCAAAGAGAGAGAGAAAAAAAGATATATATAGAGAGAGAGATACAAATAGAGAAAGAGGGAAGAGAGATAGAAAGGTGGAGAGACAGATTGATAGAGAGAGAGAGAGAACGAGAGAGACAGAGAGAGAACGAGAGAGAGAGAGAGAGAAAGAGAGAGAGAGAGGGATAGGGAAAAAACAATTATATATATAGACAAATAGAAAAAGAGAAAAGAGAGACAGAAAGAGAGAGAAAAAATATATATATCCATATACATATATATAGACAAATAGAGAAAGAGAAAAGAAAGATAGAAAGAGAGAGAGAAGATATATATATATCCACATATATATAGACAAATAGAGAAAGAGAAAAGAAAGACAGAAGGAGAGAGAAAATGTATATATCTATATATAGACAAATAGAGAAAGAGAAAAGAGAGAAAGAAGGAGAGAAAGAAAAAAAAGAAGAGATATATGTATATATAGACAAAAAGAGAAAGAGAAAAGAGAGATAGAAAGATAGATATATATATCTATATATAGACGAAAAGAGAAAGAGAGAAGAAAGATAGAAAGAGAGGTATGAAGACGAAGATAGATAGAAGTAAAAAGACAGAGATATAGGTAGAGAGAGAGAGTAATAGTGAGTCTTTGTTTAGTTGTCTGTCTGTCCGCATGTGTATCCATCCTTTATTGGCTGTAGTAGCGCCTCTTCTTCCGTACGGTTGCTGCATGCGATGCAAAGGGGGTCTTCTTTTCTCTAGAGTTTGCGTATTTGCCTGTTGCGGGAGCTGCGACTCAGGCGTGGAACGCGTTTGAAGGCATCGCAGTTGACGTCCACGTGCATCGCATAAGCAACAGGTAGCTTCTAGAAGCGGGAGCCACCGACCGCACCATCTGAAGGCTTGGCTGGCTTGTTTCGCGCAGGTGCCCTCTTCCTCGCGGCTGTTTTGCCTGCGTTTCTGTACGCTGCTTTCTCAGGATGCGGTTCGGGTGTGCTTCTGCAGACTCGGCTGGGTAAAAACGAAGACTCCCGAAGAAACGGAGATCGCGCTGGAGGACTGCCTGCCAAGGCACGTCGCCCCATGTGCACATAAATACATGCATGCATAAATGCATATATTTATTTATTTGTTGCGGCGTCTGTTTTTCCTTCGGAGCGTATTGTTCAGTGCTTGAGGCAGACGGGGAGGCGGCCTCCCCGTCAGTCTCGCTGTCTGTTACACCCCAGCGCGACTTGAGGTGTACCTGTGCGTGTGAGTTTCGTTTGTTGTGTGGGGCTACAGACAGCACTGGGAAGATGTGAATCTTCTCTTGGTTGGATTTGGACAGCAAATCTGCAAGCCTGTGAACCCTGCGGTAGGCGCAATGGCTGTCAAGATATTCGACGTGTGTCAGGCAGCGCTCTCCGTTGCAGGGTGCGAAGACTTTGGGGCTGTCTGCTGCATGCGAGGTCTTTTTTTCCTGAGTCTTTGGAGGCAGCTTTGTGTGTATGTGCTGCAGTGCGCAACGTGCTTGGCGCGTCTTCACTGTCCAATCGGCCGCAAGGTTCGTCTCCCCAAAACTGTCGTGGAGGAAGTCTCTCCTACCCTCCCTCCCTCCTAGTTCGATTGTCTAGAGAGACGCAGTGTGGCAGAAAAAAGCCGCGTCTGTTTCCGTGTCTGCCTCTTGTCCTCTTGTCAGTGGCTAGCTTCTGTGTTTAAAAGGGGGTTTGAACCTCTGTGTGCCTTTGAGAGCGTGTCTGGCATTTCACATTAAAAGAGAGCACTTCGCCTGCTGCCTCTCGCCAGCATGCAGCTGCGCAGCCAATAAGCGACTCCGAAACTGCGTTTAGCGCCTAGAAAAATTGACGCTCACACCTCACGGCTTAGTCAGGAGGCAGTTCCTTATCGTAGCGATGCAACAAGAGTTGCTGCAGCAAGGCTGCTGCCGAAGGGCCTACCCCAGGAATGCGGAGGAGCTGCTCGTGGGAGTACAGAGCAACGTTTCCCAGGGTGTATACCCCACACTGCAGCAACAGCAGCACAGAGACGCCACGACTGCACGTGATTCAGGGAGGGAGGGAGGGAGGGGAACCCTTGACGTTCGCCAAAGAGTAACAACCCCAATAAAGGCGAAACAGGAGCTCCACCTTTATTGAGCCGCTTACCTCCTTCAAGCCGTTCAGTGCCCTCTTAGGGAGCGGCAGATCCTCGAGAAGCACATCATCGGGAGTTTTTGCTGATTCGTCTTGCTGCTGCTGCTCTTGATGTAGTGTCTTTTGCTGCTGATGCTGCTGCTCTTGCTGTAATGGCTCTTGCTGCTGCTGCTCTTGCTGTAATGGCTCTTGCTGCTGCTGCTCTGGATGTAATGGCTCTTGCAGCTGCTGCTGGTGCTCTTGATGTAATGGCTCTTGCAGCTGCTGCTGCTCTTGCAGCTGTTGCGTCTGTTGCGCAACCTCTTGTTGAAGCCAGGCTTGCGGGGTTAGTTCGGGTGTCTGCACACGGGGGCAGCAGAAGCAGCAGCAGCCTCCATGAGCACATGTGGCGATGATGGTCAGAGGGAGAAGAGACGCGGCTCGCTGCTAGCGCAGCTCTGAGACTTCTGTGGGATTTACTGGAGGGGGTGTTAGAGGGAGTGCCTTGGCAGCGCTCTCTGGATCTGCTGGACGGAAGTCGCCTTTGGCGTCAAAGATGAAAACGGGGGGACCCCCCTGCAGTTCCTGCTGCCGTTCAGCCTCCTTGTGTCGAGATATGTGTTTCCACCCGGCTGCGCACACAAACCGCGTTTGCGTAGTACAGCGCCACGTGAGGGAGCTAGCTGTTAGCTATTCCTCCCCAGCTTCCCCCGCATTTTGCACTCAGGGGAGGGGAGAAGGAGGAGAGAGGGAAGGGCGAGCTTAGGAGGCCAGTAGAAAAAGAGACACCTTGAAGAGCACGTTCTTCCTCTGCCCAATCGACATCCTCCTTGAGCTGCGAACGCGCGCTCGCAGCAGCCAGCTGAACTTCCCGCAGCGCATGCAACAACACTTCTTTAGGCGTGGCCTTTCGAGAGCTCCATATTTCGACTACCAGCTGCTCCTTCGGATCTGGGCATTCCATTCGTCTGAATACAAATAAAACACATATATATATATATATGTGTTTGGGGTGTGTGTGGGGGAGAGAGTAGGGGTGAACTGCGAACGCTCTGCACTCCGCCCTGCTGTACAAACGAGGCGCCAACACGGGGAGTTAGAGGAGCCTTCCAAGCCCATTTTCTTTCTGTTGTTTTGCTAAGCACGCAAGTGTCTGCAGTGGAGGTGCCAGCGACAGAGCAGCAGCAGCATCAAGGCAGCTCGCAACGGTATTTTAGGCTGACTCAGAGCACCAGCGAGAACCCATCAGTTTATGCACGGCAATGCGCATTCTGTTGCAGGCCCCGAAGTAACAACTGGTAGGATAGAGCTGCTGCTGATACTTCTGCTGATAGTTCTGCTCGTGCTGCTGCTGCTGCTGCTCGTGCTGCTGCTGCTGATATTTCTGCATGCGCAGGAGAGGGGGAGGGGCGAGTGGTCTGCGCTTGAAGAGTCGATAATTGAAGCCTTCCTCCTCGCGGTACAGCCCTGTGCAGACAGACACACACACATGCACACATACACACATACACATACACACATATATACACATACACACACATATACACACATACACATACACATACATACACACATACACAGACACATACACATACACACATATGTACACATACACACATACACACACACATACACACATACATACACACACATACACACACACATATATACACACACGCATACACACAGACACACCGTAAAAAGCTCTGAAATCTTATTTTTGTCGCATGCATGCATGCTAGCTATGCTAAGGAGAGGGTTAAGGCAGTGGATAACGTCCAGATACACAGCTCTGCCACGGAAGTGCGCTGCAAAAAGAAATATCCTCGTATCGAGGGAGAATGCCTCTTTTGACGCACCTTGAAGGTCCCCCAGCCAGAGCCCCCGTCCCCACTCCACCTGAAAGTCGAGACACAACGAGGCTTCCTTGTTCAGAGTGCAAAGATAGTGCTCTTTGTTGCAGCATTGCAAGTAAGATGGCAGTCGCAGGTGGCCAGCCAGCATCTTGAGGGGACCCCTAGCGCGGATGCGTATGCGCGAGCGCAGATAAGGGACTGAGGAGCGCAGTGCGAGCTGCACGCCAACAAACACACGGCATCCGCAGACGTTTAACCCCTTTTTTCCTCTTTCCCTCTCCCTTCCTTCCTCTCTGTTGCGCCTATGGCCACTGTACACCAAGCCTCGAGCCACGCGCACCAGGAGGCACTGCGCATGCAGCACCACCAACGCGCCGCTGGGGAAGTTTTTGCGGCACATGCCTCTGTTCACGGCTCATCTCAGCTGCAAGAAGGGGGAAGCGGGGGCAGTAAGCAGTCGCTCTGGCGCTGTGCAGCAGCGTTTGTGGTTGGAAGGACGGGGGGAGAGAGGGAGAGAAGCTGCGAGTCAGACACCTTGTTGCACTTGATTCGTTTTCCTTACCCCCTTGAAGTTAAGAGCGAGCTCCAGGAGATCTTCACGAACTCCAGGAGCAGACAGAGCACCTGTATACTTGCTGCTGCCGTTGCCAGTCTCGCTGCTAGCAGGGCAGGTGCTACAGTCGTCGCTGGCTTGCAGTTCTCCCCTCTCCACAGCGCCTCCTCCTGCTGCTTCTGCTGCCGCCTCTGCACCGAGTGTACGGACAGCAGCAGCTTGCAGCGCTGCTACAGCGGCTGCTCTCCTGCTGGCAAGCGCGTCGAGGCGGCTGCTGCTTGCAGCAACAGCTGCAGCTGCCGCGTGAGAACTCGGAGAATGCAGATACACGCCAGTCACTCCATAGCCTGGGCTCCTGTGCAGCGCGAAAGACTTCAGCACGGATCCTAGCGTCCAGCCACCTCCGTGCGGCAAGGGTCCAATGTAAAACTTCTGATAATACTCCCCTGAAAGCGGGAAAAGCACATCCGAGACGGCAGCCGGCGTACCGCTGTTTGCTTCCTTCGCACATTGTACGGACAGAGCAACTTACGGCACGCGCAGCATGCGCCCTCGCATCAGACACCACACGGCGAATTGGAATCAAAGCTACTGAAATCGACGCGCGAGGATCTCCACAAGCAGGGAGGGGGTGTGCGCTTGCAGCCATACACCCCTTTCTTCTCCTCCCACTCACCACTCTGGGGAACAAGCGTGAGGTTCGTGGCTTCCGCGACTTGCAGTGCAAACGCTGGATCCCAAGACGGCCAGTCCTGTGAGCACCCCGGCAGGAGCAGCAGCAGTAGCAGCAGCAGTGTGCATGCATGCATGCACGCATGCATACGCATGCATGTAACATGCATACGCATGCATGCACGCAGAAAGAGGGTCTCTAAAGGAAACGCAGAAGGCAGGGGGAGGGTAGGAAATTGCCTCCTCCTCTGGAGTGAATACAGTCCAGGCGAAAGAATACACAGCGGACCGCTGCGTATTCTTCTTCTTAAAAAGAAATAACTGCAACGGCAGCAGCAGCATGCAAGCATGCAACCACGCGCAGGCAAGGTGCCCCTCGCCAACCTTCCTCCCCCTCCGCTCTCCCCGCAAACAGCAAGCAGCAAACCTCAAAACGCAACAACAAAAACAAGAATAACAGCAGATGCAAATGCAGCCGCAAAGACGGACTTCAAAGATACGAGCGTCACCATAGCCTAAACCAAGTCTGTCTCTCTGAGGTTCCCAAGCGCCTCGCAACTGCAGCGGCGCAAATCCTCCTTCAGCCTCATTGCTGCTGCTGTTGCTGGTGCTGGTGCTGCTGCTGTCAACCTCCGGGAGGGTTACCACGCCAGGATCTAAAACTGTCTGGTTAAAGAGCTCCTCATACAGCGGATAGTGGTGCCAATCGGAAGACTGAACATACATACAGGAGACAAAAAGAGAGACAGGGGAGAGACGGAGACATACATGTATATATAGTTGTGAGTATGTATATGTGTATGGATAGATATATATATATATATGGATATATATATATATATATGGATATATAAATATATATGGATATATATAGATGTATGGATATATATATGTATGTATACACGAATGTATATGTATATATAGGTATACATTTATAGATGTGTATATACATGCAGATATGAATGCATATATATATGTATATTTATATATATATATATATATATATCGGTATATACATGCAGACGCAAAAGGCCCCAACACGCCTCCGAAGGTCTCATGTGACGTTGGGTAGAAGAAAGAGGAAATTCTTTTTTCTTGAATTTTTACTGCATGCATACACTTCCTAAGTGGTGAGGCGAGTTGTTTTTTGCGAATTCCCCAAGAACGTGCGATCTCTCCTTTTTCCTGCCCCTGTTGCTCCCTGTCACGCACCTCCCTTTCCCGTCGCATGCGTGCACAGCGCATTGCTGTATTTATGAATGCTCAGAGGTTGGGGTAACAAAATTCAGAAAACTGACGAAACTCACAACTCCGCGAGTCTCCGTCCAGAATTTCAGGGGAAGCCGCGGGAGCGGCGGCTCCTCGAGCGATCGAAGCGTTGGAATTCTTGGAATCACTGGCAGACCAAAGTCTTTCCAGCAGCCTGCAAAAGCCAGAAGCGAATGCGTCTCGCTCCGAGCACGACGCATGCTGCTCTCTTCCCTGTTTCCAGCGCTCCATGGAGAGATTCAAAAAAATGCCGTCCCAAGAGGCCTTATCTAAGCGTTCAACAAGAGTTCAAGTTTTCACGCAGCTCACCTCTAGACGCAATATGCCAATTTCTGAAATCGGTGAGCGGCGCAGTTCTCAGAAATCCGAATTTCTGCAGCACATGCAACTCCTCGTTGAGCAGGCCGCTTGGGGGGCCCCCCGACGAGGGGCCCCCCGACGAGGGGCCCCCCTTACCCCCCAACGGCTGAGCAAGGCCAGAAAAACTTTTTCCTGGAGGCTTCAATCCTCGCTGGTAGAGCGTCGTCGGGGGGTTGCTTCCAGCGCTGCGCTCGCTGCGAGACTTCTGCTGTTTTTGGCAGCACAGAGACGCTTCTGAGGGAGGGTCTGAAGCGGCTGTTGCGGCAAGAAGCTGCGACAGACGCTGATGCTGTTGATGCTGCTGTTGAGGCTGCTGTTGCGCATTCGCCACTGGTAGTACCAAGGCGCTTGGAGAAAAGGGGAAAACTACGTGATGCCTTGGGTGTCGTCTCCCCGCTGAGACAGCCGCTCGTGAGGAACCTCCCGCTGCTGTAGACTGCTGCACAAAGAGTAACTCGAAGCATGCGGGCTTCCTGTTGCTGCTGCTGTTGCTGTTGCTACGGAGAGAGCGCCAGCAGCGATGCCACATCTGCCCTGCACTGCAGCGGCTGCAGCAGCAGACGATCCAGCAGCAGACGATCCAGCAGCAAAGCCGCGCAAGCGTCTGCCAGGGCTGCATTGCACGCGCGCATGCGACGCAGTGAGGCACAGGGGAGGAAGGAAGGAAAGAAAGAGGGAGAAACCCTTAAGGAAGACTCTCCTCTACACTACGACGAAGCTTAGACACAGCCATGCCAGAGGAGGGGAGGAATAGAGGTGCAAGGGCCGTCATAGGGCAGACAAATCCAGAGATCGCTCATGCGATAAATGAGAAAAAGAAAACTAATCCTTGCCCCCCCTCCTTCCCCTCTGGCGATGGTGATGGGATGTGCAGGCAACGCCTGCAGCGTGGCGCAAGGACGCTCCACGTAAAAAAGCCGGAAAAGATTTAAAAAGCAAAATTAGTTTTTTTGCTGTCGCATGTGCGGCTTTAGGTGGAGGTGAAGCCAGCGAATCGGGGGATATCCGTGTCGGCAGAAGCAGCATCGCGAGAAGAAGAGGATCGTGCATCTGTATCTGGTATTTTTTGATGGAAGCTTCATAGAAGACGGCTGGAAGCTGCTTTTTGCTGGGCTTTGATCTTTCGCATGCCCTCTCTCCGGTGTGGGGACGGGCACCTCCCTGCCGTGTTTGTTGCCTTCGTGGCTTCAGCAACAGCAGCGGCTTTCTGTGTTTTTTTGACAGTCTTCCGATTTAATATGTCGAGGAGGCTATTGGAGCTGTAGCACAGGCCCAGGCGTGTCAATCAAGAGTTTGAGCAGCGGCTGCGCAGCGGCAGGAGGCGGGAGAAGGTTAAGGCATGCGGCAGTTTGAGATTGCCGCTCGAGGCAGCGAATGCATGAGAGCAAGCCTGCTTCACCAAAGGCCTCTGAGAACGCAGCAGCAGCATCGCGTCTGTTGTCGCTAAGATACCTTCCTTAAGAAGATGGCAGTTTCTAGCAGAGGCAAGCGGCGTGCAGCGCCTGTTGCCGCTGGTGGCGGGGGGGGTACTGGTGGAGGCGAAGGAGGAAGGAGTAACCCTTTCGACGTTATGGGGAACAAAAAGACGAAGCGAAAGATCCTCGGGCTTAAAGTGAAGGGGACAGAGAGGAATCTGAGCAAGGTGAGTGGAGAGAGTGCGCCATAAGGAGGGGAGGGGGGATGAAGGAGAAGAAGGAGATAGGGAAGAAGGAGAAGGGGAAGAAACGTGCTGTTTTGCAGAACCTCAAGCCCCCCTTTTTATGGCTTTTTTTTCCACAGAATCCTCATCCTTCAGGGTAGTAGTCGCTATACAGCTAGCGAGGCTTTTTTTTATCGCGCTGTTTTCTGCGAGCGCATGTAGAGCACGGAAGCCTCTTATGATCTCAGCATCTGTCTCTCTCTCTGTACGAAGCGTTTGAGACAGAGAGACAGAGAGAGACACAGACAGAGAGACAGATAGACACAGACAGAGAGACAGAGAGACACAGACAGAGAGACACAGACAGAGAGAGACAGACAGAGAGAGCTCCTACATTTGATCTTGCAGGGGCATATACAGTACTTACGGTTGCGATGTGTTGAGTGTGGCATCTTTGTGTCTGTAGGCAGCGAAGGTGACCAGCGCAAGCGGCACCATCAGCAGCAGCAGCGCAAGCGAAATTCACGATGAACGCTTGTTCAAGAGCAGCGGAGGCAATGCAGCGGCAACAGCAACTGCACGGAAGGTAACAGGCAGCTCAAGAGCAGCAGCCATAGCAGCTGCAGACGCTGAAGAGCTTATGTTTTCTCGCTTAGTCTTGATGCGGCAGCAGCAGCAGAGGCTGCTGCGCAAGCAGCAGCAGCAAGCGCAGCAGCAAAAGAAGCGGAAGAGAAAAACGTTTGCCTTGGGAGATTCTGACAGCGAGGACGAAGCGAAAACACCCGTCGGCTTCTCCGTGTTGGGAGAGGCGACTGCTTCGGAGCCAACTCTGGATGGAAATGAAGATTTGCTGCTGCACAAAGGAAAAGCAATTGCAGCAATGAACGACGAGGAACTGCGCGCATCTGCTGCGACACTTATTGCACACAAAATTGCCGCAGAAGAACAAGTTGAACATGAGCAAGAATGTATGTAGGCAGATCCCTCTATAAAAGACCAATGCCTCTTTCTCTCTCTCTTTCTTTCTATCTTGCGCTCTCTTTTTTTCTCTCTGTGTCTGTTTGGCTGTCTGTCTTGGTCTCTCTCTCTGTTCCTCTTTCTCTGTGTCTGTCTTGCTCTCTTTTCTCTGTCTCTCTCTGTCTCTGTTTTCTCTGTCTCTCTTTTCTCTGTCTCTCTTTTCTCTCTCTCTCTGTCTCTCTCTTTTCTTTCTCTCCCTCTCTCTCTTTTCTTTCTCTCCCTCTCTCTCTCTTTTCTTTCTCTCCCTCTCTTTCTTTTCTTTCTCTCCCTCTCTCTCCCTCTTTTCTTTCTCTCCCTCTCTCTCTGTCTCTCTCTTTTTCTCTCCCTCCCTCTCTCTTGCGATGCTTGTATTAGGGTGCTGCACCTAAAATTTGCTGGCGAGAGCAGCCCGCAGCCCGCAGTGTCTGCCCTCCTTTAGACTCTGAAACGGTTTGCAAAGCACATGCTTGCAAGCCTCTGGAAGACGAATGTATAAACTTGCGAATGCAGTGATCGACGGCGACCTCTTTTTCACGGGAGCATCTCCTGAGGGCCCTAAGTCTCGACGGGAGATCTTCAGAGAAATCATCAGCAAGAGCAAAGAAGTCAAGGCGCAGGTATGATTTTGCTCCTGAACGCTAATCGCAAAAACGTGTTCTAGTTCCTAAGCGTAGCGAGCGCTCAACGTGCTTCTCTCACAACAGGCCACACTAGAGAACGATATCACGAGATTGAAACACACAGAGAGAGAGACAGACAGACAGACAGACAGATATATATATATGCTAGAAAGAACGAGTAAATAGAAGGGGTGTATGGCTTGTCTGCTAGAGCTGCGCGCACTGCTCGAGTTCTTTGTCAAGAGCCTTGGATAGTGGATTTTTGCAAGGTTGCTGTGTTTGTGTGGCAGCATGCGCGAGATGCCGAGGAGCAGCAGCTGCTGCTGCAGCAGCTGGAGGCGCAGTTTTCTGCCGTCAGGGAAGAACTTCCATTCGTCAAACCTAAGGAGAAAGAGCCGTGAGGAGCAGAGTCTAGAATTAATAAACTTTTTGCGAAGTGGTTGGAGATGCGTGATTTAGCTCAAGGGAGTGTATCTGTATATGTCGGTATGTATATGTATATGTCTGTGTGTCTGTATGTATGTGCATAATGTATAAATATGGATATACATATATATATCTATGTACATTCATGTGGTGTATATGTATGTGTTTGTGTATAGGTATGTGCTTTGGTGCTTCTCAGGAGTCTCCATGCGCTGCTGGCGAAGTACAGCGAATCGGGGGATCAGCAAGAGGGTGTAAAGGAGCAGAAATGTCAACGAGTTTGCCAGCAGCAGCCAGAAGAAGCTTCCCTTTTTTCCTTTCTAGACAAGAGCACCCGCGCTAGCGAAGCCAGCGGCAGCAGGGGAACGCCGCTGTTGCTTCTGCACGATGGCAACGATGGGGGAAACAACAACAACAACAGCAGCAGCAGCAGCAAAGCGGCTACTGCCTCACGCATGCCAGCGGCGGCAGCAGCAGCAGCAGCAGACTACGACACTGCTGCGCGGCTGCTGCGTTTTGAGCCGCGCGTTGCAGCCGGCGAAAAGCTTTTAACAGAAGAGGAGCTGCAGGAGAAGGCACGTAAGAAGCTGCTGCAGCAGCAAAAGAAGCAGCAGCAGCTGCTGCTTGAGGAGCAACAGCGAGGTATGACATACATACGTATATATATTTAGATATTTAGATAGTCATATAATTGTATAGAGATATAGATATTGGTGATTGAGAGGCAACTAACTTTGGAGTGGCCTTCATGCCCGCAGATCTCAGTATGCAAAGTGGGAGCTTCTTCGTATTATTGTTATTGTTGCTCTTGTTGTTGTTGCTGCTGTCGTTAGTATTATTGTTGTTGTGTTTGTTGTTGCTGCTGCTGGTTAGCTTCTCCCAACGGCAGGCTTGAGTGCAATCGCTTTCTTACCATGCAGTAGATGTGCGCTAGGAGGGTGGGGTTGTGTTTGGCGTCCTCAGAGGAGGAAGAGCTACACCGTGAGGCAGATGATTTTTGGGGGGAGACCGAAGAGACAGCAGCCTCCAAGAGGCAGAGCAGCGATAGCAGCAGCAGCAGCAGCAGCAGTAACAGCGAAACAAGTGACGAAGACAGTGAAGAAGAGGAAGAGGAAACGGAAGAAGAGGAAGAAGAAGAAGAGGAAGAAGAAGAAGAGGAAGAAGAAGAAGAGGAAAGCGGCCATGAGGCAGCTGAGGAGCATGACGGCAAAGAAGAAACTGCTGTAGCAGCGGATATTCGCAAAAACTGTGCAGACACTTCAGAAGGGGAGGCTATGGTTGGCGTTGCTTGTGCATCCCGTGATGGCATTGGAAAGATGGGCATGGCAAAAGGAGCTGCATCAAAAGCAACAACAGCATCAACAGCATCAGAAACAGCAAAAGCAACATCAGAAACAGCAACATCAGAAACAGCAAAAGCAACATCAGAAACGGCAACATCAGAACCAGCAACATCAGAAGCAGCAAAAGCAACATCAGAAACGGCGTCAGCAGAGACTTTGGAATGTCCATTGAACGCCTCTATGGGGGAACAAACGGATGTCGCTGCTTTGCAGGGGTTGGGAGGAAGCGAAGATGAAGCCTTAACACCTCAGGAGGAGGCTCAAGCACGGATCTTGAAGAATGAAGCGCATGAACGCTTGCTGCCTTTTAGACCATCTCTGCCGAAGCGCGTTGAGGATGTGCCTGAATTGTTTCGGCCATGGAGATCCTCCTCTCAAGCGAAACTTTTGCATCGGTAGGCGTGTGTTTTTCACCCTTTGATGCTCCCTTTGCCTTCTCTTCTCCTCTCTCTCGCGTGCCCCCTGCTTCAGCGCATGCAGCTGTAAAGCGGCGAGACGCAAGAAGCGTTGTCGCTGATGGTGGCAGGGAAACGGATTCGAACTCTTGACTTTGTTTCGCGGCAGCGGAGCAAAGGGAAGGGATTCGAAGGGATAGAATCGGATAAGATAGAAAGAAAAGGGATAGATAGAGGATTCACGGGGGGTTGGGGAGGGGGGACGACTGCCTGAGGAGAAAGGGAAAATTGGGGGCAAGAGGAAAGCAGAGAAAGCGAAGGCTCTGTTTTCTGGTTGTGTGTCTTTCTGTCTGTTTATTCTTTTCCCTCTCTCCAGCTCTCTCTTCCTCCTATCTGTCTCTCTCTCCCATCTGTCTCTCTATTCTTTTCTTTCCCTCCTTCTCCCTCTTTTCAAACTTCCTCTGCGTGCGCTGCAGCAACGGGAAGGGCGAAAAGGCGGGAGGGATTTTCTGTATTTCTCATTCGATGCTTACAAAACATCGCGTTTCGCCAGTAATTTGCGGTAGTGAGACTGACGCACGTTCGAATGGCTTTCTGGGAGTGTCATCCTTTCGTATTTCTGCAGTTGTTTGATTTTATATCCGCCGAGAGACTCGAAGTGGGCTTCAACAATTCCTGTCTTGACGAAGGGCCTGCTCCTGCACCTCATCCTAGAGATTCACAGCAACTGCACTAAAGGCAGCGGTAAAAAGCGCAACGCCGACGCGCCATTAGGGTGCTTCCAAGCCTACATAGCGTGCTCCTCCCCTTTCCCGAGTTGCTGCTTTTTAGCAGCTTCCGTCGAGCAACCCTTGCCACATAGAAGGCCTTTTTTCAAACACAAACGCGTGCGAAGAAGGGAAGCATCACCCCACAGGGCTTTGCAGTGCAGTGTAAGGGAGCCGCGCACGGCGATGGCTAGCTACCCCAGCGGCTAGCCAGCCATCGCCGTGCGTGGCTCTGTCTTTTGACTGCGCCGCAAAACTCCGAAGACAAACTCACGCAGCCTCGATGCTCTTAGACCGTCGCATGCACGCGTCTCTTCCGCGTGTGGTGTGCTTGCAGGTGCTCCGCTTTTCGAATTGTGGCATCACATGCAGGCCCCTTTGCTGCAGCTGCTGCAGCACCCCCCCGCTGCGGCAGCGGCAGCTGCACTTTTCAAGCGTTTGCTGCTGTCTATGGCCACGCGCGTTGCTCCGCTCGACGAGGAGCTGCAGCAGCAGCTGCGGGATGCAGCTGCTGCAGATGCAAACGCTGCTGCAGATGCAGACGCTGCCGCAAAGGCTGTGGCTAAGCTCTCAGGGGGGCAAAGGGTGCTCCTGTCTATCTTGCATGCGCAACTGCCGCTGCAACTGCAGGAGCTGCTTGCTGCCGAGAAAGGCACAAGTCGATGCTTACTTACCCCAACTGACATCGCTGTACTGCAGCTGCTCCTCTGCTGTTATCCCCTGCAGCAGCATCGGCAACATCGCCTCCTGCAAGCAGCGCTTCACATCCTGGAAGCAGCAGGCACTGCAGCAGCAGCGACTCCGCATGCGGATGTAGTGCCACTGTGTCCACCTCGCATGCGCCTACTGCAGCGTCAGCTTTTCTTTCAGCAGCAGCAGCTAGAGGCCTCTCTGGATGGCAACGACGACGTCCACGGGCTGCAGCAGCAGAAGATGCAGCAGCAGGAGGTGCAGCAGCAGAAGATGCAGCAGCAGGAGGTACAGCAGCAGCTGCAGCGGCTGCAGCAGAAGCAGCAGCGTTTGGAGGAGCAACTGCGCATCCCGCCTCTGCCTCTATGCCGGAAAGGTGTTGTTGCAGCAGCAGAGGCAGCGGCGAAAAACTCGCTGCTGCAACAAGAAAGGATGTCTCTTGGCAAGGAGAAAGAGGTCTTTGTTGCTCTTCCCCCCCCAGTGCCTGCTGCTACCGCTCCCTTGACAGCTCAACTGCTGCTGCTGCAAAGGCAGGTGACAGCAGCTGCAGATCAGCGCGAGGGTTGCTTTTTTCCTTCTGCCTTCGGGGTGGCATGTGCGCTGCTGCATACTGCCGCAGAGCAGATGCTGCTGCAGCACCAGCAGCAGCCGCAGACACATCACCAGCAGCAGCAGACACAGACACCTCAGGAAGGAGGCTCAGCTGAAGAACTGCATCCAGACGTTGAGGCAGAGGTACTAGTTCAGCTTGTTCATCAACATCAACAAGAGCAGCAGCGAGAAGAACACCAGTGGGCGGAATTCGGAAGTTGTGTTGCCGTGACTGCTTGGACCATGTTGCAAACACTGGTACGCTCTAAACACATAGTATATATTTCAATCTACTTTAAAAGAAGAAACCCTCGACGTTTCGGGTATTTTTTAGAATATGTATGGCAAGCAAAAACAGATGCGGCAGGCTGAGTCAGCACTATCGGCAACACCTAGGGGCCTCTCTAGACGGCTAGTTCTGCGGCGCTGTGCTCTGTGTGTGTTGCTGCAGCGCCAGCAAACTCTCGCTGCGTATGTGCCAGCAGTGCAGCAGCTGTTGCCGGCAATGCCGTTGTTGCATGCGATGCTGCTGCAGGCTGCTGCAGCAGCCACACGTGTAGCAGCATCACCTGCAGCAGAAGCGAGCTCGAGGGAGGAGGTGTCCACCCCCCACCCTTCTAGTGCGAAAGCAACAGCAACAGCAGCAGCAACAACAGCAGCAACAGCTGCTGCTGCTGTTGTTGCCGCCATGGGGAGCACAGCGAGTTGCTGTTTTCTTCTACAACTGCGCCGCCTATGGCGGAGCGCTCTGGAAGCTGCAAGCTGCACGCTGCAGCCGCTCAGCCTGCAGCAAGCGCAAAAGGTGTGACTTGGAGGCCAAGTAATCTGCTAGAGATCCCCTGGCTAGACGTGAAAGAGGGTTGGGGGGGTTGGGGTAAACAGGAGAGGGGAGCGCTTGTGGAGGGCAAGGGTTGGCGGTGTTGCCGTTTGTGGCGTGCGTGTGTGTCTCTCTCTCTCAGCGAGGACTGCAGTTGTTGACACCTCGCTACTATGATCCTAAGAGCCTTGGAGGGTTGAGAAGCAGCATTACAAACCCCTTACAGCGGGAGCTTTTGCAGCAGCACAGGGAGAGGCGGCAGTACAAGCAGCAGAGGCGCAACGCAGCAGCAGCCATCCGTGCATCTGCAGGGGCAGCAGCGGCATCTGCAGCGGCGGCTACCGCAGCCCGTAAGGCTGCTGTAGCTGCCCACACCAAGCGAAACATCAGCATGCTTGAGCAGGATCAGGCCGAATATAAGAAGATGAAGACAACAGGTAAGAGGATCGTTTTCTTCCTCCTTTTTCGCGGTTTCATTAAGCTCTAATCGGCTAGCAAGGAAGAAGGAACACGGGAGCGGTGCGGAGTGCATGTCCGCTACGCCTGGCACGAACAGCTACTACGCGTTTTCCGTTCGATTCTCGAGAGAAAGCCATCCCAGTTGTCTTTTTGTGCAGGGGGTGGCATGGACACATCCATCAAGCCGTACCGCCCTTCAAAAGAAAAGAAGAAAAAACGAATGGCCGGAAATCGCACAGAAACTTCGCATGCAGGGAGGCGCAAAACTGAGGTGTAAACGGGCAGGCACGTGCAGCAGGCGGTGCTTGCTGCATGTGCCTGCTGCTGCTACATGCGTGTGCTGTGGCTCAAGCTGCAGCGGCAACGGGTTCTTTTGTTTGGCTTGCAAACAGACTCTGCTCAAGCATATCTTGTCGCCCTGTGCATGCAATTTTTTCGCGTAGACCGACCACTTGCGGCTCAGAGTTCCTTCTGCTCGTGCAGCGCCTCCTGCGGAATACACCGCATGGCGCGCACAATGATGCTGCTGACTTGCTGCTGCTGCAGTTGCTGCTCATCCGCCGCCTCCTGTAGCGATAGCAACTCTTGTTTGTAGCTGTTACAGCCACGGACGCCGGAGAACAGGTTCAACAGCGGCTGTAGCAGCTCCTTCCTCAAAGCAGACACGGGCAGATCTGCTCGAGGAGGAGGGTTGGGGTGCTGCAACCGCTGCTTTTGCAGGCGCTGGATCTGCTGGTCCGCATATTCAGCGTATGCCAATAGGGCGTCATGGCGAGTGGCTGTAGCGCTGTTGGTGGTGTTTCTGCTGCTACAAACCGCGTTGTAGAGAACACCGGGGGTGCAGGATTTGATAAATGCATCCGCAGATTTCAGCCACAGCCACGGGTTGCTCCTCAAACTTCTACCCACCATGACGCCAGAGATCGTGCGGCCGTTGCTGTTGCACTGCTGCAACAGCGACGCGGCCTCCTCGGGTGTCTGTACACCGCCGTTGAGGGTGAAAAAGACCTGTCTGTCCGGCAGTTGCGCGCGCGCAGCTGCAGCCGCTGCAGCTGCTGCGGCTGCCGCACGCTTATAATCCAGCGGAGGAGCCTTTTGATGACTGCGGCTGCAGGAAATACCTAAAATGCCTTCCCTCGCATGAATCACAAAGTGCCGCGGGTGTGCAGCGGCCGCTGGTGCTGCTGCACAGCCGCGCGCGGCACCGTCTTCCTCGCAATGGAAGTCTCCAATTGTGCCTCTCGGTGCCGCAATTGCCGCCGCATTGCACTGCAAAAGAAAGTCTTCAATGGATGCGCTTTGGCCTTCAATCCCCAAGCGGCATTTCACAGAGACTTCCACCTGTTGCTGCTGGAGGTTTCGCGCCGCCTCATGAAGAGCTGCGCATACAGCAGCGACCCGCTCGGGGTGTCTCTGCAGTTCCAGGCCGAATCCGCCAGCAACTGCATGGCTGCTAGGGCAGCCGCAATTGAGATTGAAAAGCAAGGGCTGCTGCTTCTGCTGCTGGCTGAAAATAATTGCAGCGGCGGCAGCTCCCGTTGCAGCAGCAGCAGCAGGATTCGGCACAGCCAGCTGCAAGACAGTGCGCTCGTCTCTTCCTACAGCCTGCAGATCCTCTGCAACGCCATGCGGCAGAAGCGGCAGCAGCTGCTCTAGCAGCTGCTGCCGCTGCGCAGGATCGCGTTCCTGCTGCAGCTGCTGCACAAACAGCAACTGCTGCTTCTGCTGCAGCAGTAGAGGCATCATTTCTGTATACAACACCATACGGGAAGACAGCAAACGCGCTAAAAAACGAAAGTGCCGGGTGGTATAGCCAAACAGCGGGGCTGCCGCAAGTGCGCATACATCAGCTGGCGTGTCATGACTGCTATCCTTGCTGATATTAGGGGCACTGCTGCTGCTAGTGCTGCTTCTGCTGCTAATGCTGCTAGTGCTGCTTCTGCTGCTAATGCTGCTTCTGCTGCATGGCTCGCGTTGCGCATAGTGAAGCGTCTTGCGTCCCCAGTTGCATGTGTTGCTCCTCAAGGGCTGTTCTCTGCAGTGGCAGCGCTGTAGAGTGCCTCCAAGCACGACGGGCTTGACGCGGGAGAATGCAAAGGCGGGCGAAACGTGTGAGTAAAATGCAAAGGCGGGCGAAACGTGTGAGTGGGCTGCTGAATTAGGTACTCGAGCTAAAGACTCAGCCACTGTCCAACCAACCGCCAGCAGCAGATGCCACAGCAGTAACGCCAGCATTCCAGATCGCCCCCCTCTCTTTCCCCCGTCCCTCCCCACCCCTTTCCCCATCGTCAGCCCCTTATGTCGTAAAAATGCATATCTTTTTCCTCATCCACCAACGCTGCTACTGCACCGCCTTCTGCGGAACTGCCGGAGCTCCTGATGCTGCTTGCTGCAGTGAGCGACGCTGTTGCAGCGCGCGCACAGGCAAGCTTCAAGCCCCTCCTCATCTACACACAGATACAGCTAGATTCGACGTCCTATTAGTGCGAACTCGGTAATCCGAGAGCGTGCGTGCGTGTCTTCCACGCATGTTGACAGGGTTCCTTGTGTCTCGAGCTGTATACAGACAAGGTTCGGAAGCTGCTGCACGGCTTTCCCTGGACACCAGAGTTCAAGTCCGAAACCACTGCAGAAAAAGGGTCCGCCAATTTCAGATTTTCAATGAGTGATGCAGACGGAAATGCAAATCGGGGAAGAGGGCGTCAAGGGGGTTGCGCAAAGTACGCCTAGGGCTGGGAACGAGCGCCGTTGCTTGCTGAGCGACGGCGCTGCAAGATTCGAAAGCTGCATGCAACAGGCTTTCTTTAGGGTTTAGTCCATATAGTAGCCTTCTTCCTAGACTTCTTATTCTCAATCGGTACACATAATGAATATATATGCATCGATTTCCAGGCTGCGCGCGCATCGCTGCCAAGTTGAACGCGCCACCGCTTGTCCACTTCAGCGTTGAGGAAGCAGAAAGCCTAAACCTTCGACACTGATCCGTGCTCCTCTCTTCTTCCGTATGCGCGCAATGACCACTTGAATGGTCGCTGTGGTCAATAGTTTCAAGGCATTCCCTTGAGAGCGGAAGCTCTTTCCACAATGGACCGGGAAACGTGCGCTACCGCCTCCGGCGAGGCGGTACAGTTTCATGAGCCGCAGTTAGAGGGGGTGCAGCCGCGGCTGCCACAGCAGCAGCAGGGAGGGTCCAGCTTCTTAGGAGAGCCCCCTGTCGCATCTGGCAGCAGCAACAACAGCATGGAGGAGGCGCGCAGCAGCAACAGCCAGCTGTGGCTGTCTGCAGGCATAGCGGGCCTGATGTGCGTTGCCGCGGGATTTTCCATTTGTGTTGCTGGCGCCGTGCTGCAGCCTCTGCAGCAGGATTTTCGTTTGTGTGGCTCGCAATTTGCATGCACGGAAAAGGGGGCTTTCGTCGCTGTCTTCGCGCCAGGAGCTGCGGTACTTTGACACTGCTCTAATCCCATTCATTTTGTCCATACCGCAATGGAGAGGGGCAAGGAGGATGAAGGAAGAACCAACAAGGGGAATAGTTAGGTTTGGGGGGGAATTCAGCTTTTGCTGCAGCGCTTTGTTAAGGCGTAGGCTTTCGCGGGTTATCCCTGATTCGCAGTGCTCGACGGCGTGCGTCGTGTCTGGCAGCGAGAGGACGCGAGGTGGACTGCCTCACTCAGTGCCGTGCGATGTCTAGAGAAAACTAGATGTCGGCGAAAAAATATTTCTGAAATTTTCCTTGCAGGTCGGGAGTCTGGTCGGCGGCTTCGTGGCAGATGCAGTAGGACGATGGCGTTCGCTCTTTTGGACTTCCCTTGCCTTCATAGCCGCTACAGGCCTCACTGTCATGAGCGCAACCTACGCTGTAAGATTCCTGAAGACTGCTGGAAATGATGACGAGGAGGTCTTTTGCCGCTGCGCTCGCCACATCCGCATGTTTCACTGCAGTGCGGGTTCTCCTTTTTCTGCCTTCTGCAGCCACTTGGTTGGAGGGAGGGGAGGTTTGAGAGCTCTGCGCTTTCAGAGACTTTGCCCTCTGTGTATTAGTGTCTGTATGTATGTATGTATATGTGTACGTGTGTATGTATGTATGTATGTGTGTATGTGAGTATGTATGTGTGTGTGTATGCGTATATATATATATATATGCGCATATATATATATATATATATATACGCATATATGTGTATATTGATGCATGTTTGTGTTTGCGTGTGTTTCCGGACAGGCGGTGTTGGTGGGACGTTTTTTGCAGGGTGTCTTTTTGGCGGTGGGCGTTGTGGCCGCTTTTACGTTTGCAGCTGAAATTGCCCCTGCAAAGCTCCGCGGATCATTTGTAGCTCTTCAAGAAGTCTTAATTTGCACGGGTTAGTCGGTGCGCATATTATATCGCAGATCCTGTTTCACGGCAGCGAATAAAAAAGCGGCTGCTAGCTAGGCAACCAGGGGGAAGGGGGGGAGAAGGCAGACACCGCAAAAAATGCTGAGCTGCGTGTGATGCAGAAAGAAACACACGTACAGATCGACAGAAGCACCCGCATATATCATACTGAAAGTCTCCTACCTAGGCACATAAACATGCATACATCTATATACATATATATATATATATATATGTACATGTAGACACACACACACACACACACACACACACACACACACACACACACACACACACACACACACACACAAACAACCAAGCACACCGAAAGAATACAGACAAACAAACAAACGAACGCAAACAGAGACACAAATGAAAATACACACCGAGTGTAGTGACACTGCAAAAGGTTGAGCGCCGGCCGTTTGCGCGTCACCACGCGCGAAGCCCGTGAGGAGGATGCGGATCCGAGAGCGCAGTAAATTAAAATCAAGGCGCTTTGGGGGGGGATACAACATATGTGATATATCTATATATGGGTATGTATAGATATATTACACATCTGTAGATGTGTTTGCATGCGTGTGCCTTGGATTCAGGTTGCTTCCTTCCGTATGCTGTTGCGTGGGCGTTTCCTGAGCTGGGGTGGCGTGGTCTGGTGTCGATGGCTGTTGTGTTTGTAGCCTTGTTGGTAAGTGGTATGCTTCCAAGCTTTTGAATACAAATTCGTTTTGCTCGTTCGCACGCTGTCTGTGTGCTTCTTTGCCGCGGCACGCTCTTGACAGCCACCCCGCCTCTTGAGAGAGTGTCGTGTGATCGCAAATGCAGCTGACAGGAGGCGCTGTTGCTGCTGTGGAGTGGGAAGAAAGGGGACTGACAGCGAAGGGCTGAGCGTTTGTGATATTCAGGCATGCTGTCTGCCTTTAATACCTGAGAGCCCACGGTTCTTGTTGCTCAAAGGCAAGAGGGAAGCGGCCGAAGTGGCGATGAAGCGGCTGAAATACGCCATGCAGCAGCGGCAGCAGCTGCTGCAGAGTGTGCAGCAGCAGCCAGATTTTCATCAGCTCGACGCGCAACAGCAACAAAAGCAACAACAAGAAGAGCAACAACACCAAGAAGAGCAACAGCAACAAAAGCAACACCAAGAAGAACAACAGCAACAAAAGCAACAACAACCACAAAAACAACAGCAAAAAGAGCAACAGGAGAGTGCCGTGGTAGACGGCTGTGCAGAGTTGCAGACGGAAGCCAGTTTTTCGGGAGCTTGTGCTGAGCTTCGCGTGAGCCCGTTGCGGTGTATACACGCGACAGCTAGCAAGGGAGGAGGAGCCTTACCAACAGCCACAAAGCCTTTTTACTGGCGTCGGTGGAATGCGAAGGGGGTGTGGCATGCTGTCTTGCTGGCGGGAGCTCTAGGGTGTGTGCACAGTCTCCTGGCAGTGAACAGCTTGATTCTGTTGGCTCCTAATGTCGTTCTCGTGTTTGGTATTTGCGACAACATGCCGCTTTCCTTTGGCATTGGCCTTTCCAAGGTACTTCGAAAGCTGAAGCTTTAGGGTTTAAAGTGGGAGGGGAGGGGGGGGAAGATAAGGGAGGAAGGGTGAGAGGCACGAGATTTGGAATAAACCTCTGTGCATGTGACTCTCTAGCCGCGCTAAACGCTGATTTCCCACCTTTATTCATTCACTTATTCTTCCCCATTCATCCGCTTATTCTTTTTCCTCCATTCATTTCTTCCCCCCTATTCTTCTCCCCCCCTCCATTTATTCACTTATTCTTATCCCTCCATTTATTCCCTTATTCTTCCCCATTCATTCACTTATTCTTCTCCCCCCTCCATTTATTCACTTATTCTTATCCCTCCATTTATTCCCTTATTCTTCCCCATTCATTCACTTATTCTTATCCCCCCTCCATTTCTTCCCCCCTATTCTTCTCCCCCCTCCATTCATTCCCTTATTCTTTTTCCTCCATTTATTCCCCCTTATTCTTTTTCCTCCATTTATTCCCCCCTATTCTTCTCCCCCCTCCATTCAATCCCTTATTCTTTTTCCTCCATTCATTTCTTCCCCCCTATTCTTCTTCCTCCCTATTCTTCTTCCTCCATTCATTTCTTCCCCCCTACTCTTCTCCCCCCTCCATTTGTTCCCTTGTTCCCCCCTGTCTCGTGCAACAACACGCATGTCTCCCCCTCGAAACGGCTGTTTGGCTAAAATCTGTGCGGCTTTTTGCAGCTCGCAGGCGCTGTATGCTGTCTGCTGACTGCCGACTATGTCGGACGGCGTTTCCTGTTGTTGTGGGGTGCCGCTTCGATCTGCCTTACGCATGTGTTCCTCGCGGTAATTTTTTTGAAGTCGCATCACGCCGAATTCGGAAGTCGCATGCGTCGCAGAGGGCGGCTGCGAGGAACACGATTTGCACTTGGCCGCTTCTTTCTGCTGGAGGAGGCGGCGACAGTGCTGGCTAGCTGGCTTCTCGACGAGCATGCGGAGGTTCTGCCTTTGTGATTTGTGATGGCCTTCGCAGATCTTGGGGCTTGTTAGGCGACAGCTGTTGCCTTACGAGCTGCTGCAGCTTTGTACAGCCGCGAACTTCTTGAACCCGCAGGCTGCTTCTGCTTCTGCGGCTGCTGCTGCTGCTGCTGCTTCATCTTCCCACACGCTGCACGAGCAGCAATTTGCTGCTGCGGCAACTAGCGCTGGCAGTGGCCTTGTGCTAGCGCTGATGATCTTCTTTTGGGGAGCTAGCTGGTCCTGCATTGTGCCAGTCGTGGCTGCCGAAGTAAATGAGCACTTTGTCTTCACTTGAAGTGGCAAGCCGGCAGGCGCCTTCCCTTTGAGCGCTGCCTGCCTCCTATAGGGGTTCTGTGTTTTTTGCGCAGCATCACGCGATGACGAGGGCAGCTTTTGTCGTGCGCGACGGCCTGCTGGGCAAGGCAGAGACAGTCGTCATTCGACAACGGCTTGCGTTTGTTGTGCATGCAGCTGGTGCCTTCAAGTCACAGAGCCTTGGCAGTAGGCCTTGCGAAGGCCCTTGGATGGGTTGTGGCTGGAGTTTTCCAGCTCTTTGGAGAACGCGCGCTAGTCGAACTCGGCATGGACGGTAAGGCGTTGGTGCGAGGCAGATAGGCAGGCAGGGAGACAAGCTGGCAGATAGGCAGACAGACAGGGAGACAGACAGGCAGACAGGGAGGCAGACAGGGAGACAGGGAGGCAAGCGGGGAGACAGGCAGACAGACAGGGAGACAAGCTGGCAGATAGGGAGGCAAGCGGGGAGACAGGCAGACAGACAGGGAGACAAGCTGGCAGATAGGCAGGCAGATAGGCAAGCAGACAGACAGGGAGGCAGACAGACAGACAGGCAGACAGCCTCCTGTGAAGAATTTGGGGGCATCGAGTTTTCTAAAGGCTTTTTGTTGAAAGTGGGCGTTGAGCAGCTTGCCCCCCCTCCCACCGAGTTAGACCCACACGCGGAGTCTGTGGCTTGCAATTGAGTGCGGAAGCGTTTTTCTGTTGTTTCCTGTGGCTTATGGTGTGTGCATGCGAAGTGTGTTTCTTCGCCTTTGCGCTTCTCTCGTTGGTCGCGCTCGCGTTTGCATTCTTCTACATTCCGGAGCTTAATGGTGCTGAGCTTGCCGACTCCCCAAAGGCTCGTCGTGGGCAAAAGGCTGCTATTTCCCTTCCCCCGCCTCTGCCTTCGCCGTCTGCCACGCAAGTCTCCCCTGCGCCCTCTCTCCAGCGTGCTACTGCTGCGTGAGGGCAGGGAGAGCGCAGAGCACCTGTTACACCCTCTCTACTTTATAGGACTGATCTCGATTCTAAAAGGGCCGTTCGGCGAGGCTGCTCGTGTCGCCGAGGCTGAATACGCTTTTCCTGCGTTGTAACGGAGGGTGCTCGAAGAGGAGCAACAGCCGTTTGCGCAAGCCGAGGGTCTCTAGGCTGCGCAGTGCTGGCCTTTCCACAAGTGCACTGTATACGCCCAATGAGCAGTTGGCAGCGCTGTGTGCAGCCTGCAAAATTCGAGAGTTTAAAGCCCTAAGGCCAGCTCGCGGCAAGAGACGCAATTCTCGGGGGCACCTTGTTGCTGAGTGGCCTACAGTCCCCTGGTGCCTCACGGAAATCACGCCTGCAGCTGCTCCTTGAAGGAGCTGTAGGCTTAAGAAGCGATGCACACCTGCGCAAATGTGGCGCTCGTCTAGGATTTCGTTACGAGTTTTAGTGGTACAAAGTTGAAGGCTAGAAGTGCGCGCTCGTGACCAGCTTTTTTCGCTGCGAGCTGCTCTGTATGACACCTCCTCGGAGGCTAGCGGAGGGAGTGGGGGAAGTGGAGGCGGGGAGGTAGGTAGGCGAGAAGCAGGACTGCTTTTTCCCTTGTTAGCAGCAGGAATACTAAAAGTGGGGAGCTATCATGTGCAGGCATTGCGAGGCAGTAGCAGGATGCAATTGGAAAACCACTGTCGGCGGCCTTCTCCCCCCTGCATCCTTTCCTCCTTCCCTACATCATTGAGAGACAGATATACTCCATCCATGATGGTTGCCCTCATGTACATGGTAGTTTTTCAAAAGTTCTCCCGTTGGAAGCAGGGTAGCTGCACAGGGACGGGGTGCGGGGGAGGGAGGAGAAATATCAACACAAAGACCATTCGTAATGGTGCCCCTTTCTGTGCCTATCGCCTTCCTCCCGCTCAGCCCTTCTGAAGGCTCGCGTCAACAATTTCTGCGTGCCTTGCATGACAAGGGATGCCCTCCCTCCTGGCTTCGCATGTTGCCTCCATCAGCTAGTTCTGGTGCCTCATGTGGGCAAGCTTGCTACCTCCGCAGCGCACCTGCTTCGCTGCATTTCTGCCATCCAGCTGTCTCTCTGTTCAGGGAGGAGTACTCCCCTCCCCAAGAAGACTCACGCACAAGAGGCTTTCCGCGCAGAGAGAGAGAGACAGAGGAAGAGGGAGAGGAAAAAAAAAGAGAGATGCCTTACAGCTCCCCGAGCACCCCTGCTCTGTAGCCAGCTCCCTGCAAGGCAACCACCAGATGCAGCTATCTGGCCCTTCGCTAAGACACTTGTTCACGGTGGAATTCAGCGAAGGCGCAGGGGCATGCGGCAGCTGCAGATGTCTTGCAGTGTGCAGGCTACGTGGCTCAGGGGGAAGCGAGCAGCGCCGTGGGAAGGGATCCAAGGGTGTGCGAGGGAGGGGAAGCGACAAGTGAGCGTTAATGCGATTCTGAAGTTTTTTTTATCCAGCGTTGATAGAGGTTTCGATCCTCTCCGCTCACCATTCGCAGCGGCCTCAAGGCTCATGAGGGCGTTCTAATTGACCCTTCCGCAGACTTGACTACACTAATACCGAGCGCTTTTAGGAATTAGCAAAGAACTGACCGAGTGTTCAGTCCGCTCGTTGATCTTATATATGGAGCAATGGGTTTGGCACAAAAAAAGAGCCCCGATGCTGTTTGTGCTCTTGGGTGCTACAGGTCGCTCGGCGGGATCATCCGTTAACGCCTAAACGGTGTGGTGTATGGACAGCCTTCCCAACTGAGCCCCCCCGTTAGGCCGTTTCTCCTCGTTTTGGTATGGTGAGGCGCGCGAACAGAGAAGGCAGAAGCTCTCTTCAACAAAGGCCAGCAACGTTCCTTGCACAGAGTCTGTGCAGAGAGTCGCACTGACGCGTATCTGCACGTGTGTGTGCAGGACTTCAAATCGTGTGCATGGCAGCGGGATGATCTAACAACACTTGCTAGATATACGGGATTCCTAAGGGAAACTGTTAGGGTCTGATCCGAGCACGGCATCGTCTGCTACAGTGGCTGCTGCAGCACTCCATCCAAGCAGATAAAGGAACTCTAAAAACATCGCAGCTACCATGTTCCTCTACAGTCAGTCGCAAGAAAATCCGAGGCGCACACATATCACTGCTGATGGTGACACCGGCGCTCACACACACACACACAATGACGCCTTCTGCCTGCAGTCTCTCGGGGAAACCCTGGGTGTGACACGCGAGCAAGAAGGAAGCCTTTTCAGAGAAAAAGAGGGAACAAAGCAGGCAGCAATCCGATACAAGAGCGACGGCGGCAAGGGCATTGTTACAAGGTTCCCCTCTTTTCCTGCCGTGCAGGTGACAGACAGGGAGTGGGTTTTGCAGCAACCACGGAGGCTGCGCACGGCTCGAGTTGTATACAGCCTTTCCGTTGCATTCTGTGTGTTTCATGCACGATGAATGCATCCCTCGTTTATGAAACAATCATGCGAGACCTCTCTCTCTCTTCCCAGCTCTGCCGTGACGACGACGCAAGCCAGCGACGCCTCTCGGGGGGCCCCCCTTCCCTAACCCCTCTTGTACTAGCGGCCAGCCACTGGTACAAGCTGGATTAGGGGCTTTTCGAGTCAGCATGAGTCTTGAGGAAACCCTTTCGGCTGTTTTATTTGCTTTTTATTCATGAATACTCGGCGCTCCGCGATCACCGAAGAGGACTTTTCCCTCGCCGACGCGGGCGTGGCCGTGCAGGAACAAAGCCCCGTCTGGCAGGGGCCCCTCTTGCACGAGAACTCCCCTCTAATTTGAGCATTCGTTGCAGAAATTCCCACTGCTTTCGCTGCCTGGAGCAGTTGGTGCGCTTAACGCACTCCCGAAGCTTCCCTACGCAGCCGACAAGGCCGAGCCGGCGATTCGCCTCTTGACCATGCTTTCGAAAGAAACAACGAAGATGCCAAAGACAGAAGTAAGCAAGAGGCAGTAATCTGCGCCTTTCAGAGGCGCAGACGAGGAGATAGACACCAAACGAGCTCATGAAGCGCGTAACATACACATACACGTATACACACATGCACATACACGCATACACACATGCACATACACGCATACACATATGCATATACACGTATACACACATGCATCTACACCTATACACACATGCATCTAAACACACACTTTGGGGAGGGAGAGAACTGAGATTGGACGTGAAGGCTGGAAGAAAAGGTGGGAAGCTAGGTTTCTAGAGGTTGTCAGGTTTGAGGATTTGCGTGTATGCATGCATTGCAGGTTGAGACTTTGCTGCTGGAGATTGGTGCTGAAATGGGGCGGACCGCAACAGAAATGAATCCCTTTGTTCGGAAGTGCGTTCGCAACGCCCTGCAATTCGACTTTGGCTGTCTGTGTTTAAAGGTTTAAAAAGCATGTGTTGAAGTCTGTAGCTGTGTTTTGAAATGCTGCAGGGTTGTCGAGGAGAACTGGCTAGATACCAAAGGTAGGCGGCATCGCTAGCACTGTGATCTTCCCTTGTTGTCGTTACAGCAGCAGTAGCAGCAGCAGCAGCAGCCATGCATTCCGTCCGCTTCTTTTTCTGGATCTGAAATTTTGCAAAAACCTCCCTTCTTCTGTGTGAGTGCTTGCAAGGAGGAGCAGCGCGAGTTTTTGGGTAGGCAGGAGGGGTAAGAGGTTGGGGGCGCTGCGCTTAAATTCCGCATGTGGTTGCAGAGAGTCTCATAGCCTTGAAAGCTGAGCAGTGGAAACAACTTGGTCTGCCTCTTCGGCTAGAGACAGCCTTGAAAATTCGATTAGGCATCTCTGCCGCTGTATCTCCTGCTGACAAGTGCAGCGTCAGTGGAGGTACAGCGACACTGTCGCAAACGCCTGTCAAATGTGAGTTCTCTATTTCTCGCTGCTTCCTTTTAGTTGCTGCTTTCTACTTGCTGCCTGCTGTTGCTGCTTCCTGTTGCTTCCTACTTGCTGCCTGCTGCTGTCCACTTGCTGCTGTTGCTGCTTCCTGTTGCTGCTTCCTGTTGCTGCTTCCTGTTGCTTCCTACTTGCTGCCTGCTGCTGTCTACTTGCTGCTGTTGCTGCTTCCTGTTGCTGCAGCTGTTTTTTGCTGCTTTCTACTTGCTGCCCTCCACCCCACCCCCCCTATGCCTTCCTTCCCGCTGGAGACTCTCTGCCTCCAGAAGCAGCAGCTGAACGATATCTTTGCCTTTTTGGCACTAATTTCCGCTTGTGCAAGGTGAACGCACTTTCTAATGCCGCTGTTGGTAGTGGGGTTGGGTGCTCTTTACAATGCGTCGCCTCTGCAGCAGAAGCGCCAACGGAAGATGCCGCTCTTCCTGCAGACAAACATCAGGTAGATGAGTTTAGTGTGGAATATGGAACCCCCCCTGAAGGGCTTTTCGTTTCTTCCATTGAAGATGCATTGGATGCGCTTCAACGAGAGGTCAAGACAAACACACACACGAACACCCACACACCCACAAGCACGTCCATATAAATACATGTACATATGTACAATAACGTGCATACACATCTACACATGTATACATGCATATATGTGTATAGACATCTATAAATGCACGCCTGCATCTGCCTATTATACACTCACCCCCGTAATACACACACACACCCCTTACACACATGAACGCATGAAGAAACTAAAAGTAAAAACAGCAACAGCAGCACACAGGTCTTCCGAGCAGCGGCTAAGGCGCTGCATGCTGCCGTCTTCTGCGGCTCCTGCAGCAGTTCCTTCTGCTGCTCTTTCCTGTTAAGCCGTCGGCAGTAGGAGGAGGCAGTGTGTCTCTGTAGCCGTTGCTTCAGGCGGATAGCGAACTGCTTCGAGAGGCAATTCGCGTGGTGCAGCAGTTGCTATTAGGAGTTCTCGAGCAACCAACGCTGCCTAAGAGGCGCAAGGTTCGGGCTGCAAATCCCACATTCAGTGCGAAGGTATGCGCCAGTCGAAGGCTCATTTCAGAGAATACTTGTCTACACCCCAGCTGCTGCCTCTAGCAAGATCTCGCCTTGCGTTCATACCCCGGAGAAGGCGCGGCTTGTGCGCATAAAAGAAGGCGGAGCACTAAAGTGTATGTGTATGTGTGTGTGTGTTTGTATGCGTACGTTTGTATGCGTATGTTTGTATGTGTGTGTATGTGTATGTTTGTGTATATGTTTGTGTGTATGTTTGTATGTGTGTGTATGTGTATGTTTGCATGTATGTGTATGTGTATGTTTGTGTATGCTTGTGTATTTTTGTGTATCTTTGTGTGTATGTGTATGTTTGTGTATGTGTGTATGTGTACGTGTATGTTTGTGTTTGTGTTTGTGTATGCATGTGTATGTGTATGTTTGTGTTTGTGTATGTTTGTGTGTATGTGTATGCGTACGTTTGTGTTTGTGTATGTGTGTATGTGTATGTTTGTGTATATGTTTGTGTATGTTTGTATGTATGTGTATGTGTATGTTTGTGTATGTTTGTATGTATGTGTATGTGTACGTTTGTGTATGCTTGTGTATTTTTGTGTATCTTTGTGTGTATGTTTGTGTGTATGTGTATCTTTGTATGTACATTTGTGTACGTGTATGTTTTGTGTATCTTTGTGTGTATGTTTGTGTATGTTTGTATGTATGTTTGTATGTTCGTGTATCTTTGTGTGTATGTTTGTGCATCTTTGTGTGTATGTTTGGATCTGTATGTCGCGCATAGGTGGGTAGACACCCCGCAGCCGTGAGGGTGTTGCTGGCGGTGGGGTTTCGAGAAGAATTTCTTGATGGCGAAAAGTTTTTTGTCTTGCGCACGGCGTATATCCGTCGGTAAGCCTCAGCGTCCTCGTGTCTCTTCTCCTGGAGACGAGTGTCTCTGTCGACTCCGAGCAAAGGCTTAGGAAGGAGGGGGCAGCCGCATTGAGGCGTTCATACACCTGCACACAGGAATAAGGCCCTAGACAGCCTGCGTGCAGGTTGGTGATTTGTTATCGCATGCTCTCTGAGCCGGCTGCTGAACTTGGAGTTTCCTTCGCACCGCTTCCTAAGTGCTACTTCGACCCTTTCTCCAGCAGCATTACTTGCAGTGCTGGTCAAAGGCAAGTCGATCCTCCTGCTGCCCTTTGCGCTGCGCTTCGGCGGCAACAAACAAATTCCCTTAGTGCCTTCGAGTTTCTATTGATGTTTAGCCATGTTTCTTCTTTTCTGGTGCCTGCGATGCAGCACACTTCCTCGGGCAGCAGCAGAGGCACGCGCCGCAGAAGCGCGAGAAATCGAGAGACAAATCAAAGAAAGGAAGCGGATTCTTGCTGTACGTCTGTGTGGATCCATGGAAACTGCTTTGTGCAATTCCCGAAAGACACTTTCGGCATATTCAAGGTCCTCTCTTGCTGCCTCTCTCGAACTCTCACAAGGGGGAATTCAAAAGGGGCCTCTAAATGCCGTTTCTCCAAATGCCTCCATGATCACGACGGGGGATGCCGATGTTGAGGGGTCAAGTTTCGTCACTTTATCGCCTGTGGTCGGTGGTTCTTTTCAGACAGGAGGTGACGCTGCTCCTCCCCCCTTGAATCTCCAAGTCTTTACTGCCGAAGAGATGGGACGGTTGGATCGGCAGCGACAGCAACAGCACCAGCAGCACGAGCGCTGGGAAGAGGCCCCCTCCTCTGCAGGCACCTTGACGCCAGCAGATGTCATGCGTATCAAGGAGGTAGGAGCTCTTCTGTCGTTCCAAAGAAGCATCGCTTCTCCCCCCGTCCTCGCCTTCTCCAAGCCAAATATTTGACCCTTTCCTCGCAACACGAATTTGCGCGCCCAGTTCCACAGACAGGCATTTCGAGCGCTTCTGGGGTGTACGTACGTACAGGTAATGAGCGAAGGCCCCTCCTTCCAATCGAGGGCAAAGCAGCAGTTGGAAATGCTGCAGAAGCGTCCAATCTTCACGGAATGCTGCGTGCGGCTGCTGCTGCCTAACGGCCTCGTGCTGCAGATGGCATTCGCACCCAGTCAGACTCTTGCATTCGTACAGTCCACAGCAGCGCAGGTCAGGCAGGCTGGAGTGTCTCGACTGACGGATGCACCCGCCGTATTGCAAATTTTGAGGCCGTTTTTTCGCAGGGCCCTTCAGCAGCGTGCCTTGTTTGCTCTGCTGCTGCTTTCCCTGTACTGCATACGCTTCATGCTGCTAGCTCATACTGATGCTTTGGTTGTGCTCGTCCTGTTGGCATCCTTTACAATGGTAGTTGTCGTGGTGATGTGATGTCTTGCTGCTGCTGCTGCTTCTGATGACGGTAGTTGTCGTGGTGATGTGATGTCTTGCTGCTGCTTCTGCTTCTGATGACGGTAGTTGTCGTGGTGATGTGATGTCTTGCTGCTGCTGCTGCTTCTGATGACGGTAGTTGTCGTAGTGATGTGATGGTGCTGTGCTGCTTCTGCTGCTGCAGTTTTTGCATCCTGATTTCCGCAACGGCCGCCTTCGGTGGTTTCTGTGCGAGACGCCACCCCTCCGCCGCATGAACCCCCGGAAAAGCCTCTATGAGGAAGGCCTGCTGCCTCGCTGTCTGCTACATCTCAAACTAGAGGGTAAAATCTGTGCGCGGCTGTGTAGGCTGTGGCGAGTTATGCATGCCTTAGCGTGTGGGTGCGACGCGTTGCCGGGTACCTTAGAGTTTAGGGCTTTCAGTTTTTTTATTTTTATGCACTGCAGAGAACTCGCCGGAGGCACCAGAGGCCTGTCTGGACAGCGAAGCCTTGCGCAATGCTGGCGTAGTGTCTGTCCCCACCCCGAGTCGCAGCAGTGGTATCACAGGTACTAGCAGCGCTGCTGCACGGCGGAGCGGTGGCGCATATTTACCTGGACACGAGGTCGCTGCAGCTAACGAGAGAAGCAGCAGCAGCAGCAGTAGTAGTAGTAGTAGTAGTGGCAGTAACAAGGGCCGGCACGCCCTCTCTCGGCTGTTTGGTTCCAAAGGGCACAAATTGTGAGCCGTTGTGGGCAGCATGATGGAACTAACTAAACAGCGCTTTTTGAAGTTTCTTATGAACGGAGCTTAACGAAGCTATGGGTCGAGATGCACGAGAGTTCAGGGCTGTCAGTTTTTAAAAAACGGTGAATTTTAGAGAAGGCCACCGACAGCGATTACGCAAATCAGTAAATCTAAAGGCCCCCTAATAAGGGCACCCGTCCACCCCCTATGGGGAATGCAGCCCGCTGAAAATGGCCGTAAAAATACATAGAGCCTATCAGGACAGAATGCAGCTAGAACTCGCTCTCCGTAAACAAACTGAGACATGTGGTTTCACGGCCCACATGCGTTCAAGAAGCACGGCGCTGAATTCCTCGCTAAAAGAGGTTGAGGATGGCCGTAAATAGGTTCTCCGTGTCTCCAGGAATTCCCGTGTCTTCTTCGTACTTTTCAAGAGTTTCTTCCTTCAGTTGGGTGATGGCTGCCCTTGTTTGCACTGTCCACTCCCGCATTCGAGTGAAACGTGCAACTAGGCTTTCTACATCGAAGTTCGTCATGAAACTTTCGAGAGAGTCAATCGGCAATGGATGCTGGGTGATGATCTGCTCCATCCCCCTGAGAAATTCGGCTAGCAGGGCAGAAGGGAACTCCTTCGTCTGCTGTCCAGGTATGGGTATCGTAGGGGTCGCTTGCTCTTCGGATGCCTCTAGCGATTTCATGAACCCCGCGAAGCCGGCGTGGCTGCTCACCATGAAAGTCGACTCCAAGTTGACTAACTTGACGGACGTCGCCACATTTAAAGCCAGCTCTTCCGGAACGGTGTTCTGCGTGTCTGTGGGTACACCTTCCGTGTTACTATCCAGCAGCATTCCCATGAACGTCATCAGCGAGACACCATCGTTCGTCTGCTTTTTCAGCTCATCAGCATTTGGGGTGTATGTCGAGGTTTCGAGATCTGCGGGCAGGCCGCTTTTTTGAGCCAAGATCTGTACTGCAATGACATTCTTCAGCCTCCTGCTCGCCAGGTTCACCACTCCCTTAAGAAGTTGGATTTGCTGCGTCCATATGGCGGGGCCCTCCGGCAGGGCACTCGCTTTTATCAGATTTTCGACAGGCTCCAGTATGACTTGCAAAGGCTGCTGTCCGTCTTGTGGCTGGATCTTCAAGTATTTCGTCGCGAGCACCTGTCGCGCCTCCTCAGAGGCCTCCTGCCAGAGGTGCTTCAGTTTGCTTGTTTCGATCTTCAAATCGGCTATGTGCCAAAGAGGATCAGAAGGCTCGAGATGAGGAACTATGGGCAGCTCCGTTGGCTTAGCGCCAACGAGCTGGGGAAAACGCTCCGACAAGTGCCATCCTGCTGCCACAAGCAAAGCAACCACTGCCCCCACGAGGGCAAGCCACTGCGTAGAATCGAGTGGCACCCGAGGACTCCTCGGACCGACCCGGGTAGTACGGGTGGTGACAGCCTCGCCTCCGTCCTCCCCTGCTTTGAGAGGTCTTTCAATGTACTCAGACAACCCTCCAAGTTCGTCAGAAGTAGAGCTGCCTCCCTTTTCCACCAAAAAATAATCATCGGTCATGCTACTCCGGTTGAGATCCTCCTCAGTGGTCTGCTGCAGACCAACGCCCGAAGAAAGCGCGCGCTCTGAAACGATCCCTCCCTCTCCACCACTGCTTATGCGTCCTGCCATTCTATCTTCTCAGCGCATGCACGACAAGCGGCAAAGCAAATTCATATCGATGAGATCCGTGCCCTTAGCTGGCCCATTTGAGACGCATGGAGAGCACGCCTTCGAAGAAACCGCCGATATCCCCTGCAACTTGAACGCAACCTCCCCCAGTCCTCCCGTGGGGTAACTCGCGAGCAGGGTTCTCCCCTGTCCTGTGGAGTGGAACGGTAAGCTAGCCACCTCCTCTTTACGCGGTGAGCCCAGCAACAAGAGATCTACACTGGATTGGCAATTGCCGTACAATCGCAGAGGACTACAATAAGCCGCCGAGCGAGCGCACTGGCTTCGAGCGGCGAACGACGGATTCCCTTACAGCCGCGTGCTTCGTGACCAAACTAGGCTGCAATTAAAGCCCAAATAAAGCCATATAAGAGGATACCAAGCAATTAAGCATTATCCACCGCAAGATCCGAAGTATGAAGGGACGGAGGGGATACGCTGCGGAATGCTGCACGTACCCCTTTAGCCAGTAGAGGATCGGTCCAGCGGTCTTGCGACCCCAAGTTTGGCTGCAGCGCACATTATGTCCCCAAAATGCATGAAGCATGTTTTTCATGTTTAGTGTGTCTGTGAGAGGAAGAAATAAGCTCTTTCCTGCTGGTAGAATGTCCCATTCGTGAATGGGTTACAAGTACCACAGAGCCAGCTATTGCATAATTCACACAGAGTGGCAATGCTTTTGGCTTCTTTCGGGTAGGTATTAGTCAAATTAAGGCTTTAAACCATGAAGTTTTAATAACTAAGCATCGCACTTAGGCTCCTTGTAACGGCACTAGAGCTGCTTGTCGCTCGCGAAGCAGTCTCTGCATCATGCCATTCCGTCAAAGATTGCCATATGGCGTTGCTAAGCGGGTCGGGGGCACCCAGTTCGAAAAAAGCTACAAAGGTCTCCTTAATGAAGCATTCCGTAGTCTCCTTGTCTTGGTCTCACGAACGCGTTCCAACATGCGCACCCAGTTGCACATAGCAACTAGCGCAAGGCACAAAAAAGCTTATTCTTTGAACTAGCTTAACTGTACTCCGCAGGAAGCCTATATATATGTACAGTGAAGGCAAGTTCTGATTTCCTCACTAAACTTACTCAAATAAAAACCGTGAGGTAGGGAGTCTCAATGTGTTGCCGTCCCCTGAAAGCACTGGCTAGATTAAATAAAGATTAGCACTGGATTGACAGCTTGACCTGGCTATCCGTATGTGCTTTTTGTTTTAAAGTTAGCTTGAGCCTCTGCCTCTAGGCTCTTTGTAAAGACACACTCAACTGGACACTCAACATAAACTCTGTAAAAGGTTATGCAGGGCCTTCCTAAAAAGAATTGCCGCCCTCTCCTGCCCGTGCCCCTCAGATTTTCCCACATAAGGGGAGAGGCACAGGTAGAATGTGCGTAGCTGCACCCTCTATGTACTCGGAGCATTCACGCACCTCGTAGAGTGTAACACACCGCATTGCATCTTGCAGTATCGTGCCAACAGTGCACTGCAAGCAATGCCGCATACGAACAGACAAACCAGCTACTGCTACTCAATTCCTTACAAATTCCGCGCTAAATTATAACAATGTAGCATTAAGTTTTAAGTGTAGCGCAGATTCCTACATTGCTGGCCAGTGTGTGCTTTTGTTCCAAAAGAATTCAGTTTAGCGGTTGATTTACATTCGTCTCTTCTCCTTTGCACTAACTTCGTATTTCTGCTTAGATGGGGGTGGCGATTGGGCTGGAATTCGTCCGCTGCCCTGCACGGAGCTGGCCCCCAAGCACAGGTACGCGGGTTAAACAAAACTTTCGCTACACTGTTTTTCTGTAGTCGGTGGTTTACCTATTTCCATGTCGCATTTATTGCAGTGTACTCTTCGTTGCACCACAAGAAGATGCAATGCTGGGTGTATGTGCGTTGGGTGCTATATTCTACGAGCTGTGGATGCTCGGAGTGCTAAGTGGGTGCAGCTACGCGCATCCTAGCTGTGCCTCTCCCCTCGTGTAGAAACTGAGGAGCGCGGACCGGAGAAGGCGGGAGTTTTTCGCGAGTCACTGCATTACCTTCTTTTAAGTTTATGTTGAGTTTAGTTTTCAGTGTGTCTCTACAAATAGCCTAAATGCGGAGGTGCAAGCTACCTCTATAGCAAAAAGCACATATGGACAGCCAGGCCGAGGTGAATTCATTGACAATTTTATCTTAAAGTCGATTAACTCTGTATATTGCGTCTCGAGTAGAGTACCAGTCCATGCGGATACCTTGAACGTCACATCCTCTCTCACGCCTCAAGCTAGGGCGCGTTGGGGGGACGGCAAGGCGCGGGGTAGCTTTTGGAGTGGGGGATTCCGTTAATTTCTCCGTGGTTCTGATACGGTTGGGGGTTTCGGGTCTCCATATGGGTACCCTATGAAGTATGCTGCGTTCCGCATCCTGGCGAGCACACCAGCTGGCATACATCCTTCTTATTGTACTGTTGCTGCTCCTCTACAATTTTTAGTGATAGACAGACAACCAAGCCTCATGGTTCCAAAGCTCACAGCAGAATAATATACTTCAAAGAAGCTGTGTATTTGGATGGTTTTTGTCACTGCAACCACAGTTAGAACACAATCTCCTTTGAAGTGTCAGCAACCTGTGAGGAGTTGCAGGTGTTTCCTGAGTGGGAAGAGCATCATCATTTTGAACGGCTAGATCACCACCTTTGTGTAGTCAAATTCAAGTGAAAATGTAGTGGGTAGTTGCTTCGCAGCGCGGATTTTTGCGAGAGGGGCTACCAGCGTGCCTACGTCCTGTGCAATGGGTATAAGGGGGTTCACATTCTACTGCTTTGACGCGCGTCGGAGGGAGGTTGTTAGCAGCAGTGAAGGGATATGTTTGCTAGTAAATATATGGAGGGCCATGAAGAATTTAAGTTCATGTTTCGCTTCGCCTTTTTTCCACAGACATGTAGCTCCACCAGTTCATTGCACGGACGGGGCTGAGGGGGAAAGGTTAGGCAGTGCTGCGGCCGCTTCTCGGGGAGCTGCTGCGCGGCAGCAGCAGCAACAGCCACGACAGCACAACTCATGAGGGAAATCTGCGGCAGATGCTTTTTCTCGAGTTCTTAATTGTTGAGCTGGCAGCTGAGCCTCTGGCCTGTTCAGTTTCCGCGGTAGATGCGCTGAGCCAGCTGTTTTGTATTTTGTAGCCCCAGCAGTGGCAGCGGCAGCAGCAGCAGCAGTTAAGCCACCAGATCTTTCGTCTTTTCGTGGTCGCCTCTCCTCTTTTGGCTTGCTTTATCACTCGTCAGCTACAATGTCTGCTGAAGGCGCAAGCAACGGCTCGGCTGCTGCTCAGCAACAGCAGCAGCACTTGGAGGAGGACGCAGGAATTCCGCAGCTTCCAGGGGCTTCCGGAGGCGACGACGTGACAGTAATTCAAGGGGCGACGACAGGGCAGGACGGGTCGAATTCTGTACCTTCCCAAGTCGACTCTGGCTATGGGGGTTCGTCTTACCAGCAGCAGCAGCAGGGAGGTGGTGACGGCCCCCCTCAGGGAGGGTTGACGGAGGAGGAACGGACGGTTCGCAAGATCTTCGTGGGTGGCCTCAACAGAAGCACAACAGGTCGGTTATTCTCCGTTCGGCTGCCCCTCTAGCCGCCACTGGGGCAAGTATGTTGCTTCCGTTTCGACGGCGTTTGCTGTCAAAGGCTCCCTGCTTTCTTCACGGCCAGCTCCCCCATGATTGCGGTTTGAAGGGTGAAATGTGTGCATATGCGTGTGTGTGTATGTACGCCTGTGTATCGCGTTTGGTTGTGCAGCGGAGTCCCTTCGGGAATACTTTTCCACGTTTGGCCCCGTTCACCATACGGAAGTTCTTTTCGACAAGCTCACCGGTAGGCTTTGGGGGATGTCTGTGCACTTTTGTGTGGAGGGTTGCAGTCTTCTTCATGAGCTGCCGTCCAGGAGTCGTGAACCAGTTGTGGCTCCTCTTCTCTGCCGCCGCCTCTCCCTCTGCAGCTACATGCTTTTTGCATCTTCGCCTTGTCGGGGTGCGACTGTCTAGGGGCTTGCGTTCAAGTTTTTTTTCCGACTCGCGCACGCGTTATTGTGGGTTTTGCATCAGGACGCAGTCGGGGCTTTGGATTCGTCACTTTCGAGGAGGCAGAGACGATCAACAATGTGGTGGATCGACATCACACCATTGATGACAGCCAGGTACGCAGGGGGTCCCAGGGATCGATATTTTTTGCGAGTTTAACCGTGGTGAAAGCAGGCAGGGGGGGAAACGGACTAGTTCCCCGTCTGTTGCTGAGTGGGGAGCAGCAGCAGCAGCAGCAGCGCACCAAGAGCAGAAGCAAGAGCACCAAGAGCAGAAGCGAACAGAAACAGAAAAGCGAGAAACAGAGAGACAGACAGACACTGACTGACTCTTACTTTACTTTATTCCTGCGACACAAACTCCACCCACCTCGTTCGAGCAACAAACAGCCGACTGCATTTTATGTTTGATTTATTTCTCTCGGAGGACTGGTTCTATCTCTGCATTCTCAAACGACAGAGAGCGTCACGAGGCTACGACGTGAAGCCGGCAGCAGTTTTCTGCAATGTCGCAGCAGTTTTCCGCAATGTCGCAGCAGTTTTCCGCAATGTCGCAGCAGCTTAGCAGGAGTGTTTGGCGATCGAGTTCAAAACGGCCTGCATCAGCCTTCATGCGGCAGATGTATAGCGAAATCATCAGGAATGCAACAACAACAAACAGCAAAGACAGAGAGTAAACTTGCCAGCTCCTGGCTGGCGTTTCTGATGATCGCGGGGACTGCTCTCTGCTTCCGAGGTTAGGAGGTCCTTATGAAATGGCAGCTAGCCACAACAAGCAAGGCAGCCAGCCACAAAGAAAGAGAGAGGCAGCTAGCCAGCTAGCCACGAGCTGCAAGCTTGGATGACACTAGAAAGCAGAAGGACAGGATAGCGAGCCAGATGCTGGAAGAGCTCTCACGATCCATCACGCACATCGCCTGGAGATGCAGCTGCTGCATATCGTTCACCGGATTTTGGAAGCCATAGCAGTTTCATACATGTGTGCATACGCATATACATATACGTACATGAATGTGGCTGTGTGTTTGTTTGCATAGCAACAGTAAATGTTTTTTTGCGTGCATAGGTGCACGCGTGGACGTTGGCGTGTTCATGGTTGTGGAGCTAAGATGTGGATGAAGGGTGTCGGTCGATGCATGCGGTGCTCGATGAAATATCGCTGTGGTGCATGTCTGAAGTTTTTGTTGCTGCGTTCTCTGGCTTCGCAACGGCCGTGCACTGTCTGTTTTGTGTTCGTGCGTCCTGGTAACTGTGTATGCATGCATTTTCTGCTGCAGCTGCATTTTTCTCCAACCTGCATTTGTGCGAAACCTCCGTCGGGTGTGTTTTATGTGTGTGTTTTTTTTCCACGCAATGGTGTTATCCAGGTCGAGGTTCGTCGTGCGATTCCTAGGGAGGAAGCGAGGCAGGCGCAGCCACGGCGAGAGAGAGAATTCAACGAAAATACTGGCAGAGTTTTCATCGGAGGGCTTGGAGACGAAGTGACTGATGGTGTGTGTGGTGGAAGAGTCTTGGGAGGGGGTGCAGGTGATGGGAAGAAGAGGGGTTGCTGCGTGTGCCGTTCGTGCGCGCGATGGAAAGAGGCGCTGTGGGATTTTCGCTTGAGGCATGCGCAGCTGCACTTTATATTCGAAACCAGGATATCCACATAAATATACAGGCATACGCACCTGTACATACACACCGACATGTATTTTGGTGTTCATATGTTGGTTGGACACGTCGGTGTGTACCTCCGTGTAGACAAGGGGATGCGAGGAATTTCGGGTCGGTGTGTGGGGGGTGTTTATGTGGCGTCTTCAGAAGTTTTGAAAGACTTCTTCTCGCGCTTCGGGGAGCTGACGTCTGCCAACGTCATGGTGGATAGGGAAACCAACAGGCCTAGGGGTTCGTCACGCGTCAAGAATTGTGTTGTTTGTAGCTTCCTTGCAGCTTAGATTCCCTGTATATGTATAGGGGAGGGAGCGCTATGTGTGTGGGCAGTGAGTCGACTTGCTGGCGGATTATGCCGTTTCCGTCGGGGATGCTTCTTATGCGTGCCGCTATGTTTGTTTCTGTTGCTTTGTGTATATACGCATGGCCTTGCACTCCTGAGTCTTCTGTTTGGTGCTCTTGACAGTTCTGTATTCTTGCAGTTTTCCGTTCGTTGCGCTTTCTGTTCACGAGAGGGGGCACTGAGGGGTGTCTCCCATTGTGTGTGCCCTCCGCACGACGGAGAGGGAGCGAGCGAGAGGGCTGCGGCAAGGAGTGGCTTGCGTGTTCTTCGTTTTGCTTCATGGTGGTCATTCTGAGCGCATGCGGCGTTCTTCTTCAGGCTTCGGGTTCGTTATTTACAAGAATCCAGATGACGCAGAGAAGGCTCTGGGGATTCACAAGGATCTTGGTCCTAATGTGCGTGGATGCAAGCAGAATTGCGCACTCTAGTGTAGCGCTGCTGGCTGTGTATTTATTCTGCTGGGGTTTGTGGCAGCGAGAGTGGGTTGGCGATCTTTTGACGACTCTCGGGAGGGGGCTGTTGTGAGAGACTCGCTGATCACATGGAGGAACTTGTCTGTGGTGCTCGCCTTCGTCTTCTTGGCGCTTTCGCATGTCGGGTTGTGTGTGGATGCTGTTTTGGACTGCTAATTAACATGAGCAGGCGGAGGCGAAGAGGGCACAGCCTCGCACGCAGGGGCAAAGGATGCGCATGATGGGTATGGGTATGGGCGGCTCTGTTGGAGGTCCTCATGCGTACAGAATGGAAGATCCGCGCTATTCTATGAGCCGTTCAGGTGTGTTCAGGCTGCTGCGAGTTCGGATAAGAACGCTTTGCGCGCTTTTCTGTTAGTTCTGCGCGGTGCCATGGAGACGAGCGGTCGAAGAAGGGGGGGTGTTCGTAGCATGCGTTTAGCATGTGGTCTTGGGTCTGTGAGCGTGTTTTTGCTCATGGAATTTCGTCTGATTCGCCGCTTTTTGAATGCTGTTTCGCGCGGCTACATCCACGGTGCTGCAGCGTTGCTTGGGGTAGAGCCGGTGTTGTTTTCCATCTTTTTTTGTGGGATGCTGCACCTAAACAAGCGCGTCTTTCGCCGAGTTCTAGGCTTCGTATTTTACGCGGGAAGCCTTGGTGGGTGCATGCATTGTGCTGCAGGCGGCTATGGATCTGGCGGGGGGGCCCCTGCTCAGATGTACGGAGGCTATAATTACGCCTACCACCCCTACTATGCTGCATACTATGCGCGTAAGAAGCTTGGGTGTTGGACGCTCCAGACGTCAGCAGCTCTAAGACTGTGTTAAGACATCTCGGATCGTGGGGGGGTCGCTGCCTCTTTTTTTAAGGCTGCCAGGGGGGCGAAGGGGGGGGGGGTATGTTGTCTCTTGATACGTTCCTGCTGCTTCCTGGATATTTGCGCGCATGCTTTTGTTTAAAGGGCGTCAGCCACGTGCGTGGAGGAGAGTGTCTGTTCTACCATTGAGCATTTTATCTTGGGGGAAGGGGGAGGGGGGATAAGGCGCCACTGTCTGTTGTTGTTTGTAATTGTTGCGGGTAGTCGACCCTTCTCTTCTCTGGCCACTGCGATCGACGTCGGAATGCGGCTGTTTGCTTCCGCGTTTTTGCGCTTCAGAGGTTGCAGCCGCGTATAGCGGCAGTGGTGGCTACAGCGGAGGCTACGGCCAGTCACCGAGCGATGGGGGAGCTGGAGCAGACAGAGGAGGCGGTCGCATGCCTTCCAGTCGCTCGACTCCCTACTAGCGGCGTGTTGTGTGTTCAGTGGCTGGTGTCTCTCACTGCGACGCCCTTGATGCGTCCTTTGTGTTGACACGCACAGACGCGGAGTCGGGCGCGCTGGCAGATGGCCTCTTGGGCAGACTGATAGATAAAAAAGCCACGGACGCCGTGGGTGCTCTTGCATGCGCGCTCACGTGCAGAGGCGTCGACGTAGTATTTATAGGCGTCACATGTACGGCTTGGTGCCATTGTGGGAGAAGCACGCAAGCACGTCTGCGTCGTCTGCCCATCCCGCTGCACCCTCCCTCCATCTAAACACGGCAGGAGCTACAAGTCCTCCACTGTAGCCTTCGGGGTTCTCGCCACGCGCATGTCGGGGAGCCACCCCTCAGAGGCACAGAGCATTGTCTAGGAAGGAATTGGAATTGGGGCCCCTCCCCCTTAGCTTCTTCGCTAGCTGAAGGGGCCTTCCATGAGCTAGCTGCTTCGAAGTAGTATTTCTTCTAGGGGCTAAGTGGTAGTGGCTTGGGGGGCCCCAGGGCGCTGTTTTAAAGGAATCACGACTTTGCAAAAACAGAACCTTTTGGCTGGTCAATTGGAAAGGCGCTCCGGTGCACAGGCGGCGGAGCGCTTTCGATTCGAGTCTTGAGCGTTTATTTGAATTTTGGAGGGCTCCCCTCTCGTGGGGGGGGGGGGGCGCCACAGAATTCAAATGGGGGCAAGGGGTTTTGCCGGTGCGCGTAGCTGTGGCTAGCATTACAGCAGGAGTCCGTGGCGAGTATGTATTAATGGTTTGACAGCTAGCTGGCGTAACGGGGCGTCTGTATGTACACCTCGGTACATGGACTCTGCAGGCGTTGCACACACTGTGTGCACATGATATGGATAGCTAGCTGGCGTAACGGGGCGTCTGTATGTACACCTCGGTACATGGACTCTGCAGGCGTTGCACACACTATGTGCACATGATATGGATAGCTAGCTGGCGTAGCGGGGCGTCTGTATGTACACCTCGGTACATGGACTCTGCAGGCGTTGCACACACTGTATGCACATGATATGGATAGCTCGCTGGCGTAACGGGGCGTCTGTATGTACACCTCGGTACATGGACTCTGCAGGCGTTGCACACACTGTATGCACATGATATGGATAGCTCGCTGGCTGGGCGCTGTGTAGCAATAGTTCGGAAGCTCGGCGACTATGTAATGCGGTGTGCTTCTCTTTCGTGGAAGAGGCATTATGAATTCCTGATCGTCCCATGTCAGTTACTACGTATCGAAGGCTCGTGAAACAGTGCAGTTTCTGCGCCTGCGCTGTGCAGCTGCAGGCCAAACAGCCAAACTGAGGCCCCTCGTTTTTTACTGCCTCTGAAGGATCGTCTCCAGAATTCAAATGACTGAACAGGTCTGCCTGTGAATGTTTTCCTATCTAATGGAGAGCGAGCCCGCTGCACTCACAGTGTCGCCGAGGAGCATGGGCGTTCATAAGACATGCACGGATGGTCCGCAATGACTGCTGGCGTCAGAGTTGCACCCCTTCCCACTCCTCTCTCTCGCAGTCAGCCAGGCATAGGAACACCTGAATTTGCATTATAATGGGTAGTCAGTGTTTCTTTGGCTGGGCATCATGAACGCAAAAGTCTCACCCGTTTAAATTCGCAGTCCTCCGCTTCCTCGGTTGTGCTCAGGTGTATTGGTACCTCAAGTACAGCGAGGAGGGAGAGGCGGGAGGGCCGTTGAATGCTCAGCTGATGCCCCCTCCGCCGACCAAGCTTGTCTGCCAGCTCATACATAGGCTCGGATTGTGCGGTTCGCATGGCAGACTTACTGAGGAGAGACTTTAGATCGCACCCGTTTTCCCTTCCTGCTCTTTGCCGGTGCAGTGGCTGCTTTTACTACGCTGGTTGAACCTCCTTTTGTTGCAGTTCCTTTGGCCCCAGGCGTTGCTTCTGAGGCTGCTGCATTCACCTGCCGCCTTTCCTGTAAGTCGCTGTTGCCTGTAGCACTTATGGCAACTTCTGTGCTGCGTTCTGCTGGTGCCTCTGCTTCACAGTCCTGCTGCTGCCGTTTCTGGGGGAGGAGATGGCTAAGGCACCTCAAGGCGGAGGTGCAACAGTGACCCCTGCGGAATGAGGCCGCTATTTTTTCGCACTTCCTCGCCGTCCACTGGTAGACATTAACTCGCGAGTCTCTGCCCATCTTCTGAGCATACCACAGACACAGCAAACCAGCCTTGTTAGCCACGTGAAATGAATCACACCTTTTGGCCTCCCCATGACAACCCTGGGCTTCTTCCACAGGTTGCTGCAGATCGGTGGCAGTCGACTAAGATCCACCATTATGCACGCGTGTTTTAAACGGTACCCTGGTTAGGATAGCGGAGAGAAAAAGGGTAGAACACGCTCTACAGAGGAGGGTTTAGCGACGTTCCTCACCGTATAGTCGTCTTGGTACTTCTCAATGAGCTTGCTGATGATCTTAGTTTCCATTTCGTTCAGCCTACAGCCACCACTCTCAGCAAGCATTCCAGCCGTGTGCTAAAACTCGAACCCTTGCGGTGTACAGAGCCGTCCGCAATCCTCCAGCTGCACATGAGGAGGAACCTGCTATATGCTCACTCCTTTTACGCCCTACGTAGTGTGGCGTATACCGTGCTTCTAAAGGTCAAGATACACCCCAGGCCTCTGTCGGTCCTCATGGCTAGATTCCCCATTTTTCCCGCCTAGAACTCGTTACGCAAGCATCTGTGTTGGCACGTACTTTTTTTCTGGCGTTTTCATCATGAGATCTGCATCATCGGCAAGTTGGTCCTCAAATTCGCCAATTGTGAATCGCTTTAGGTTTGCCGCTGGGGACTTGCTGTTAATCCACTTCTCTCGAAGGATTTTATCAGCGAGGTTTCTTTTTACGTCAACGTAGCCGCGGCGCGCTCGCTTCGGACGGCGTGTTGTTGGGCGGTACTGAGTTTTGCGTGTGCGCTTCATCGTGGCAAGCGCGCACTTCTCGCTGTGAGGCGAGCGGGGGAAAGCAAGTGGCGGCCGGAGGTTGAGAAGTTTATCAGAGGACTTCCACAGAGGACGTCAGAAATCTCAGGCTCGTCGAAGTTTGCAGACGTCACGACTTGAATGCACGCTACTGATGACGTGGTGAGCGTACACCCGGGGGGCCACCAGGGAATCAATGCGTCGAGGGCACGAGAACGACGGAAAGCGCGCTGAAAGCAGCCCGGATGAGTGGGAATCAAAAATATGGAAAGGAAAGAAAACTGGGGAGAGGCAGAATCAGAGAGATGGATCGGCTGGATTCAAGAAGGATGGCGGCGGCGGAGTAAGAGAGCGCCTTCCCAAGGAAGACCACCGTACACGTAGTAGACGTATGAAGAACGAAGAATGTGGGGTTTCCGGGCAGGAGCAGCCACAAGCTGCCCTCTGAAGCTCAAAACACCCCTCAGACCATATATTTTATACGCCGAGTGCAATGGCCATACACAACACCGCAAACGACGGTAGGGAAGGCGGGGGGGCAAGGCAGGGGGGGTCCTGTTAAGGCCTTGTTTTCGAAGCCGCGCGCAGCAAAATCCTCGTTGAAGCGCTAATAGTCCAAAGCGTTCAAGAATTTGGAGAAGTTCTCCTGAAGGAGCGCGATCTGCTCATGGGAAGCTGGCCTCGAAGCCTTCGTGCATGCAGCTGGATCGTCGATCTGTGGGATTTCAAGAGGGCTGGCGACACTGCGTGCCTCCGTGTAGCGCCCTTTCTTTTACGGCGGAACGCTTTGGCATACCTTTCCTGCGAGGAGGATCTTTTTGCGGATTTTTGTGTTTGCACGCGCGCGGGGACGGCACTCTGGAGACGGGGGGTGCTCCTACAGGGCAAAGAAGGGCCTCATCATCGGGGGCCCCCTACGAGGCCCCTATTTTCCCCGATCTTCGAACAAAAAGCCGCTGCACGGGTGCACCCGTCGTGCCTGGCGACGCGTTATCTGCCGTAGCCGTGTGTGTTTCCCGCCGGCAGCTGTTCTGAAGACTTTCGTTTCTCGAGTGTATCTCCACCATGCAAGCAGCGCCAGGCTTTCAGCTTGTTCGGAGGAGGCTGCAGACCTCCCTCCTGGCGTTATCTAGGGGGAGGAGCGGCTCCGAATCGCGCTGCTGCCTTCGCCACCGACTTTCTAGCGTCGCTCATGAGGACAGGTCGCATCTTTCCTGCCGCTGTCGCGCTTCCCTGGCTCTCCTCCCAACCGCTGCAGCCGCTTTTCCGGGGATCTCTGACGACGCTGGAAGGCCGCTAAGAAGCTTTGGGGGGAGATTTTCGGAGGCAAAGCAGACGTTCGCCACTTCAACGCAAACCAAAAAAATGCGACTCCTGATCGAGAGGGCACGGAAGGGCCACGTGGAGTACATGCGACAGCTGGGGGCCCCCCCTTCAGCCCCCTCGCCAGCCACTCCCCCTTCCCCCCCCTGCGCTCCGCCATACCTCCCCCCCTCCCCTCCGCAGGGGCCTCCCGAGGCTCACGCCGCTGCAGTGAGGGCAGCAGCAGCAGCTGCTGCTGCTGCTGCGGCAGCAGCAGCCGACCCCGACAAGAAACTCCTCTCCGCAGAGCAGTGGATCGCTCGAGACTTCAACATCCCCGCCGCCCCTGGGGGGCCCCCCCAGCAGCAGCTCCCCAGTCTCTCTTCGCTGCTGCTGCACGAGGCGCCTCAGCAGCAGCAGCAGCAGCAGCAGCAGCAAGCGGAGGGAGAGGCCTCTGCTGCTGCTGTGGAGCGTTTGCTGCGGGGGGGCCCCGCAGCGAACACCCCCCAACTCGCTGGCATCCTCTCGCAGGTGTCGTTCTCCCGCTTCGGATGCATCAATGCGATCCACGGAGATATTCTGAGCGCTCAGCTTGGGCAGCAGCAACAAGAGGAGCAGCAGCAGCAAAAAGGCAGCCAAGCGCAAGTGCTGCAAGAGGCTATTGCGGATTGCATCGTTCTGCCTATGCCTCCCAATATGGTGCCTTACAGAGGGCTTGGTAAATGCTTCGCCATGCACGCTTTCTGAGCCTTCAAGCCTTGAGGCGTCTAAAGCCTCCTCCCAGATAGTAGAGCCTTAGGGCGGAGAAATTGTGGGGTCGATTTTTGAGGTTTGCATCCGTGACGTTGAGAACAAGCCACCTACGCCCCTACGCACGCATCATCCCTCTTCTCTGCATTGCCTCCTGCATCCGCCTGCTCGAAACATGCACCTCTTTGCCGCCTCCGTCGCCAGCTCTCTCTCGTTTTCTTGCTCTCTCTCTGTCTGTCTCCCTCATTCTCTCTCATATGTCTCGCCGTGGCTAGACGCCCTTATTATTCCTTGTTTGCCGTACCCTCGCTGCTCTTCCTAGGAAAACTGCTTTGACTTCGTATACCCTGTCCTCTCCCTCTGCTTCGGCAAGGCACTTCGTGCTTCTATCGCTTCTGTAATAGTCTTGCTGCGCTTCTCGTTTTTTGTCGTTTCGGTTCTCATCGAACTTCGCCAGCTTCTCCGTGTCAGCAGCAGCGCTCGCAGCTGTTTACACACCAATCCCAAGAAATTCACCGCTATTCCACACATCTCTGCTTCGGCGCCGCTACCACTTTGTTGCGCAGTCTGCGCCTTTGTTCCTTGCGCTGCTGCTTTTGCTGCTGCTTTTGCTGCTGCTTTTGCTGCTGCCTTCGTGTTTGATGGCGCCGTAATATCCTTGTTTGCCTTCACTTCAAGGGGAAGCTGTTGCGGAAAAATTGGGGAGCTCTTCAGCGGTGGCTTTGCCAAAGTTCACCGCTGTCTGTCTCCAATAGCCAGGCCTGCCTGCTGCCTGAGGCTGTCTTTCGCTTTCTCCTTAAATGCCGCATTGCACACTGCTGCTTGAGCCTCGTGCCTTCCATCTGGGGTTGTTTCTCGGCTGTATCCGCTTTGCAGGTTTGGCAGCTCTGGAGAGGGGCGGTGAAGCGCTGCAGCGCGCGCTTTTTAAAGGCCTTAAGAAGGCTTTGCAGCGCAAGAGACAGCTCCCCCTCCGTAGGCTGCTGCTCCCGATGTGCTCGCCGAGCCAGTGTAGCTTCAGTGGAGGCTGCGTTTGAGTCTGCTGAGAGCGCTGTCTCTGCTTCTCGCAAGGCTGCCTGCTGCTCCTTTCACTGCCTGCCCCTCGTCTTCGACTCGCTTAAAAGCAGCAACAGCTGCTGCTGCTGCTGCCGCTTTTATGCCTCTTGCTGCTGCGAAGGCTGCCCTTGCTCTCCGTGTGTTCAGCGTCCTTTGAGGAGTACCCCGAAGGAAGTAAGCCTTTCCTGGCTGTCGAGTAGGCGGCAAGGAAACGCTTGACTCCTTAGCCCCCAAGTTTCTTAGCAAAGGCATCAACTAGCAACCTAGACCTCGATAGCTGTCTAGTCGCTCCACAGTCTACGCTGCTGCAGCATGGCGTGCAAGCAAGGGCGTTTGCTGGTGTGTGGCTTTGTGTAAGGCCAGGAATACTTGGCGAAGGTTGCTGCAGAAGAAGCGAAGCAACTGCAACCTGGTACTGCTTAGCGCCTTCTCCCTCGATGTCTTTCGCATGCGCACTTCCCCTACACACCTTTCCCCGTCTTCATTTTTGTTGCACGCCACCCGCGCTTTCGATTTCTTCAAGGCCTAATCATCCCGCCTCTCTTTCTGCCGTGTTGCCGCGTCTGTTCTTCCTTCCCCTGCCTCTTCCGCCAGCCCTCCCCTCCCCCGCGCACTCCCCAGCTAGCAGGCTTGCACCGTTGGGTGTGTCGCTTCCAGCTAGATGCTGCATGCTCCACGAGGGTGGCAGCAAACAAGAGACGATATAACGCACTATATATAAACAGAGCACACGGGCTTGTGTGCCTTCAGGAGAAGTTCTCCTCACGGGTTCTCACGGCGCCACAAAGAACGCCCCTCTCCTCGCTTTTCTCGCGATGCCCTACTTCTGGCGTATGCTGCTGCTGCTGCTGCTGCTGCTGCGTTGAATCTGGTGCGGCATATATATATATATATGTATGTATCACCCCGTGTGTTCTGCAAAGAATGAGGCGCTGCAGCAGCCTCCCCGCCTAGAGCCGTCTTGCTGGGTGTCTCTTTTGTTCGGTGCATGCAGAGGGCAGCAGCACAGAGGCCGCTCGCCGTCTGGCTCACACCTGTCGCCTTTGTTTCAACTTCCTGAACAAGCACCAAATACGAAGCGTCTTGATGCCCTTCATCGGACTGGGGGTGTATGGTTTTGAGCCAAAGAGAGCGGCGCACATCCTCGTGCAGGCTGCAATCGAAGAAATGTTACAGGTCAGGCAGCATCGGGGTTCTAGGATGAGAGGCGTTTTTTTGAGCGTTTCTAGTCTTGTTCGTGACTCTGTCTTGGCTCTCCACACGAGCTTTCCCATTCGTTCGCCGTATTCCAGTGCTTCTTGCGTGCCTGCTGCTGCTCCTCAAGTCTCTCCTGCTTAGTTAAGTGGCCTTCCTGTGTGGTCGCTGCAGCAGTTCTCAAAGAATTGGTGGACGCCTCTTTTCTTGCCCTACAGCAGTGCTCCCTTCCCTCGACTTCTGCGGCTTCCGCGCTTGGGGAGGCTGTTCTCTCGGGAGGCTTTCTTGTCTGCACAAACTGCGTCGTTACTCTTGTTTCTCATTCTCACGACTTTTGTGCGTGTGTGTTTGTTTCGTTGCTTGCGAAAAGCCGCCACCGCAGCCCACCACTTTCTGCTCTCTCTAGCTCTCTCTCTCTGCTGTGGTGCCCTACAGGTGGACGCGGTGTCTCCCCTATACAGTCTGAGTCGCATCGATCTGGTGGATGTTGACTTCCGTGCGGCAGGGGTTCTAGCGGAAGCCGTGCGAGAGGCAGAAAGCCTCTGGATTCCCGAGAAACAAGTCCGTGAGAGTCTAGCTTTCTGTGTCTCCGCATCCTGTCTTGCGTTGCCACTGTCTGTCTATCGCTGGTTTTTGCCGTGCTGCCTCCTCTGCCGCGCATGCTGCGTGTGTGGCTCTCGGCTCTGTTCTATGGTGTTACGTGAAGCCCTCATTCAGCTTGTCTCCACCATCCACCACCTCTGCCGCTCTAGTTCTCAGCGTCACACGCCGCATGCATGCATGCATTTCCTACCACGGATAGGCAGGTGCCTGTTGGCGTGCTGGTGTGCTGCCTGCGTGTGCTGGCGCGTAGGTCATAACAGCTCCCCAATATTGGAGCCGCCAGAGTCGTCGCATCCTCGAAGTCTCCGACTCGCTGCTCTCCTATTGCAAGCGGCACACTCGCGTCTCCTTCAAGAAGGTGGCTTTTTGAGGGCCCTTACTTGGGTTGGAAGTCCACTGCGCAGGCAGGGTGTACGGTGTACCTTAGAGACGCAGATCGTGCAGGCTTCTATCGTGTAGGCTTCTATCGTGTAGGCTTCTGCGCTGCGATGTTTGTGCTTCTCGCATGTGCCTACAGCATCACGGCGTGATTCGTCGTCAGAAAAAGCATTACTTCTCCAACATTCGCCCCTTCATGTGGCGAGCTTCCCGAGTGCTGCAGCCGCCAGCCTTCCTGGTGCGTTTCACTCCCCACACGTGTGTGTGCAGCCTCTGCTCGCTTCCTGTCTACCGTGAAGCTATTGGGGGATCGTTGCTGTCGTGTCTCTCCCCCCCTGTGTGCACGCGTATGGGCCTGCGGGTGCAGGCGAAAAGTGCAGTCAGTTCGTTTGATTTTTCAGTGCTCTTGCTGCCTGCCGCACGGCTGCGCTCCCTCTCTGCTGCATGCCTCGCCTACCCCTCCTCCCTTCCTCCCTCCCCCTTATTCAGTCCTAGGTACATCGATATGTCTGCCACGAATCGCAAGGTCTCTCTGGCTTTCGCCACGCTCCTCCTACCCCGCATGGCGCCTGCCCCCTTCCCCCACTGCTCGGAATTTCCTTCCTCCCTCTCCCTTCTGCCTTTAGGTGCTGAAGCATTCAGGAGCTCCTGCAGCGCAGCAGCTGCCGGCTCGCCCTTTCTTCTTGAAAGGCGTCTCAGCCATTCTTTATCCCCCGCGAGTCTCCGGCTTTCCTTCGCTTAGGCTGAGGAGAGACGGACAGTTCACTGGCACAAACAAAATGCCAAGCGTCTCGGAAAAGGCCAAACCTAGGCTTTAACGGCGGCTCCCGTTCGCTGAGCATTGCTTGCACTGCAGCACTTTTAGCGGTTAGAATGCACAAATGTAAACAAGTGCCCTAAGGGACACGGCGCAGTGATTCATTTGAACTTGTTGCAGGTGTGTGTGTATGCCTTTTAAAAGGTGCTCTATCACAGTCTATATGACGCTTTCCCTCCCTGTAAATCGTGTTGCCTATATTCCTCTCTAAATGGCTTGAAAAGTGTGTCAAAAAAGCAGACTAAAGACCTCTTTCTGTCCTGCCTTCTCTCTCTCCCTCTGTCTCCCACTTTTCCCATGATCCTCTCTTGTGCGGCACTCCTACTTCGCGTCGCCCTTTTCTGCCCTTATTTTTCGTCTGGCCGTTTCGCCAGCGGACCACATGTCAGTGAGACTCTGCTTTTGGCATGCTCTGCTCCCCTCCCTCGAGCTTCTTTGTCCTCTCCGTCCGTGATTTTGCTGCTGCACCACCCTCTAGCGTGCAGTGTACACCCACGCCTCTGCTTCGGAAGAGGAACGACGCAGGGAAGAAGCAGTAGTCGTTCTTACGATCGCAGGCAACGCATAGAACCGCTTCGCAGCTCAGCATTCTGAAGCTGCAGTCAGCAGAGGGGCTAGCCGATCAACCACAGGCAGATGTAGCGTATCATCATTGAACTGCAGTGTATCATCACATTGCCTACTTGAACTGCAGCGTATCATCACATTGCCTACTTGAACTGCAGTGTATCATCACATTGCCTACTTGAACTGCAGCGTATCATCACATTGCCTGCTTGCAGAGCAGCAGCAGCGGCTCCTGACTCCGGCCGCTGACATGATTCTCCTACGAAAGCTACTCTATCGCCAGGTGTGCCTCCTAAGTGGCATTCCTGTCATGCAGCACCGACTGTCTGCAATTGCAGATTGCGGGTGGGTGGGCCCTGCCAGGGAAGGCGGCAATGCGCGAGCAAGCTATTGACTCCCCAATAGCGCCCGTTTCCGTGAGCCTAAGGCCTCAAAATTTGAAGTTCAACGTTCAACGTGTGGGGTTTATTATTCAGTTGGTAAATAGAGAAGATCCGACACACATTCCCGTCACAGCTGTGGGGCCGGTGTAAAAAGCCCCAATGTCTGCCTTCGAGTTTCGTCGTACGTTTCTTTGCATCTTCCGCGCTGTTATGTGGCCGCAAGTGCGATAAAGGGAATAGTTTTTGTTTGAATTCTCACCGCTAGGGAGACTGCACGCGGTCTTTCTCCCCAGCGCGAGTTACCTCCTGCCTTCCTCCGTCGCAGGGGGGCTCCCTCACCTGCGCGGAGTGTACTGGATCCTTCTGCAGCCGAGGCACTTCTTCTGCCTTCTCTCAGCTCCCCACTTTTGGTTAAAAGCCGAATTCCAAACTAAATACGGCAGATGAGCTCCCCGCGCGGCGGCTCTCGGGGGGCAGCCTCCCCCGTCCGACTGAGCAGGGGAGGGGGCCCCCCCCCATCAGTGCAGCCTCCCCCCCAAGAAAGCAAGTCAGCAAGGGGGCCCCTGCCAGCAGCAGCAGCAGCGGCAGTGCCGGCTGTGGAGAACTCCGCAACTGCATCGAAAGTCAAGCAAGAAGAGCCGCAGCAGGAAACCCCCACAGAGACCCTTGGGGGGCCCCCCACAGGGAGGGGCCCCCAAGGGAGGGGCCCCCGAGGGAGGGGCCCCCAAGGGAGGGGCCCCAAGGATCTGCCGTCCGAAGCAGAGCAGCCACATGCGCGCCGCTCATTGGCGGCTTCCTCGTCTAAGGAAGGCTTTCCGAGAAAGCTACGAGGCGCTACCAGCGCTGCGAGCGAACGTGCTGCTCCCTTCGCCGAAAACGCCGTGACAAAGGAAGCCGCGAATAGACAGCCTGAGGGGCCCCTCGCGGGAAAGTCAAAGCGGTACGCCACACTGATGTCTGTGCCGAATGTGATGGAAGTCGAGGGAGAAGAAGAACTGTTGTCGGATGACGATGAAGACAGGAACCGGAGTGGTGCTGTGCCTCTCTGGTGGTATGACAAGTACAAGCACATTGGTACGTTGCACTGAGGTTTTTTGCGCGTTGTTTTTGAGGGACCAGACTGCGCAGCGCGATGCAACGATGCAGCAAGTGCTGTATTTCCTGCAATGACATGCGCTATTCGACGCTTTAGGTGGGCCGTTTGAGCGTAGGGGGGGTCGCTAGGTGTGAGTGTGCCAGGAGGGTGAAGTATTGCAGCATGTCGTGCAGCGGAAGCGAAATTTTATCGCTACCATGCATGCAGGAGTAGTCTTGCTTGTTGCCTTTGTCGTGAGGAGATACACACACGCAAGGGCTTAGAAAAAAAAGGCCCCTGGCTGCAGCGCCACTGCGTTGAGTTCGACGCGAAGGCTACCTCGGGGGTGGGGTGTTTTTTTGAATCTTCTGAGGCTAATGCAGGGGTGGATACAGCTGCCAGTTCTTCAGCCTTGCAGTTGACAGCCTTTGGGGGTGTGTATGTGTATGTGTTTACGTGTGTGTGAGGGGGTGGGTGGGTGGGTGTGGCGATCTCAGGCTACGACGCTGAGGGCAATCGCGTCGAAAAGACGCTGCAAAGCGGGGGGGGGGCCCTTGGGGAGTTGCTGGCAAATGCGGAGATAGGCTCAGAGCGATGGCGGCATGTGAGGGATTTGCGGAACGATCGAATAGTGACTTTGTCGGAGCAAGACTTGGAGGTATGCTGCATGCGCTAGGGTGCACGTGGGACTGGAGAAGTAGCGAGAATGCGCATCCCTCGTCAGGCTTCTTCGTATTTTACAAAGGGAAGGCAGGGAGGGGTGGGTGGGTGGGAATATTGGTGGTTGCCTTCCCATTTCAGCCGAACTTTAATGAGCTTCTTTGGAAGTGTGTCTTAAGGAGCCTCCTTGGAAGTGTGTCTTAAGGAGCCTCTTTGGCAGTGTGTCTTCATGAGTTTTTTTTGAAGTGTGTCTTCATGAGCTTCTTTGGAAGTGTGCTGCTATCCGTGGCTTCTGCCTCCAGTTACTTGGCAGGATTCGCGACCGGAAGTTTCCCGACAAACGGTTCAATGATGAAGAAGTTTGGATTGAGGAAGACAAGACTGACAGGTGGCTCTCTACGCGCTGTGTGCATGCAAAGAGTAGCAGCATTCTGGTGTTTGGGGGGAGAAGTTGAGGGAGAAGGGCATCCTCGTGGCTGTGCTCGCATGCGCGTTGATGTTGCCTTTGCGGCTTCGACATACAGCTCTTGAGAAACGTTGCAAGGCATGCTCTGTCTGGGAGTGTGAAGGGGAGAAAGGGGCTGTTTGATGCGAGCATGCGAAGGCTTTGACCCCTCGCTCTGCGTTGCTTTTTCTGAAGAAGTTCGCGAAGGGCCTGGAGAAGAGGGAGGGAGGGGAGGAGGTGGTGGTGTTTGTGCTGTGGAGTGTGTGTTTCCGACTCAAGACTTGTTCTGTCGAGACTGTGTTGGGTGTATTGATGCCTCGTGTTGTGTGTGTGTGTATGTGTGTGAGTAGCTGTTCTTTTTTTCTGTTTTGTTCTGCCCTTTTCACGTGGTCGTTTTGTTTTTCTACGGTGGCGAGGGCTTGTCTGTACGGCGAGAGGGTGGGGGCACTCTCCGCGCTACCTCTCACCCCCTGCTGTACATACACTGCCTCGGCAAGGCTCGTGCGGCGACTCTTTTCCGCCTTCTCTGCGTACTTGGTGCGCTTTGCCTTGCAGCATCTTCCCGATGAAGGCACTGCCTCCCCGCAAGGCGCAGTTCCTCCCGTCTGCTGCCGAGCAGAAAAAGATCAACCGCTACATCAAGATGATCAGAGAGGGCAAGCCCATCCGCCCTCCCTCCAAGCACGCGCAGGAGGAGACACTCAGAGACCTTTGGGGAGACAACATCTATTCTGCCACGCCTGCGAAAGACAAGCTCCCTCCTGCAGCGAAGGCGCCCAAACTCCCTCTTCCTAGCCACGCAGAAAGCTACAATCCTCCTGAGGAGTACCTCTTCACGCCAGAGGTCAGAGCGAATGGAAGGGGCGCTTGGTGTGACGCTTGGTTTTGACGCAGCGTTTGTTTCGGATTGTCAGGGCATGCGGTGCACGGGGACTCTTTTTTTGCTGGAGAGAGGAGCTGTACATACACTGTGTGCATCGGAAGGGAAGTCTGCGTTTGTGGGGTGGGCTTGGAATGGCGTTCGTCGCAGGAGGAAGCAGAGTGGCGTGCCTTACCCCCCGAGAACCGTCCTCTGCCATTTCTGCCGCAAAAATTCTCTGCCCTCCGCAGGGTTCCTGCCTACGCGCAGTTGGTGCTCGAGCGGTGAGTTTCACGTGGCTTCGTCGAGGGTTCGTTCTTGTGACGGGCTGAACGTCTCTCTTGCGAGTCTCGCTTGCCATGGAGCATGCCCACGTTTTATCCGAAGAGCGAGAAACCCTCCCTGTCTTGTTTGCCGCCTTTGCGCCGAAAGAATTGCTTTCCTCGCCTTGAGAGGCTTGCTGCGCACAGCCCTCGAATCGGTGCATCGCCAACTGCGGGTGGAACGTCACACAAGGCAGAAAAAAGGCTGCGCCTTGCCGTCTGCATGCGCTCTTCAGGTACAACCGCTGCTTGGATTTGTACCTGTGCCCCCGCGCCGTCAAGCACCGCATGAACGTCGACCCCTCTTCGCTCTTGCCGCAGCTGCCTCCAGCCTCCTCTTTTAGGCCCTTTCCGACGTCTCTCGGCATGGCTTTCCTCCCGCTGACACTCCACGCTCAGCGAATTCCCCGACCACAGCCTCTCTTTGGTTTTCTCCTGCCCTTCGAAGACAAGCCTAACGAACGCCTCGAATGGAGCTCAGGCTCTCGTCCGGAGTGTAGCGACAAGAGCGACAAGAGCAGCAGCAGCAGGAGCGGCAGGAGCGGCAGGAGCAGCAGGAACGGGGAAAATTTGTTAGGGCCTGAAGGAGCAGCCGTGCGGGTAGTTTCCGTGAACGCCGCTGGCACATTCGTTGCGACGGGGAGTAGCGACGGTTGTCTTCGAGTGTTTGAGGCGAAAACAGGCAGAATCGTCGCTGCCCTGCTGTTGCAGCAGCAAATCACAGCGGCAGCGTTCCACCCTGCGCTTCCCATTCTTGCAGTGGCGGCGGCAGAGCAGCTGCTGCTCGTGACACTGGACAGACCGCTGTTCGACAGTCAGTCCTTGCATCAGCTCACGAATGCAGCAGCCGCTGCAACCCCCAAGGCGAAAAAGCAAGCTCCTGCCGCTGCAACAGAGGCGACTGCAGCGGGGGAGGGGAACGGCTTCGTCAGCGCTGCAAGGCGACAGATGGAAGAGGCTCTAGAGCTGCTCCGCGTCAAAACTGCCCTTGACGAGGAACTGCCGGATTTGCTGCACACAGCAGACGCAAGCGTCAGTAGCGGCGGCAGCAGCAACACGGACGGTCCCTACACTGTAGATGCCACTGTAGGCGCCAAGCTTGTCGGATGCTGGCAGCAAGTCTCCATGAAGCACGCGAAGGCAGCCGCAAAATCAGCAACAAAGGAACTGCAACAGCTACAGTCGCAGAACGGAGAGGAAGCTCATGAACTCACGCTCTTGCTAAGAGGGGTTCGACGCGCAGTTTTCTTGCTACACGACTCCCCCATTCTCAAGTTGAAGTGGCAGCATAAAGGTGGGGTATCCTGGAATCCTCGTTCTTTCTTTCCCTCCACGCTCTTTGCAGCTGTCTACGAATCTTCAGACGCGTTTTCACCGTCGGAACGTTCGTTGGCAGTATTCACGCCGGTTTCGACATTGCCTGCTGCCTCCTCTCCTCCCGCCGTCTGCATGTGCTCTGCGTCATCTCAACCTGTGGGCGACCTCGCCTAGCCGTTCTGCTGCCACCATGTGTGTCTGCCTCTGACCCTCTCTCCGCCTCGTTTTGAAATGTGGAGCTTCCACGGCGGCTGCTTTCTTCGAAAGGCGTGCGTGCCTCTTACGCGCACCCTGCGGCTGCCTCGCCACGACATTCGCACATCTCCACGGAGCACATGCAGTCTTGCTGCCTGGGTGGCAAGGACTCACTTCGCTGCGTTTTCTGTGTCTCGTGTGGCTGCTGGCTGGGGTGTCTCCTCCTCCAGGGAACTATTTGGTGTCAGTCTGCCCGGGGAGTTCTTCCCCCTCCAACCAGTTGCTGATTCACAACATCAGGAAGCAGAAGTCTATCAAACCGCTCAGAAGGAGAGGTCCTGGAGCTCTCAAAGACGCCGCCTTCCACCCTAAAGAGCCGTGGCTCATCGTTGCCTATACAAGGGGTTTGCGGTGGGTGACCAGCTTGCTGTTGCGGTGACGACAATTCTTGTTTCATGAGGAAGATCGTCTCGTGAGCTGCTCAACATAGGGCACTTGGTTTGGAATGCTCCCCGTTTCGCAGGATCTACGATCTGGCAGCCAAGCAGCAGTCGGCTGGACTTCCTGGCACGCGCCAGGCGCTTCTCAAGAAGCTCATCGGTAGGTTTGCTCTGTGTTTTCCAGCTGTCTCGAGCCTCTGTTCATCATATTCCTTGTGGCGTGAGGTTCACCAGGTGACGCTCTTTGTACTCGTCTGTCGAAGGATGCGTTCGCTGGTTGTTGCAGGAGTTGAAAGCGTCAGTTCCGTGTCGGTCCACCCCAGTGGCTCGCAGTTGCTGGTCGGCGGGGAGAACAGCAAATTGTATTTTTTTGATTTGGAGCTGTCTAAGAGGGTTTTCAAAGTTTTTAGGGCTCACAAGCATGCAATCTCGAGCGTCGCATTCCACGAGACTCTCCCTCTCATGGCTTCCAGCAGCATGGACGGGTGAGAAAAAGCACGCGCATCTCACCCACGCATGCACCTAAAAAGCAGCAGAAGCTGCAAAACTCTAACCACCAGGATACGCCACTCTGACCCTCGGCCCTGTGTTTTTCTGCCTTCATCATCAGTAGACTGCATTTTTCTCGGACTGTCATGATGCTTTGCAAGTGCGCGTCGTGTTTCATCGTGGTGTTGAGCCTCCTTCGGCCTTTTGGCCTTGCTGTGTGCTGCCTGCAGCACTGTGCAGGTGTACCACTGTCGAGTGTACGACGACCTCATGACGAACCCTCTGATCGTCCCTGTCAAAACTCTCAAGGTGAGCAGGGTTTGTGCTTTTCTTTGCTTTTTTGCAGGGGGGCGGTGTGGTTCTTGAGAGGTGTGTTGTGGCAGCCGTTTTTCTGGGGAAATTGAACTTATCTTCGCGCTTATAATGGGGCCCTTTGGCCGCCTGTGCGCGGCGTCCTTTACATGGCTGGGGGTGGAACTGCACGTTGCTTTTGCAATTTTTCAGGTCTGTGCAGACGCTACGCAAGGAGGAGGTGTCACCACGTGCTTTTGGCATCCAACGCTTCCCTGGCTGTTTACAGGCGACAGGACTGGAGCCTGCAGTCTCTGGCGCTGAAGGAGGCATGTTGTGTTTCTGCCTCTGCCGATCGTTACTCTCTTTGTCAATTTGTACCTCTTTAAACTTCCGAACATGCTCTCTAGCTCGGCCTACCTTTGTGTATTTCTACCAGGGAAGCCGGTGCATTGCGGCCTCGAAAATAGGTGCCGAAGGCTAGTGTACGGTGTCGTGGTGCTCAGCCAAGCGATCACGCGTTAGTTAGATTTAGGTTCTCAGGTGCATGTCTGCTGGCTACGAAGGTAGCCTTCTACGCAGGTGCCTAAGCAACTAGGACTACATATACCCACATAAAGCAAAGCAGCCTTAAGACGTCCAGACACCCACGTTAGCTGCGGAGGTAGAAAACTGTCTTCATCTGCGAATGTCGCTGCGAATCACATTCATTACGTGTCTCGCCACCGCGGTGCTTTCGTATTTTTGCACCTGTCAGCCGTTCATCACGTGCTCCGTAGTGACTATCTATCTTTTCAGGGCCGTATTCTTCGCAAGCTGTGTATCGAGCATGTTGGCTTTCTGCGTAGTGTCAATTGGTTTGCAACCAGACAGGATTTACGTCCAACGGGGAGATCAGGTGCATGCAGAGACACATTTCTAAGAGCACACGGGATAGGCCCGCCTAGCACTCCTGCTGCTGCCATCGCCGCTGCTTTGTCGCTGCAGCGACCTGAATTCTGCTGCTGCCGGAGCAGAGGCCTTTAGCAGTGATGGCGCATATACGACTGAGTATCCGCTGGGGTGGAAGCATGCAGCGAAAAATCCGAAAGCACAGTTTGAGCTGCGGATTTGTGATTTGCAAGGTGGTGATGGGCTGAATACCGAAGAGCACTGCTCTCGGGTGTACGGGGAGTTCGGCCCCATCACAGAAAGCAGAAAAGACATTTACGAGCCAGTTAAACACGCAAAAGACGAAAAAGAGTGGACAGAAAGGGGAAATGGAGTGGAAAGAAAGGGGAGGGAAGGAAGCGGGGGGATCAAGCGCAAGGGTGTGTAGCAGTATGTGAGGGCCGCACATTGAAAATAGCATATTGTATATACATATGCATGTATATTGATACATATTTTGAAGTGTGCACATGTGTTCGTAAATGGAATGACAGATACATCTATAAGTGGGCATCATATAGATGTGTGAACCAGTGTAGCATGTTTAGACGTGCGTGGACGTGTCTATTTATGTACAAGTACAGTAACCATAGTATAGACACGCGTAGACACCTGTGCGGGGCGAGTAAATTTCCGCAAGTGTCACACATGTACAGAGGTGCAATAAATGCGAATCAAAAACCCAATGCTGAAGGCTACACGTTTGCGGGGGAGCACACCAACAGAAGCACCGCTCTCCGACTACAAAGAGGCTTTTACGGCTCCTCGTGGCGAATTCGCTCTCACCGACGCAACCAGCGAAACGAGAGGGACGCTGGTTCGTGACTGCCTCTGTAACCGCGAGTCTTTGGCTGCCCTTGCTGTGCCGTTGCTGCCGCATCCTTGTCGAACAAAGCAGTTCCTGCTACCTTCAGATCGTTTGATCGTTCGTCGCCTTGTGGAGCCCGTGTTTTAAGGGAGCTGCCTAATTCTTGGGTGCACTATGCATCCAGAGAGCAGCATTTACAACGTCCTCCTTGGTGATGATGGTTGCTTCCTCCAGATCCCTTGCATACGGCGTGGGGATGTCTTTTGTGGCCAGACGGACTGGCGGTAGGGCAAGGTCCTCGGAGCAGTTCTCAACTACCTGAAGTTGACACACCAGGCAGGCAGAGAGTGACGCGTCTAAGACGCAAGTCATGAGGCTGCCCCTCAGCGGAGGCATGGGGAAGGTTTCGCTGCATTGCAGCCCAAGCGACGACCAGTAGAACGGTAGACAGATTGCGGGAGGGGCAAACGAATGCATCGCATACACGACTTCCGGCAGGATAAGTTGGCACCCGTGAGCCGATAGGTAGAGGGGACCTTTACGCAAGCGGGTTACGACGAACAACAAACACCGCGAGCGCAAAACAAGAAACTTTCGGCAACACCATGTGAAGGAAACACGAAAACTCAAACGGCGACAAAAGGAAAGCCGCGCACACTGCTCGCGGCATCCGCAGATCCCAAGAACACGCACAGCCTACGCGTCAAAACAACCTGTGCATGCAGATCCAAGGCACAGACAACCTGCCCAATCATCACATCCTGGTTCACGCCGTCCTCTGGCCGCTAAAGCTTACTTGCGTGAAGATTTCTGCTCCGATTCCACCGGTTCGGCTGGATTCGTCTAGAATGAGGCACTTTTTGGTTTTTCGGACTGAAGCCTTGATAGTGGCCATATCCAGGGGTTTCAGGCTGATGAGGTCCACCACCTCGGGGTGTACGCCGAGCTCCTTGAGCTGTTTGGCTGCATCCAGCGCCACGTGCCTCAGCTTGCTGTAGCAGAGGATGGTGATATCTCCGCCTTCCAGAGGTACTTCTGCCTTGTCTAAGGGCTGCGTGTAGGGCAGCAAAGGGATGTCGTCCGTAATGCCATACGTCAAGACGTGCTCAAAAAAGACCACAGGGTTGTTCTCGCGTATCGCCGCTTTCAGCAAGCCTCGAGCGTTACGCGGAGTGCTGCAAGCCACCAGCTTCAGTCCTGGAACGGCCTGCAAGAACGCACGACGCACAGAACCCGAGAATGCAACTTGTGAGCCCCCGCGCCTTCTGCAGGCTTATCTGGCTCACTCGCAGCTGAGAGCTGCCTCCCCCGAGTCTGGGCAGCCTACGTTGCACGCAAGAGCTGTAGGATTCTAGGCTACCATGTCTCTTCCTCCCCCCTTCTACAGTCCTGCCTCGATCCTTACCAGAAGATACGCCTCTATTCTTTGGGAATGCTCAGGTCCTAGTTGCTTTCCAACTCCCCCCGGCCCTCGAATCACCATAGGAACGTCGAACTGGCCCCCACTGGTTGCTCTGACCATTCCTGCGTTGTTGCTGATCTGGTTGAAGCCTAGGAGTAAAAATCCCATGTTCATCCCTTCCACAATAGGCCGCAAGCCGTGCATTGCGGCGCCGATCCCCATGCCCAGAAACGTATTCTCGCAGATCGGGGTGTCTAGACACCTGAAATTCCCGTAACGGAAATGCAGGTCTTTCGTTGCCTTGTAAGAACCACCGTAGTGGCCCACGTCTTCTCCTGCAACAAAGCCAACACCGCATGACGCAGAGGTCGGGATGAAGCACAACGTCTAGAAGCACGCAGGCGTAAGTGTAGGACGGCCTCTATAGGTGGTTGGTTGGTGATGAGCGGAGGGGAAGGTGGGGAATGCGGGCAGGTAGCAAGGCTGCGTAGTACAGATGGGTTTGGGACGACGCGCGCCAAGTGTGTGTGTGTTTATGTGGAATGCTCCAGAAATTCAGTATCCTCAGCTCCCCGCATCTATGACTGGGTGTTATGCCACACGGTGCAAGGGGCACTAAGGCTTAGGATTAAGAAGGGAGACACTGCGAAAAGCCTGTGATGTACCAATGACACAAACTGCAGGGTCTCTCTCCATTTCCTCCGCCATCGCCATGTGCAGCGCCTGGTAAAGAGATCGCTTGACTGTCCAATCCTTTAGAGGCTTCCCATTCACCTTGTCTCCCTCTATCACTGCCCCACCCTGAGTGAGAGACCCCAAACTCGAGCATGCAGACTTGAATCGGAAATGGTCAAATGACGCAGACACACACTCCCTGACTACCTACGCAGACAGAGTCTCTAGACGTATAAGGAGCTCATTATTTCAAGTCCCAGCGCTACAATTCATAGGCTCACACTGCGCTGCTTAACTGAACCGCTAGGTATTGCATGTGTGCATGCACGCCCTTTCCCTGCCCTTCTGCGTTATGTTTGATTCGCTGCCGTCCCAAAGTTACGGCCCTATGAATGACAATTTGTGATGAACAAAGCTGACCTTTTCCTCATGCGCCAGGGGTACCTGTGCAGTCTGTGCGCGCATTGACACGTTCGTCTTTTCGGATGGGTGTATCAGTCCATCTTTCTTGTGAGGGGTGACAAGAGACAGAGAGGGCCCTCCATGGAAGCTCTCTCGTCCCGTAAGGAGAGGAAGCGGGATGCCCGACGAGGCGCCTTGCCCAATAACCCTAAAGGCGTCTATATGAACCGCAAAGAAGCCAGCCAGTAAAAGGAAGGAAGGGAGACACGGAAGTGACCGCATCCTCATGGGAGGAAATGAAGGTTTTGTGTGTCACTCTGCCTTCTGAATACGAGTTTCTATACGGAAACAGGGGAGATTCGAGACACAGAGAGCTTTAAGAGCAGGGAGGAACTCAAGGGGGCAAGCGGCAGGCGAAAGAGACAGTGGCAGGCACAAGTAAAAGGGAACACAGCAAAACACAAGACGCATCGACCCAAGAGTTAAAGTGTGCAATGTGTGCACAAAAAAAATCGTAAATCCGAAATTCCAGTCTTTCGGGAGTCATTCTTCAGCCCTCGGGGGATGCAGCCACAGCCCTTCGGTGGCACTGGGGGACTCATGAGGTTTGCCACTCAAAATCAGAATCAACTTATTCAATAGCACGATAACATTCTGTTTCTGCTTGCTTAATGGTCATATTGAGGTGGACATGTGCACCATACTCCACGTCCTCCCTCCGAGTCTGTAGGCATCTATCTAGCGAACCAATAATGAAGAGGGAATATAACACAGTAAATGCACTTCAATTGTGAAAGACCAGTACGTAGTTTTGCTCTCTCCTGAATTATGTGCGCGTGTCCCGGCTATTGCAAAGAGCTTGTCGCAGACATAGCAGACAAGTCCGAATCTGCAATCAGATTGCAAGAATGAACAGTACGAGAAGTTTCATGCGATGCTGCCGACGACTGATCTGTCATTTCAGCTGTTTCTGATTCTGTGCATTAATAGGGTGGATGTGATAACACATTATGGTTCTGTCTATGCATTTTTGGAAAGAGCCCAGGGATCCTTTGCCCCATCTTTCCTCCATGTCAATTCTTCCCAATGCACGTCTACTCTATGTACTTAGAAGGAATTTCCAATTGGAAACTTTGGTAAGTTCCGTGTAGAGAAATAGAAAGCACTTTGTTCTAGACTAGATACATTTGTATCGGGATTGGGGGGGAACCGAGAATTTGCCTTGGCTGTTGGCATGTCTTAGGGGATGCAGCGCAGACTGAGTTCAATACATTGAAAATCGATGTTTTGTGCTCGTTCCCCAGATGTTATCTGCAACTATTCGTGAATGCTCGGAGTGCCTAAAGGGTGCAGCAACGCGCACCCAGCCTTTCCTTCTCCCTCATGTTGGGAATTCCTCTGGCCGCGGGCAAAGTTTGACACGAGCCTTTTTGAGAAAAACGATCAAACTTTGACTAAGGTTGTAGTGAATCTGGAGTCAATCGTCTTCTGATGGAAACCTTGGACATGGGTCGCAATGGCTTAGTTTCGCCGAAAGCCGCAAGGTGCTCCATCTCTACACTGCAACTACACAAACAATGCTGGTTATGTGGTTACATAGATTCAATATTGACGAGGAATTAGGCAACTACTGCTGCACGATTGTTGTGTCAGTGAGGGCAAGCACACGGGCGAGGAGCTCATACATTGCGTCATATAGATGCAGAATTAGGTGTATGGAAATGCCAGCCTTCTTTATGGAAAAAGTGTTGCTGGGAGGATCGCGGTAGTGCATCCAGCGTGAGTGGTGAATGGAATACAGTGGCAGGTGTTCGCTGGTAGCATGTAATGCTGATAGGTGTATAGAGAGTGTCTGGATGCTTCGGGCAGCGAGTCTGTCGTTGAGTAGGATCGCATGGTATGGGCAAGTGTTCCCTGTTCATCCACTTGCCAGGAATGCAGTGGGATGTCAAGTATCCCTTCAACAGTGTCGTGCTTTTAATTAAGCTGGTTCACAATTTAGTAATCTGATCTTGTTTGTCAACATCCTAGAGATAAACCCTGCGGCGATGGAAGCAGACAGGGGCGCAGTGCCTGTTGGGGTGGCAGATGTCAGCCTGCCAGCTGGTGTGAATATGCTTGCTACATAGCCGGTTTAAAGGCATAATCTGAAGGTTAGCACAATGTCTATGGCTGTATCGATGAGGCTACGCTAACCAGGGAAGTATAACGGCCGTAAGGATTGGAAAGTACATAAGACTTCGTCTACCTATTGGCGATCTACCCCACTGGCTGCCTACCAGTAGAAGACGAACAAGTGCTCTCTTAAGGAGGCTTTTCAAAGGGGGGAGCACTTAACTGGTGCCCATATTATTTCAGAAGTCATCTGCCTGCAGGGAATACTACAATTTCAGCCTTAACACAAGCCCTGGCACATCTGTCTGCCGAGTTCAGCTTAACAGCAAGCTTCCATAAAACTAGAAAAGCCGGAAGAAGTCTATTGATAAATCGGTGTATCAAGAAGTGTGGAACTTGGTTCCCAAAAGCCACAAAGTAGACGAACAACCTCTTTATCAACGATTAATCTCAGTTGTACCTGAAGTGTCATGTCAAACGGTCTTTGGATGGGCAGTGTCTGATTATTAAAGAGCTGATCGCTGGAGCTTCCATAATTAGTGAGATGTTCGAGGCTATAGGGGCAAGTCACGGGAGCGTCTACGTCTTTGCCTGGTGCACTGTCTCGACGCCCCAGCGGTTAACATTGTGCAAACCACTTGCTGTTGGTGGTCGTGATTTACAGGTTCTGTCAAAGATGTGTGAATATCGTGCTTTAACATCAGCGCACCCGAGACCACTGCTCATAATCTGAGTGGCAGATGTGTGAAACAATATTACGTTGCGAACGGCTTGCGGCTTAAGACGAAGACGGAACACCGTCGCATCGGCATTCCGACTTCATCCCGCAGTGCTGTCTTGTGCAAAGCACAAAATCATGATCTTCTGCGAAATAATGATATCCATTCTACAATGGAATAGCTCTCACGAGCCCTCTGATGGCCTGGGATGAGTCACGCGGCAAAGAAGCATGCACTGCCTTCCACAGACTGTCAGCGGTTAATGCTGTGCAAGTCCTCTAAGTCTGTTATTCTAAAGATGACACCGGTTTTTAAGAGGATTTGGACGGATTTGACAATGCTCTGCTAATGGAGCAGCCAGATATCAGTGGTGAGGATGGCATCTAAGTCGTTGTGGCTCGACTCAGTAAAATACTCATTTTCCTATCTTGCTACAGTTCTGTCACAGCTCAGGAAGTCACTGGACTGTTTTTAGATCATTTCTAGAGGATTCATAAATTCTGTAGGAGTTTGATTACGGCTCGTGGTCCGAAGCTTGTTAGTTCATATTGAGCGTGCCTCTCTAACCTCCATATGAATCAAGCAAAATATTATTACTGGCAACACTCCAGAGGCGGATGGGCAAGCAAAGCACATCGACCGTATTCTTCTGAAGTATTTGCAGCGCTCCGCTCAGAACAACCCAATTGCTCGGTTGAGCTTTTTGTCTTGACTGAGCTCAATATACAGCTGTCTCTCCCGCCTTCCTTGACTCCGTTAAGGATCCCGTCTCCGATCCTGGCTTGGACCCGGTAGTCTGGGACCGGCAACCACCATCAGCAACGGAGGGATTCCGAGAACAGCTACCTCGTGTACACGAATGTATGCGCGAAGGCTCGAGAATTGTAGCCACCCATGGATATATGATCCGGCGTCCGGCTGCGTGTTTGAGCCTGCAGGCTTGGTTCTGGTAAAAACAGCAAGCTTTATGACTAGTTACCGCTAAGGTACTAAATAAAGTTTCTAGTAAAATCAGGTGGGAGACACCAACTCCAGTGGCTGATGGATGAGCAGTGTCAGGTTTGTTTGCCTGCGGAAGATTTTGCAGCTCTCTTTGGTTCAGAACGCTTGTCGCCATCGACGGTTTTCTTGGCGTTCCTTGGTAATTGTTCTTCCCCAGTGTATGCCCTGCATGAAATAGCTACATGCATCTACAGGCATTGCTGGTTGTTGTTAACATGTTCTCTGAGCGCAAATTCATCAGCAGCCATTCTCAGATATGTTGTTTCGGCACTCCTGCGTATGGGCCTCTTCAGACTTGGAAGTTGACTAACCTCTATCCTGCCTGCCGTATGCGCATCCAAAGCTCACCCTAGATGATGCGGATGTACTGCTGAGCTGATGCGTATTCGGATTGCCTGTACACAGGTATATATATACATATATGCATCAGGAGGTTCAAACATTTTTGCGGTTCGAGAGGAGCAGACCATCGTGCAGCCGCCGTCGCCTTGGCCTCGTTCTGTGTTGGCTGGTGTGTCTGCATTTATTCCCGCCGATTCCACTGTAGTGGCTGATGCAGGTTTTGTATTTCCATTTGCGTTGATTCGAATTTATGCTTGTGTGGGGAGTGACCATGGGGCGGGGATTCTTCCGCTGTCCTGGGCACAGTTGATCTCGACATACAGTTACTGAATACGACAGCGTATTTTTTAAAAAGGGGAGGAGAGATGTAGCGCGATAGGCTTTATGTGAACACTCTTGACTACTTAAGTTATATTTAGCTACGGATTAAAAAGGATTTACTGGTTGACCTTTCAGTTCGCATGTGGTGCATTTTGCAGACTACTGTTCGATCAATGCAAGAAGACGCAAAGTTGTCTGCGTATGCGCTATACGGTATGTGCAACTAGCTATAAATACTTCTAATATATACTGCTAGTGCGGCTACGTGCACCTCAGCCCCCCTTCCTCTCACTTTCGATACTTCAAGGGGCGCGGGCAGGGGTAAGCGCAACTTTTCGAAAAACCCTCAACAACTTTCAAATATCATTGCATTAAGTCCTACGTTAACTTCATACGGAGGCCTCAGCTGGAGCATTACAACGACCAACACAGGCACGCTTACAGTAAAGCAGCAAAAAACATCAGCTCCTCCCTTCGGCCCCTTCGTGAGTCTCCAACTGCATTTTTACTGTAATATCCCTACTAGTTGATGAGTAGCTTAGGAATCACACTATGAGCTGAACTACACCGACTGCAGCAGCCGCCTTTTTGGCAATGCGCATGATCTCTCAGGGCCCAGATTTGTGTGCGCAAACAGTCGTATCCTGTGCTCCGACAGGATAAACATCTGGCCTTTAGTGCACAACGCGCCCCTATGCAATACCAAGGGGCAGTCCAGTAGGGGCATGCTAATTCTGAGAGGGTGCATAATTGAAGAAACCTAGAGCCATTTTCTAAATGTCTGAGGCCCCGTTGTTTGGTTTACATTGGCCTTTAGTAAGGCCGGATATGTAGGGGTCACTTCAATGGGCATAAGGCAGCGCTTCAGGGTGCAGAGAGGCACCTCAGAGGCGAATTTCTCCATGTACTCAGAGCAGGAAGGGCCACAGCACGAGGGTTTTTTGTTTCGACTTGGCTGGTCAGCAAGCTAAGCGCTACACCGCCGACATTTACGGTGCACGATAAAAACTGTCAAAGGCAGAACAACGCATCCAGCTGTGTAGTCGCAACAATGAAGCTTTGCTTTTGTAGGTGGCCATAAAGGGAAACGCTTTAGAAGGCCGTTGAAATTTCCGAGGTATGGTGCGCTATATGCCACTGCCGACGCTCCACGAAAACCGGTTTCCTACTACCCAGGATAGCGGTGTGATAACTCGACGTCAATCGGGTATATATATATTCGATTGACACCCATTCGAGCAAAATTTGTGCAAGAAAGTCAATCAACGCCAAATTTTAGGCTAAGTAGAAGGAAAATAAATCGACAAGGGCCCCGTGGCGCACACGACACACGCAGGGCAGCTGCTGGGTAACGCAAACCATTCGCAACTCTGAGAGAAGCCTCATAATTATTTTCCGGAAAATTTTCAATTTAAAGCGTTTTGCTTGCCAAGATTCAAAAGCGGCTGCTGCGCAAAGTGCAGCAATCGATCCGAGACGGTCTTTCCACTGTTTAGTAGTTGCCACTACGGCGCTGCGCCCTTGTTCATTTCTTAGTACTTCAGCCAACATAGCGCAAAACAGCCAGATTAATGGAACTTTGCATTGACTGGTCTCTAGGGGGATCAGTCACAGTTCCTTCGCCATCTCTTCCCTCGCTGTGAACGTCTTGACAGTCGTCTTCTTGGTCGACACATCCTGCGCACCTAGTTGGAAATCCCCGCTTTCCACTGCCTTCCCCAGCGAAAGTAAGACGTGCAGCTCCTCTGCGCCTTCCTGGATCTCAGGCAACGAGCACGGTCTGGAGGAGCTGCACGCACTTCATCCATTCCCCGTCCAGGAAATACACCGCAAGCGAGCGCTTTACTGGGTTCACATCCCTCTTCGGCTTTCACAGTGTCTCATGTCTTACTGCAACTGCGTAGAGGGTGTCTTTTGCGACTTGCCAGCAACTCACCTGGACCTCTACCTAACCTCGCGTTCGAGGCATTCAGAGCTTTGTGAATGCAAGGGCTGCCTGCAGAGAAAATGCTGCAGCCGTTGTACACTTCGATTTGCTTCCTACTTTTCCTCTTAGCCATAGGGGAAAACCACCTTCACGTCACAGCTGCTTCTCCCCCCCATCAAGAGGCGGCGAGCTTCTATCAAGTCCTTAAGCTGGCAAAGTCCGCACTTCCTCGTAAACGATTGCATGAAAAAATGCATATGCTCGCAGTTGAAGCGAATCCATATGTCTGTGTATAAATATCCAGTGTTCGATCTTGAAGGCACGCACAGAAAATTGTTCATTTCTTCCATATGATCTTATATGTTTTCTTTCTGGTGGACTCACACCGCCCCGGTTCAATCCATTCCCTAGTGTCTGCACGATCTACCGTCTGTGCGCCAATGTACCACCATATATTTGAGTATATGAATAGGTTAGTCGTGCATTTCCATGCTCAGTCCTCTGAAGGGGTCTTTTTCTCGCTCAATGTGCACTTTATTGAATAGCAATTGTAGGAAGCACTTTTGGGTGCAGGAATTCGCATGCCCTTCCTTCTCGGTGCATGTCTTGTCTTGGCCTTTGTCATTTTCTCCGCATTGCATTACCAGCCGGCTTGCGTGCACTCTTGGGCTTAAGGGCGCCATGCTCGCTTTGCACGGGTAGCCTTGAAATGTGGCTGCTGCGTGCTTCCAGGGGTGCGACGGATACGGAAGTGAAGAGGGCTTACCGAAAACTGTCGCTCGAGCTGCATCCCGACAAGGTGAAGGCTAAGAATGGCGATACCAAGGCTGCGGAAGAACTCTTCCAGCAAATTAACCGCGCCTACCAGGTTTTGTCGAGTAAGTAATCGCTTTAAAGAAGTACCTGGCCTGCGCTTAGCGCTTCGTGTTCAGCAGCGCGCAATCGTTTGGCCACCTTCCAGATTGCCCTCCTATACTACCACGGCACCCCTTTTGCATCATCCGGCAAATCAGCCAGTGCTCAGGCTCTCGCAACTCTTTGAGGCCTCTCGATTCAGATCGAACTCTATCCTCTTCCTCCTCTACTTCCGTTCATGGCATTTCTTCATAGCCACCCAAGTATTATCTACTCGCTTTGCCTGCTCAGACAGCAAATCGCGGCGCCTCTTCGACACCTACGGGCCTCTCTACGAAACTCAGGAGAGTTATTACGAAGAGTTGCAGAAGAATAGGATGCATGAGCTCTATAGCTACAAGAGAGGCGTGCACCTCCTTCATGGACCAAACATGGACGCTCTTCTAAGGGGATCCGAGTTCTCTTGGATCATTAGCTTCTACCAGGCTGGATGCGGAAACTGCGAGCGGCGTGTAAGAATCAGCAGCACTCGCTTTTCGAGATCACCAGTGTCTAGACAGGCGCAGACTCAGCCTGGCAGAATCGCTGAGAATATGGCAACCAGCGCTTTCTGCCTGATGCACGATACAGAGAATCTTCGGCAGCTGTACATACAGCAGGACCTGTACCCGTGTCCCCGTTTGTTCTGCACATTAGGTACCCTTCTTCTCTGCTCTTGGGGAAAAATCGCTTGAAACCCAGAATGTGCGGGTTGGAATGGTAAACTGCCAAATGTCACACTTGTGCCACTATTTTGGAATCCACCAGCTGGGACAGGTACTCCTGTTTTCCCCTCAGCAAGAGGGAGGCGGTATGTTACAAACGCTGGATGCTTCCCATATGGCTCTTTCCTTCTTTTTTTTCTTAGAACGCTCTTTCTGAGGGTTACAGGAACTTCCATGAGTCCGCCTTCTGCATACGCATCCGCACCCGTCTCCTCGCCATAGCGTCCTCATATCCTGAACCAGTAATGTTACCCTCGCACCACCCTCTCCACTTCTATCCCCGCTTCCCTGCTCCTCAGACTCATGGGATTTTGAGGAATACTCTGGGCCCATGTCCGTATCGGACATACTCAAGGCAGCAGACCAGCTGAAAGCTTCACGGCTTGAGGAGGCTTCCAGTGACAGACACGTCAAGGAGCAACTTCGAAAGCTCCCGTCAGGTGAGATCAGATGCGCCTTCCCTGTTAGAATAAGGCAGTAGACCAAGCCAGACGCACGTTTATTCCCATCAAAAAAGGCCCTTGGTTCTTCTAGACTTGCTGCATGAATGTTTTCTCCCTGCCATTCTGCTTTCGCATCCTCCCTCGCCCTCGCTTTCCTTGGCTTCCCCTTTTTCTGCCACCTATATGCCTGCTTTCCTCTCTGCCCCCTCTGAACGTGTACCTTCTCAGCAGGAGGAGCCGGCGGAATCTCTGCCGTCTGGGTCGTCGATTACTACAGACCTTCTTGTCCTCCGTGTCGCCAGCTTCGCGCAGAGCTCCGTCGCTTAAGTCGCACGCTCTCTCAGCAAATCCGCATCACACTCGTAAACTGCGGTAAGCCCGCCGCAAGCCGTCTCTTCTCCAGCCCTTGAAGCCGGCTGCTCTGTGGGCTTTCAGTGTGAGAAAGAGAGAAAACCCCTAATGGGAAAAGGCTGCACTCCAAGTGTCCTCCTTGCAGACCTAGGGAGGTGCGACGTTCCCCATTACCCCTACCTTCGCCTTTTTGTGAAGCAGTAGGTCCCTTCCCGGTTTCCCCTTGTTAGGCCTCTATGCCTGTCTCTCTCTTAAATTTCAGAGTTTAACGATCTTCTACTTCCGTAACACAATAGCCTGCAGATTTCAGTTGCTGCTCTCAAGGCGTCCCTGCCTCGTACTCCCTGTACTGCTCGCCAGCGTATCATGAGCCCCTCTGAAGGCAGACACCCGCAGCAGTAGCCCTTCTGGCCTGCTCCTTCGTGTCTCTTCCCGTGCCTTTGTGCGCGCCCTTTTAAGTGACTCTGTTTGTGCATGAGTGGTCGGTGGTAAATTCCCCGCTACCCCTGTGCACGTGTCTCCGTGGCCTACCCCTTAGACCTCCACTGCCTTCCCCTCTCTGAACGTCTATCGCTTGCGCTTTAGTATGAATTTTTTGCTTGCGCTTTAGTATGAAAACCAAGACTTTTGATTTCCCCAAACCTAAATAGCTGAAACTGTCGAGGCAAAGCACTCGGGAGCAAGATTCAGAAACTCGCATATGCAGCACCCGCCACACTTTCTGCTGTGCCTTTCCTCATGATCACCTCGCCCCCCCGCCCTCCCTTTCGCCTTATTCTCTCTCTGCTTGATCTTGTGTAAAAGTGCTCTTCTGTGCGCAGCTCGAATGGCATTATCCGGAGCCACTCGCTTCCATATGGCACCGGTGACCATCCGGGGGCCACTGCGATCCAGCTAACCGCTTTTATCTTCAACACCGTTTTAGGGCTGGAGCCTCCGCCTCTCCCAAGCCAAGATAACGACAAGATTCAAAGGGACGAGTTGTAGAGGTAACAGTTGGAGGAATGGATACAAAGAGGGGGAGCAAAGGAAGAAGTGCAAAGGAAATTTAAAAAAAGGAGTTCGCGATGGCCTGGGGGAGCGGAGCGCATTGAACGGCAAATTAAAAGAACCAGAGAAAAGATTCACACGGCGGCATGAAATAGGAACGGATAGTGTGAAGGATGGCATGCACAGAGAGAACCCTTATGGGTACTCGATCCTTCTAAGAAGAGTGGTGCTGTTTCTGTCGCAGCAAGAACAAAGGAGGGCCTTTAGTTGACTTGGGAGAAGAAAATCACTGGGGAGATGCGACCTTGGCAGCTGGCCCACCGCATCGAAACTCACTTTTGGTTTGTACAGTTACGAACTCAAGGGATGCCAACCATACAAAAGCGAACTGTGCCCAGGGCTCGATGCGTGAAAAGAGATGATTCAAGCTCCTTGAAAACCATAAAAATATGAACACTTTTAGATCACGCCACTAAATTCATAAAGGTAGCTGGCTTTTTCAGGGGGCACCGAGCTAGAGTCAAGACGGACTACACCAGCATAGACACCAAAAGGGTACACTGTGGTCGCTTCTGCTTGGTGTTGAATAAATATGGAGAGATGCTACTATTGTACATTCAGGTAGTAACAAAATACGAAGGAGCGAGAGTGCTCTGTCAAGAGACACCTGTGGTGTGCGACGCGCACCGATCAGACGCTGCTCCTCAGTGGTCTGTTGGGCAACAACAATGTATCCTACCATGTCTTTATCTCCAGGTTACACCTGTTAAGGGGAGTATTCCAAAATACCAAACTCAAACGCTCCCCCTCTCTACAGGAGTTTGAGTCATGAATACTACCCGAGAGCCTTCCACTTCTTAATCGTGAACAAGGCCAACCCGATACCATCTAATCTGCCCGTTCAGTGCAGCCGCTTACGTTAACCAGGAGGAAGCAGACGATACTTCTAGGGGCAAATAGGAGGTGCATCAGATATAGGTAAAAGCCTCCTACCCTAACACTCCGTGACAGCAACCTGCAGATCCATGAACATTAAACCCTCAGCCGTTAGATTTGAAACATGCACAGCATTGTCCTTTGGAAACGAAATCAGCGACAAGGTCACATAATGCAGGATTCGTTGCGAATTATTGTGCGTCTAGTCGCATTCTCTATACTTGACAGCCTGGTCTGTATACCCGAGAACATGCGAATTTCTGACATGAACCAACAGACCGCGGAGGAGTAACATTTGTGCCCTCCAAGTAGGGTTTGGAAGAATACAATCCCCCGGAAACATAACGAGTTTCGGGTTTGAAGGTTACAGCATGCCGGTGTGCTTGAACAGTAGCAGACCCTAGCTGGTCCTTGTCTTCGTCCTACTTTCTCGCCAGCGAACTGCTTGCATATTTGAAATCGCGGAGAAAAAATGTCTTCAATATCAGCACTACGAAAAAATGCAATTTGCACGTAGCGCCACCTGATGTGGGCCCATACCGACTGACCGCTCCACCGGCTGTTGCAGTCTCAGCTAGGTCTCCCGTAATTGGTAGCCTAAACACCCACCCTTTAGCCCTCCACCTTAAAAGTCTACTTGGCCGCATATGTGCACGGCATTTGAGCCCTCGATTTTACTGCTTTCCGCCCGCGTTTCCCCATGAGGTTTGAGGTTGAGGGTTCCTCGGGGGTTCTCTGCCTACTCGACGGCTACCATCCCTCTCCATTTCTCCATGCCTCTTCCACCCTGAAGCCTACGGAGCGAGCTTCATCGCAAAGTTCAAGCTGTCGCTGCTGGCAAGTCATCCAAACGGTCCAGCAACCCCAGGGGTGCTTCGGTGGTCGTGGTTTCGTCCACCCGCAGAATGCTCCTTAAAGGAGGACCTTCTCTGGGGCCCCTGCGGGCCCTATCGCCTCTGGAATCCAGCAGATTCCTGCACTACAGGGCCCCCGCGTGCTGCTGGGGGAAGCCTCGGAAGCGCTGTGTCTCGACACCTCGTCGGCTCGCCTTCTCCGCCTTGATCCCGCCTTCTCCGCCCTTCCCGCCTCTGCAGGCTTCCGGATTGCAGTGTCTTCGGTCGAACGGCCTAAGGAAGCAGCAGCACGCCAAGAAGTTGCGGGGATGCGAGCTGGAAGGCTTGGCCTTTGGAGCTCGCAGGTGCTTTCATAACAGCCCCTCGGAGCACCAGGAATGCGGGCAAGAGCGCCAGCATCAGCTGCTGCAGGATTCAGAAATTTCTGCAAATGCAGGCGCTCCGCCTCTCCGACTGCGCCGCGTTGTTCTTTTGAACAAAGTCACCCGGTTCGAGGTCTCTTTGGCGGAAAAAATGGCTGCCTGGCGAAAGGAGCACCTTTCGCACAGCAATTCGAGCGGAACCTGGCGAAAAGTGAAAGGCGACGAGGATCCATGTGAGGATCCGACTTTATACGTGCCTGGCAGTCGTGCCTTCGGGGCAGCAGCTGCCGCGGCAGAAGCAGCAGCGGCAGCAGCCCTCTCCCGCGACTTCCCGAGCGCTTACCGCACTCACGTTTTGCACCAACAGACAGCAGCGGAGGTGTATAGACAGCTCAGAGAAGACTACGGTCTGCACGTCACCGTCATCAAGGCCAGAACCATGCAGGGGCTTAGCATCACGAGGAAAGGCGCAGTTGCATTCCCACCAGATGCTGTTATTTCGGCGGGTGAGGAGGATCCACGGTTTGGGCCCTGTGTCGCAGTTTCGCAGTCTTCTACCCTCCCCAAGAGGGGGCATGCAGGGGTCTTTCTTCCATCGCTGTGCTTTTGCGCTTTTGCACTGCTGGCAGGTGGTGACGGCACGTATCTGGAGGCAGCATCCATCATCCCAGGGCAGACACTGGGAGAGCCGAGTGGACCGTGGCTCTTCGGTGTAAATACAGACCCCGCGAGATCCGAGGGCAGACTTTGCGTGAAAGCCCCCTTCTGCACACAAGCGCGCAGCGACAAACTCCAGCAGCAGCAGCCGGAGGAGCTGCAGCAGCAGCCACGGAGGGCCCAACAGGAGGAGCTGCAACAGCAGTACCAGCGACAGGAAAAAAATATGCATGCGCAACAGCAGGGGTGTCTCGCGGTAGGATCCAACGTGAGATTTTGGACTCCTCGAGCTCCCGACTCCGAGAGCGGCGCGCCCTCTAGGGAGGCGGCGAAACCTCGGGGGGCCCCCTCGGGGGCCCCCGGAGGGGAGTTCGATGCGAAGGCGTACGTGGCAGCCACTCTGCAGCACCTGCTACAGGGGGGAGCTCGCATCGTAGCTCGCCAGAGGATCAGAGCCACGCTCCGCTTCGCCCCGCACTTGCAGGGGGAGGTTGCAGCAACAATTGGCAGAAATCAAGCAGAGGCAAGCGCCTCAAGAGGGAGCGGAGGTGTATCGACACTGGAAGGCTTAGGCCCCCCCAGAGGCTCAGTGGGATTTTCTGTGAATGGCTGCAGGAGCTCCAGTTCTAGAGGCTCCACGGATAGCACTGAGAACGTCGCCTCAGGAGCAGTCTCGTGTCTGGGCGCAAGCCTCTCCGAGTCGCCGCATGCTGAGAGCCTCGCGAGCCCAGGTGTATGCTCAGCGGCTGCAGCCGCGGGGAGCACCTTCGGAGGGCTGACGTTCGACTGGGGGTGCCCCGTTACGTCTCAAGGGGTCGAAATGATGGAGGTTCGTCTGCCCTTTTTGTCAGTTAACGACGTTCTGGTGTCTGAGGCGAATGTCGCCAAGACCCTTTATGCGGACGTGTGGATAGACGGGGAGGTGAGGAGGCACAAGAGCTCGGGAGTGTTGATTTCCACAGGTGAGATTTCCCCGTGGCGATTGATTGCAGCGCGCGGCGAGAATCCCTGGTGCAGCGGCAGCGCGCAACGCATCCGTTTCAACGCCTGATACGTGCAGGTGGGACTGTGTAGCAGCCAGCCTTGATGCGTTTCGCTCTCGTTTTGCGATCGGTTCTCCCGCCCAACAGCAGCTTTTTCGACTGTATAGACGCGCTGGGCCCGCAGGTACTGGCTCTAGCGCTTGGCACTTCAACATGGGCTCAATCTGCAAGGAACAGGCTAGAGCCGTTGCCGACAAGCTGATGCGTCTTAGACCCCAACTTGGAGGTACTACGCGTAGGCGCGCATGCACACAGACGGGTTGATCGGCGAAAGCTCGTATTTGTCTATGCATAATTTATATAGCGTTGCTGCTTGGATTCCTATTGACTCTCTAGAGCCTTTCCTAGGCCTTCTGGACAGGAGTCTTCTCTCCTTCTGGTGGAGGGGAGGACTGCCTGCGGAACCGAGGGGAAGTGTGCTGCTTCTGCCTGTTCGTTCCCGTTTACGCTTCTTCGCTCATGGTGCCTCCTTGCGTAATGAAGCTTCACGCTGCTCTTGCTGCTGTCTTTGGCCTTCTCGCGGTCTGTGAACGCCCATCAATAGAAGAATTGTTGTTGGAAATGCTGAAGACGGACTGTGGACAGGAGCATCTATTTGTGTCTCTACAAATCTTGTCGGGGGCATGTGTTTCGTGCTGCTTTCTCATTTTTGTATCCATCACCGTCGGAGCGTGCCTGTGTGCTCCACCCCATTGCGCGTTGTCTTAGAAGGCGGTTCTGCCCTGACCGAAGAGGAACTAGGGCAAGTTGTGGCTGCCGCAAACGCCGAGCTACTGCTAGACCCCGGTGCTCCCTTTCTTCGCTTTCTCATCCGCGAGCCAATCGAAAACAGGTAGCTGAACGAGGTGTATGGACACCTCAGATACCGGGAAAGGCGAGGTGTATCGACATCCGGATGGGGGGTGCACGCTTGTGGGTGGTGGTCACGCCCTGACTTTTGCGCCTTATGCGGGGCCCTCGTTACAGCCACCTTTCCCACGATGTGCGACTCACCCCTTTCCAATCGTGTGTGTTTGTCTTCTTTTCCTGTTTCTCGTAAAGAATCTTCTGCTGTGACAGAACGATGGGAGTGGGCAAAGAAGTACGGGTGCGGCCGCTAGCTGGAGAGGTAATTATATCCATGGACGGTCTAGCTAAGCTTCCTCTGCCACCCCTCGTGGAGCTCGTGTTGTCTGTACACCCCGGCGACGCCCTCTGGACTGCGGAGTGACAATACAAGGATCCAGGCCTGGAGTGGTAGCTGAAATATGAGACGTCTTACATGGGCGCACACAGACCACATACCAATCTGTGCAGCACGCACAAAGGGACTCGCGTAGCCTTAAGTCAACGAGCTAGAGCTAGCCTGGCGTTTACTGCTTCGAGTTGAAGAGTAAAGGCTTCGATATGCACCCACTGGGCTGTCTCCACATGTCGATGGGTTCTAGGAGCCGTGACACTTTGTATTCTCGTTGCTTTTAGTGGCACTTTGAAGATGTCTCTAAGTTATTCCGAGGATTTGCGCCAAAGCATTGAGCGCACGAATATTTGTGGAATTGGATTGAGGGTCTGGCGGCATCGTACATGTCATTTCTTCTCGTTTTGTCGTCTTGTATTCAATTTTATAGACGTCGAGAACTGTGCCATCAGAGGGACTGATGCATTTAAAGTTTGGTTGACGTACAGCTACGATTTGGGGCATGCACATTTTTGTAGCGTATTGGGTACTCCCATAACTTACAAGGAAGTGGGAATGCGTTGCAAAAAGGCCTTCTTCGTGCCCGTCTGCAGTGCAGCAGGGGTCCAATAGGCGGTAGTAGAGCTTCAGAAGCATCTCCTTTACTGGTGGGTTTTTTTGAGGAGCGATGCGCAAGGCATGCAAGCAAATGGCACACGCACTACTGTAGATACACCAAGTGGGGTCTCCCTGGTATATTCACGGAATACTGGCCACTGCTCTGTGCACTAGACTCCCCTTAAATCTTCGTAGCTCAATCGGATATGGGCTCTTAGAAGGCTCCGTATACTTGCCATCAATAATCCCCCATTTGTATGTGCTTTGGGTCTGTCGCGGGCAAAGTTGCACTTTAACTATTTCTACCACACTGTTATATTTGACTAGAAAAGATTTTCAGATGAACTGGTTGTTTTGTCCGCCATGTTTCTTCTTTATTGCAAAGTGTTGTTCGCTCGAAATAGAAAGAATTTTTGCTGTGTGTGGAAGCGCTAAATCCTTTGTGCAGCTAGCTGTAAATGCTTGGAATGCTGAGACGAAGCAGCAAATTACATCCTACCTGTCCCTCTTCCCTCACGTCGAGAACTCTAAGGGGCGTAGATACGAAAGGCAGACATTTATTTGTTAGCCACTCAATAACTTCGTATTATTTTGTATTGAGTCTGGAACAAAGTCTCTCCCTACGGAGGCCTACATGGAATTTTTCATTTAGTAGTATCGCATGGTTGGGGGCAGAGGTTCCTCGTTATTCCACTTACCGAGGATGCATTGGGATATCAAGTATCCTAAAACACGTTTTTGGCTTTGATTGAACTAGGTTGAATTAGGCTGCAACTCAGTAATCTGATTTTCTTTGGCAACAAGTCGGGGGAATACCCCTAGTGGCGGAGGTCGCCCAGCAAGCCTTACTAGCCACACTGCCGGTATAAGTGCAGGAATCGTTAATAGCCAAAAGAATATCGATGAGTAGATGCAGTCATATTGACCAGAAGAGTATGACGGCCATGCGGATGATTGAAGATATCGTCCACCTGTTGACGATACACCTCACTGTGTGGATACCAGAAAAAGAGGAATGAGTGCTCTCAGGGGATGTTTATTGGAGAGCAAAACACGGTGGAGTCGCCTGTATTCTTTTGAAATAAGTCATCTGACTGCAGGCAGTACTACAGTTTACGCTTGTACACAATCCCTGGCACAGCTGTCTGCCGAGGTCAGCTAAACAGCAAGCTTCGATAGAATTAGAGATGCTGGAGGAGAGATTTCGATCAATACATCGGTATATCGAGAAGTGTGGAACTTAGGTACCCACAAACCTCAGAGCAGACGAACAACTTCTTTATCAGTGAGTTATCTCAGTGCTAGCTGAAGTGCTGTGTCAAGCGGTTTCTGCATGGCAGTGCCTGATTCTCATAGAGCTGATCGCTGGGGCATAAAATGGTAAGGCGTTTGAGGCTACAGGAGCCAATTACAGTAGCGCCTTCGTCTTTTCCTGCAGAGCAAGGGCCAAATCGGGCTTCAAAACTCATGTATTAGGGGACTGCCAGCTGGCTCTAGTCTACAGCGTAAGGTGAGTTCGCGAATAAGCCAGAGGAAGCTCGTGCTTTAGTGAAGCCCCAGAGAAGCCTCCCAAGAACACACCCGGCTGTATTTAAAAAAACTGAGACATGTAATCAGGAGCTGCAGGCACAGTCCGACAATAGAACCATGTGTATTTTAGAGCAGCTGCCGGTGGATGCCTTCTGGAGTTGTAAATACCCTACCTGAGCTGATGCGATCGGCGTATCCAATTGTTTATCAGACTTTCAGGGGGGCTGAATGGCACTCTACAGGGGCAATGTCTCTGTCTTGAGGGGGAAAAGTTTAAAGGCACCTACAGCGCCTAGCATGTGCTTCAGCTGTTACGGGTCTGCGCGTTGCTGCACCCTCGAAGCACTCCAAGCATTCACAGCCAGTTGCAAATAGCACCTAGCACACATGCAGGAATTGTGTCTTTTTGCATCGAGATCATGTTACTTTGCAGCAAATACGATGTACAAGCGGCTAGACCAGTGATTCAATTCTTTTGCTAGTTTCACATTAAAAGTATTGTGTAATAGAACGTCTTGAAGTTTAGTTTACCCCTCTACAATTATAGCGCCTTTCAGGCTAAAGCAGAGCGTCTACATACCTCGACAAACTGCCGATCCGTGTTTACTGTCATTATTTTCAAATGCTTTAAATTGTTACTGAGTGTAGCTTTTGCTTTACATTTTGTGGTTCGTGTCCCTTTTCTAGTGTACTAAGTAAAATCTTGTATGTTGGGAGTGACTAAGGCGACATATGCCGTGGCAAAAAAGCTTTCCTCAAGTTTCTAGTGCTCCAAATCGGTCGCCGCAGAAGGACCGTTAAAAAGGAGGGGTAAGACGTCCCTCAAAGCGAGGTTGTTCCTTGAAATGATGAATCGGCTCTGCAAGTTGCAGAGAGCATTTTAGCAGCTAGGAACTTCTAGCGAGGAGCTGTTGCTGTACCGTCTGATTCAAAGTAGTTTGTGACATTGATCTATGCCATGCAGGAGAGGTTCTTATTTGAAACAAGTGTTCACTAGCCTTTCTTCACCCCCCACCGTCTTTCCAGATAAGATGTCATGGGCTAAATATGTTGAGGATGCGTCTAGCCATCACAAGGCTATGTGACCAATCGCTCTTTTAGAGGACTAGCAACCAATGCAAGCGTAACCGAAGAGGTAACCAGAAGGCTGTTATGTGGGGTGTCCTCGACACTTAATACCCATTGTCTCGGGGGAGGAAAGGATATTTGGAAGGCCCAAAGGCAGCGATTCGGCCTTATAGATAAAGCCTGAGCAGCTAATAAAAAGGAAGCAGCTTTTACACTCCGACAACCTAAAAGAAGGCGACTATTTTTCAATGTTTCACAAATGGTTTCGGGTGGCCTGGACGTCGGCCGACCGTCCATAACGCAAGATGCAAGGGCCTCTGATGGTGGATTTGACTATACTTTACTGTGTTCTGCCTAAAATTTGGAGACATAGAATTATAAATGGGATTATTCTTTAATTATGAATGTATTCTGGCCCCCACAGTTTTACAGGGACCCTTGGGGAACAGCAGCTGACAGCCAGCGCCGACAGACCGGCGGCCTCTCTCCGCCGCTTTTAGCTGTGCAAAGGGTTTGGAGGCAAGGGGGTCCATGTGTCGCTTCAAGATATAAATTAGTGTCACCACAGTTAAAAATGGTTTGCAGTAGCAGACCTTTCGCATGCAATACCCATTTTTGTCTTTTATTTGCCCATACACCGCAGCACCCCCGCCAGTCTTCGTGCTGTCTGTACAGCCCAGACCACTGTTGCTGCTGTCACACCTTATAGAGGGCCCAGATCAGTATAGTTTTCCTTTCCCTATATCTTGTCTTTTTTCTTTTTAAAATGGGAGACATAGCTCCGGCGCCAGAGCCCCGAACCTTGATAGAAGGTAGCGGCAGTGGTTCTGAGTCTACCCACCAGCAACCGCAAGAAGAATCGGCCTCCACGAGCCAGCCAGCTGTCACTTCCTCTACTTTGCCCCTAAACCCGCGCAAGGCCCTTCCTCTGGCCGTCCTTGGCTCCCCCTCTGGCGAAGAAGGAAACTGCTACTGCAAAATCCTGGTAACAAACCAACTGGCAGGGATAATCATTGGACAGGCAGGCCATGAAATTCGCACCCTGAAGAACATCACTGGCGCTAAAATTGTGAGCGCTTTGCACTTTGGAACCTACTTGTCTTGCCATTAGCACTCTAGGGGACCCTTCCTGCGCTCGCTAAGCTTCTTTTGGCCAGCACTAAGGGCTTTCGTGCAACGGTTTATCCAATCTCCTCTCTGGTTTTCTTTAAGTGCGCATATCCCTCATCACCCATGCTCTTATCCCTCATCACCCGTGCTCTTTAGTATGTGCAGATGACGTGCTGGATCCCGCTTCTCCCCGTTCCGTGATTTTTCTCTAGGCCTGTGTTCAGTTTTATAACTGGTCATGCCTGCCCCATAGTTCACGTGCATAAGACTTGCCACATGGCGGCATCTACGTGTTTCACGTTCCCTAACTGCTGCAAGGAACGCCTTTGTGCAGCTTGATGGGATTTCGTCCATCGAATTACACTATACATGGCTGGGTCGCTCATGGCATCGTGCGTGCGTCCATGTGGGAGTACTCTAGCCACAACTTTTCCCTAAAGGTGTGGATACTGATCGAAGCTGTGTTTCGTAGTTGCACGTAGATAAGAGTGCCTTTGTTTCGGCGAAACGTAACTTCTAACAGCCATAGCGATGGGATCACGCTACGTGGCCGAGTGCCTCTCAACCAACACTTCGTCAGGGGAAGAGCTGGCTGCGTGTTGGAATTTTTTCTTCATGAGCAGGAAGCTCACAATTCCACTTTGAGCCTTTTTCGCCGGCGAACGGCCTTGCGTGCATCGCGCGCTTGCCGCCCTCCTTAGCACTCCCTAGGGTCCCCTCTCCCTCCTCTGCAAACTCCCTCCAACCACCCCACTTTTCGTGTCGAGCGCTTTTTTCTCAGGTTCTTTCACCACACGGCATGTACTTCCCGGGAACGACGGAGCGCATTGCAGCAGTAGAGGGGCCAGAGCAGGCAGTCTTTCACGTCTTAGATTGGATCCTGGAGAAGATGGCTGCAGTGGAAGCCCTCTCTGTTTTCCCCGACACTGCAGCCTCGCAACCCACTGTACCCCCCCCGCTCCCCTACGCACACAATAGCCACCTGCAGCAGCAGCAGCAGCCGCAGCTGCTGCCGCTCTGGGCTCCACGCTCATCCTCAGTGCGCATCTGCGTTCCGCGAGCAGTAGTGGGCTCCCTGATCGGCAAGAACGGCGGCTACATTCAGTCTCTGCGAGTGGCTACGGGGGCGTCCATCAACATTTCTCCCCTCTTCGTAACTGCGGAGGAGGCGTGCGCCGAGAGAATCGTCTCAGTCGAGTCTAGGAGGCGTCCAAGTCTCAAGACAGCAGCCTTCACGCTCATCAGGAAGATCAACGAGCACCCCGAGCGTTCCTCGTGCAGACACGTTTGCTACTTCAGGAAGCATTCCTTTGACTCCCCCCTTGCGGAGCCGCTTGCGGCTTCAGCTGCCGCAGCGGCAAGCGGCGCAGCCAAACCCTTGAGCGACTTCAAGTTCGTGCGCCAGCAGCATCAGCACGACGAACAGCTCCAGCAGCTGCAGCGGCAACTCGAACAACACCAATCAGAAGCCAGCCGCAGAAGAACTGTCTCGCTGGTCATGGGTTCTGCCAGGCCGTCTGCGCTCTTGAACATGAAGGATTTAGTCGTTCTCGACGGCACCAACAACTGCGGCAACAGCTCAGCTCAAAGTAGTAGTGGCATTGGAACGGCTTCAGGAGCGGAAGAGCACTTCGCTTCCGCCTTCAAACGCTTCTGCGAGGCGAGAGCTGCAACAACAAAGCCAGAAGAGGCCTGCGCACCAGCTGTACGGACAGCAGCGAGACTTGTTCAAATGCCGTCGGCGCCTGGTTCAGCTTCCGCACCTGGCCAGAAAGCCTCCACCCATCTCGGCAGCGCACTGCGCACAGTGACTGTTCAAGTGACAGCAGCAACTGCGGAAGCTGCAGAAGCTGCTGCAGCGGCTGCGGGCAAGGGGGGGGGTTCTCCGTGGGATCTTTCAAGGTGCAGCACTGCCATTGGCAGCTCGGACCGGCTTCCCCCCATCACAGAAGACATCAGCACCGGCACCACCCCAGTAACCAATGGAAAGGACCCTACCCAGCATCAGGCAGTGGCGTCGCAGCACGCGCAACAGGATGTGGAGCAGGAGACGCGAAAATTCGAGCAGCACGAATTGGAGAAGGGGTTGCAGCAGGAGCTGCGTGAAGAGCTGCAACAAGAACTGCAGCAAGAGCTCAAGCAGGAACAAAACCTGCATGAAGGTTTAGAAAGGGAACTTCAGGAGCTCCAAAGAAAGCTGCAAAAGAAACTGCAAGAACAACAGGAACTGCTGCAAAAGCAGCGCGAGCTACAGCAGCCGCGACAGCAGCACCACCAGCCCAGCTTTGCCATCCTATTCCTTATCGCAGCACTGCTGGCAGCTATTCTGCGTGTCGTTTTTCGTTCCTGATTGAGCGCGTTGAATACACTGCTATTTTTGGTTGCCGCAGAGCAACAGCAGCAGCGAAAGAGCACATTGCTTTTGCTCAGATCCAGCTGGTTACTAGTTCATCTTCCCCCTCTTCCATATGTTGACGCAACATGACCACGCATACACACACCCAATAGGTAATATCTTTTCTGCCTGCATATCGCATCGTCAGCAGCAGGGGCGGCAGTGGAGGCATCAGCAGGCATATTATGGCTCTTGATGTTGAGGCTGTTCTGCTCTTTTTTCGCAAATTATCGCTGCTGCCTGAAGAAGCCCCTCCGTCAAATAATCTGTTTGTACACGCGCACGCGCACTGCAGCAATCGGTTCTGCTACAGAAGTGTAGGTGCCCTGCTGTCGCTATGTATATGATTTCTTGTGCATACATCTATATAACACGTTGCAGCAATTCAGCATCCTGCTGCAGTGTTCATGCGCCCATCGTCTCCCGCACGGGTGAGGGTCCCGAGGTTTGCATTGCGTTCTCCTTGTCACCCCTGTTTAGTACAATAAACGTCTTAAATATACATGCGAATCAATAGAGAGGCCTTTTTGTTGTGACATAGAGCAGACAGCCCCTGAAGCGGAACTGCGAGACATGCAGCTGGCCTTCTGTAGCGAAAGCAGCGTGGGCTGACTTGGATTTCGTGACATTCATTTGCTAGGCAAGTACGCCGAAAAAGCCAGGGGTGAACAGTGCTAACTTCTGCTTTGCATCGTTTAGCCTTTCAGATGGCCAGTGTTCAGCAAGAAGTCCATCTGGGATGCCACATATACTCGACACGCTGAAGAGTTGGGGGACTGAAGGCGGAAACCCAGCGTAGAAACGCACGAAATGCGCAGCGGAGAGCCACATGTATCTCCGATTTCTTTGGAAATTGTTTTCCTTCATGAACTACTAAGAAAAATGCATTCTTGTAGATGGCAGCGACTGGTGTGGCGGCGTTTGTTCTTAGCGTTGTGCTTTCGTGAGGAAGTAGTTCCTACAGTAAATAGTTTGTGGATACGTAAAAAATCAAGGAGAGGATATTTGGCCAAAAGAAAACAACACGGGAGTGCTTGAAACCGCTTTCTAGGCTAAAGTTGGTAGTGCCCTCAGGGGAAAGCAGTTGGTTCTGGTGACTCCTGTGCTAGTCCTTCAAGCGTGGTGCGTTGATGTTGGCTTCCATTGCCAGTCAGGCAACTGGGGTCCAAGAGTCTGATCGCCCTGCTGTGTGATGAAAGTAGGGGGGCGGAGTTGAATTTCATTACTTTCAATGTTCTCCGCGTTGCTTCGGCCTCCTTCCTCGATTCCGCTCCTAGAAGAAGTATTTAGGATGCAGAAGCACCCCCAACGGTTTACTTCTGCCAACCAGACACACACAGTTTGATATGGCTTGCAGTTCCCTGCTGAGCAAGCGTAGAGCAATGAAGACAGAAAAGGAGAACCACTCAAATGTTCTGTGTGATGAATACCTTCGGCGGTGTCTTTGCTCTATTAGCAGGCTAATCGTTCTAGTGACTTCACGAAGGGAAGTGCATAATTTTTAGTGGCTGGAGATGGCGTCCACACAAGTCGAAATTCCGCCTTAGAGGCAAGCCGTAACATCAAACGGCCGGTAGACAAAAATGCGGAGCTGTATGCCGAGATACAACGGTGCACGCAAGTTTATGGTATTTGTCCACACGTTTCGCAGGTATTAGTTTGTTAACAGGTTTGTAATTGTCTCGTCGAAAACGGAAAAGAGATATCACTACGGAAATCTAGAGGTCTTGCAGTTGAATTTTCCACCGTGTGCTGCTTCGATTCCATCAAAGGCTTATCTATGGCTCGATTATCCATGCTTTGGTGTCTTTATATTCCATTTTGAGACTTTTATTGACTTTCTGCTTTGAATTTGTGTCTGTTCCGTCCCCCAGAACATAAAGAAGTTGCAGACGGATCGAACAGGGCAATTGAGTTTGCAGATAAGTCTCACACGCGGATCTGATTATTCTATGCTCGAGCTTTTTGGAGGGCTCGATTAAATTTAGATAGACATTGTGCTGCGCGATCTGGGCCCGGCTTTTTGCCCAGATTGATCGTAAAGGATAGGTTGCATACAGGGCATAGCTTGCTAGCAGGCACGCAGTAAGGCAGCTGGATTTACAGATCATTCGCAAAAGGACAGCAGTGAAATTTTTCCTTGGACATGCATACCCTATAAGAAAAAGAGCAGGGTGCCAAAAAAGGCAGGTATTGAGGGCAGGGGCAAGAAACAAACACGATATAAGTTAACGGAAATACGGGCTGGGAAAAGCTCCGAAGAAGTCAGAAACTATAGCCGGGAGAGGCGTGCGATGTGTATTGATGAAGTAGGCCCAACCCCAGTACGACATATGAGTAGGCTGTATGGCCTGCCTATGGGGAGTACCCATCACATTGACAATCGCACACAATTACAGCATTTTAAGCGGTATATTCAAAGAGAGGCATGTTATTGGGCGTAAAACCCGCTTTCCTCGAAGGCAATGATAATTCACTTGCTTACTTGCGGCGAACACGAAAAATGAGAGACTGAGAATTCCGTTAGAGTGATATGAGAAGAGACACAATTCTCAACCAGTTCGGGCGGAGGGGGGGGAGGAGGAGGGAAGATAAGTTCCCTTGATCGAATGAGCCTGCTATTTCTTGGCGGAAGTAATTTGGGGTGGGAAGCGTTGACGGGTTAGCACTGGACTGCACAATGAAAAGGACAGTGTCTAGAGGTGAGTTGATGCGGGAGAGGCAGTGGCTCGCAATGCGTATATGAGCCAGCGGGGTTTCGCATTGTAGCACTGATCCATAATTGAGCTTTGAAGGAGCGGAAGCACAGCTAGCCTGCAGCCTATTCATGGATAATTTTTGGAGCTGCCATTCAGCGAGTTGTCGCTCCAGATCGATTTCTCTCGCCGCAGGCCCCTTCTTCATCCTGCTGCGTTGAAGTACCTGAATTCAACATGATTTAGAGTTCATGGTTGGATTTGCAGATAAAAGGTGTTAGGCAGAGACAGATCTATTTTTTCACCGGGCTGGTAGGAAAGGTCTCTGGGTTGCTGGCTTCTGCACATGTCGTGAACTTCCAAAGCCGCAGCAAGCCCAATGTCGATTTACTATTGAGCTACGAACTACGTGGGGCAGTGGCGACTCTATTGCAGCTATGCAGGCGGCTGTTGTGTGGATGCACTGTCACGCAGACGCCAGCAACAATGTGCCATAACATCATAACAACGCTCTAGATTCCCCAGAAGTGCTGTAAGCTTCTTGGGAAAGGGCTGCCTCTCCATTTGGGAAGCCCACAGAGCGCCTCCAGGAATGGAGAGCAAGCGAGGTACACGCCACGTGGCTACCACACAAATCCACCAGCTGCTTGATAAGATGCAAATTCGCCCTCAAGAAGAACCCAAGCAGTTGGCGATTTGTTCCAGCGTGCGCTTCGATGATTTGGTCAATGAAGCAGTCCAAGTGTTTGGAACCTTCACAAATAGTACCTCCATCCCAGTAGTTTCTTGCCTTCGAAAGTCACAAGTAGGCTGCTCAGGAGCACCGCTGTCACAAAGAATCGAACGCGGCAGGGACTATAATAACTGAAGGCAGAGGGCGAAAGGTCTACATTTACGCATCTTTTTATCTCTGCTATTTGACGCATTCAGCCACCGCACTGCGAGTAATTCGGCAAGGAGTGCGCGGTCGTAAGAACTGCAACTTCGATCCGTTTCAGCATGGCTGAAGCTGTGGATTCTCGTAGGTTATTTTGCTCTCAGCGGGATGCGAAACACGAACAAACGACCAAACTCTTGCAGTGATGTCAGTCTTGGCAAACGGAGAGCTTGCCCGTGTAAAGAGGTGATTGTGGCAAAGAGAAAAGCAGCTCTGTCAGGTTTACACCAGTCAGATCCATTCAGCCCATTTCTTGCCTTGCAGGAGCTTGGCATCCCCGCATCAGGTGCTCGCCCTTTGAGTGCCCTCAGCCCTTGAGACACAATCACACGAGACTCAGAGATCTCAGACATTCCGCAGCGCTCTTGCACTGACGCCTTGCATGCAGCTTGTTAAGCACTGAGGGATCGTAGATCGCTTGCCTCCGTTCCTTCGAGGGTCTGCTACAATGGCTTGCTGAACAAGGAAGCGTGCACAGCTACACTAGACCACAAGATGCCGACAAATTAAGTTTTCGCCGTGAGCAGCGTTGGTCACTGGAGACGTGCACGTGGAAGTCTTGCAGACATCTTGCGGATGCATGCACTGATTCCTAGTGGCTGCTCAGACGGATCCCCAAGAGGTAAAAAGAGCGCCCTTGCCTTTTAAAAATGCAAGCACTAGCAAAGCAGCTGCGTGTTTTCTGTGCAAATTAAGACTATGACGGCCATGCTGCGCCATCGACTGACGGTTCGAAGCACAAAGCTGGAAGTATCACGGCGTCTATCCCTTCAGGTCTGAGGATTCCCTCCAGCAGAGCCTCCGCTGCAACCCCCATGTGTAGAAAAACGGAGCACCCGTACGCACAGACGCGAGGCGACATCTGCGAACGGTGAAGCAGAGGACGAATGCCTCCCGAAGGCGTTTGTGGAAAGCCGAGATGGCAGTGCTACTGCAGATCCCCAGGTAAGGCTTTGGAGTTTCTCAGCGGCACACTACTCAGCCGTTTCGGGGGTGTTTGCGGGGGGCAGACAGCGTCGGCGCGCGTGGCTTCGCTGGTGACTAAGCTACGAGACTCTTCTTCTTATGCGAGGGCGCCTTCACGTGGCAAGGATCCCCTAGGGGTCCATGTCTTGGCGTGTTTTCTCGGAAAGCGACCTCAAGAGTTTGTTTTTCTTGCGCCCAGGTGAGGATAAGAGGCCTCCTCTTGCCTGGTCTGCCCGTGTCTCCCCGTTTCGAGAAGCAGCAGAGCTGCCTCCTGCTTCGGCGTCGAGCAACTACCGGCCTGCTCGGGGAGATCTTCCGAAGCGTTCGCGCCAACTGGGGGGGGGGGCCCCCCAGGGGACTGTGGGGGGCCCCCCAGGGGACTGTTCAAATCGCTAAAAGAACCCTCACCATCCGAATCCTCAGGGGCCTCGCTGGGCCTCCTGAGGGTCTCGAGAGCCGCAGACACGTGGGGGTCTAGGGCTGTAGTGGGAGGGGCCCCCAAAGGGGCCCCCAGAGGGGCCCTCGAGGGGGCCCCCGCCGGGGCCCTCGAGGGGGCCCCCGCCGGGGCCCTCGGAGGGGCCCCCTTCACCATGAAATAGGCGGCCAAGGCACTCCGCAGCAGCAGCCCAGAGCCTGCCGAACTCAGCGAGGCAGCTCGGGGGGCCCCTAGTCTGACGAAGTCGTCGGCAAGGGGGACAGAGGGCCCCTCGACGGCGGGGAGTTCGAACACCCAGCGAGCAGAGAGGGGCCCCTGAGGGGGCCCCTGAGGGGGCCCCCATCGAGCTCCTGAGGAGCCACTTTCTCCGCCCCCCACGCGTCTCGGAGGAGGCAGGAGCTCAAAGTCTGTGGTGTGCCGCTCTCCTGCAGCACCAGCAGCACTCAAAGACGCGCATTGCGAAGCCTCGAACGGAGTTTCGCCCCCGCAGAGGCTGGAAGGCACACGCAGAATGCCGGTAATCGCAAAAAGATCCCCAGCCAGCCACTGCAGCGGCAACACTTGAGAAGGGCACTTCCAACCCCCCCTCCCTCCGCCCCTCCTCAAGAAGGCGCTCAGAAGATTCTTCTTCGACGCACCACCATATCGCCTGCGAAAAAGCTCCTGAATCAGCTTATGCACTTCCGCGATATCCGCGTTCCAAGACACTACAGCCTAACTCGAAAAGATCGACAATTCCCGTCAGACTGCAGTCAGGAGGAGGAGGCACCCCAAGACGTGTCTTCGCTAAGGGAGACACCCCAAGAGGGGCGCTTTCGCTACTCGCATTTCGGAAGGCGCAGAGCGCCAAAAAGCCTCAACCATGCACAAAAAGGGAGCCTTCTACTGCTCTCGGTGAACTGCGCTACGCTCCGCACTGAGGACGCTCCTGGAAGTCTCCCCTCCCAGCCTTCCCGCGCGAACTCACCTCAGCAGCCACTTCCAGCGCAAACTCCGGAGAGCCTCCGTGCTGACGCAACGGACTCCTCACGGAGCCTCTCCCAATCTCCGACGAGCCAGGAGGCTGCGAGCGAAGAGGAGAGCCGTCGATTTGCGTGCTGGGTGCGCGAACGAAGCCAGCAGCTCCACGACTCGACAGAGACTGCAGGAGACTCCTTTCCTCCCCAGCCGCCCCCCCCCCGTGTCTGCAGCACGCCACCGAACGAGACAAGGCTTTCGCTGCGCACCGTGAGCAGCCAACTCCCACAACGACGCGGCAGCGCTCAACAACAACTGCCTGGGATCGCTGCGGCGCTCTCGAAGAACAAGCAGTGCAGAAGCAGCTCCCATCCCAAGAAACTCACGCAAACGCCTCTTGACTGGCTGAGAGCAGGAGCTGCCCGGCAGCAGTTTGAGACTGCCTCAGTGTCGAAATCGGAGAGCCTTGCGAACTCCTGAGAGAAAGAGGCTGACTAAGAGACACCTGCGACGCTTTGCGCCGGAGAAGGGAGAGAGGACTGCGAGGCGCCTCTGCACGACAGCACCAGCAACGACGACCACAATAACGAGACTCGCTTTCCACTGCGAAACACGCCCTCCTCAAAATGATAAAAAACACCAAAGCCTCACAAGCTACCACTCTCCAGACAGGCAACACGGCGTTGTGCGTATGCATGCATGTATATATGTATGTGTGTGTATATGTATGGGTGTGTGTGTATGTATGTATGTATATATGTATGTGTGTGTATATGTATGTATGTATGGGTGTATGTATGGGTGTGTGTGTGTGTATGTATGGGTGTGTGTGTGTGTATGGGTGTGTGTGTGTATGGGTGTGTGTGTGTGTATGTATGTGCATGTATGGGTGCGTGTGTGTGTATACGTATGTGTGTGTATATGTATGTGTATGTATGTATGTATGTATGTATATGTATGTGCATGTATGGGTGCGTGTGTGTGTATGTATGGGTGTATGTGTGTATGTATATATACATGTATGAATGTATGGACGTATATAGATATATAAATATACATGTATGTATGAATGTATATATGTATGTATGCATGCATGCATATATATGTATATATTTATATATCTATATACGCGTGTATGGCGTAGGATTCTGGATTGCTAGCCTATCGGATGCAGGCTGGAGTCTCTGAATTTTGGAAGGAGAAGCAGCTGATAAGCTGAGATTCGAGGCTTCAGGAGTGTTTGCAGCAAGGAAGCAAAGCCTACCTCCCCCACGAGGATCCGTGAGTGTTTTCAGAAGAGGACTGGTAGGAGCCTGCAGACGTAGCAAAACACACGACGCCTTGGAGGGCAGTGACAGCGTCTTTTTCGCATCAGTTCTCGATCCTGGTGAGCATCACCACACAAGCAAATGTGCGCCTCTATTCATGCGAAGCAGCTGCGCAAAACGTAGATCAAGAAAGCTGCTTTCTGGAGGGCGGTACCTCAGCAGAGCCGCAGCGACAGCAGAAAGCAGAGGCAGAGCCGCAGCGAAAGCAGAGGCAGAGCCGCAGCGACAACAGAAAGCAGAGGCAGAGCCGCAGCGACAGCAGAAAGCAGAGGCAGAGCCGCAGCGACGGCAGAAAGCAGAGGCAGAGCCGCAGCGACAACAGAAAGCAGAGGCAGAGCCGCAGCTGTGTGTGTAAAACATGCCATCGTTTCAGGAGATTTATGAGTCTTCTGACACTCTCGAACCTCAATGAGCTGCAGCAAAACGAACTTCCCCTCGAATTGCGAAGAAATTCTTTCTTCCGCATTCGCCTCGGTGCTGCTGCCGTTGGGGTGTAACTCCTGAAGGTCGGTGGAGGAGACTGCCCGACTGCGCTCCTGTGACGTGTGGATGTCATACCAAATCTCCTTCTCTGCATCTTCTTGCAAGTGCTCCTCCTGCTGCTGTCTTTCTTGCTGCTGCTGTCTTTCTTGCTGCTGTCTTTCTTGCTCCTCCTCTTTCGATTTCTGTGTCTCTTTCTCCTGCTTTTGATGCTGCTGCTCCCCTGCGTTGTTGCGCACGAAGGGCCTGATGAAGGAGCGCAGCAGAGACACCACAGCGCCTCCAGTCTGATTCTGGAGCTGCTGATGCTGCAACTCCTGATTCGGTTCGTCTTCTTCGTGCTGCATCGGATGTTTTTCTTGCTGCTGCGGCGGAAGGGGCATGCACCAGCCCTCGTCTGGCTCTGCTGCTGCTGCTGCTGCTGCTGCTGCTGCTGCTGCACTGGCAGTTTCAGACGCTCTTTCCGCATCTTCGCCAGACTGCACGACTCCCTGAGAACTGCGTAAACCATCCTGCCATTGGCTTTTCACCTTCGCTCTGACGCTTTCTGGTGCAGAAGCAGCTGCAGCATCCTCGCGAACCTCGCAGCAGCCGTGTTGGTGGGCTCCTCGTTGTGATTCCTGCTCCTGCTGCTGCTCCTGCTGCACTTGTCGGTGCCGTTGCAGCGATGGCTGATGCTGAATTTGCTGCTGCGCTATGGGCGATGTCTCTGCCAGCTGCAACAGAGAGGCAGGCTTGCGTCGAGGCACCAAACCCTCCCTAATAGGAGACTCTGGAGGCGTAAGAAGCGCGATGAGCCCTCCCCTCACAAAGACTCCTGAGCCGCAGCTTGCACTGCCACAGCTGCTGCTGCTGCTGCTGCTGCAGCTGTTGCTAGTGGCTGCAGCAGCAGCAGGAGCAGCAACTGCAGCAGCAGGCTTTGGAAGAGACCTCTGCTGGTGCAGCCTCTTGATGCCATCGGAGACATGGCGAGACAATAGGGGGCTTAGTGACGCCTTCGCCCTAGAGGCGCTTTGGGAGCTTTTGCGACGGAGGGGTGTGGGAGCATCTTCATCATATTCCGAGTCGCTGCTGCCGCTGCTGCTGCTGCTGCTGCTGCTGCGTTTGCTGCTTGCGCTGCTAGGCTCGTTGCTGGTGATGACGCTGCCGTCGCAGTCTTCCCTTGCCACTCCCCTACGAACAGGCATGCGGGTACAGCCTCTTCCCAGAGCAGTCTTAGTCTGCTTCCCTTGAGCTGCTTGTGCTGCTGCTGCTTGTGCTGCTGCTGCTTGTGCTGCTTGTGCTGCTGCTGCTGCACTGGCAGCCTTGCTGCTCTGGGGAGTCTTCCTGCGCCGGCTGCTGGGATTCCTTTCCGCCGCTGAGGGGCGCCCAGGGGACGGCAGGGGGGCCCCCATGGGGCCCCTCTGCTGTTTAGCTTTTCGTTTTGTAATGCCGGATCGCTGAGAGACAGGAGTCTGTTTGGAGGGGTTCTCCTGCGAGATGCTTTCGCCTTCTCCTGCTGCCGCCTTAGACTGCGTGGGAGTGAAGGAGGCTTTGCGCAAACGGCTTGAGCTCCTGCGTCTTGAAGGCTCGCTCGGAGAGGCTGTTGGGGGAACGGAGGCTAAGGATCGCGGCATTTTCTGCTTCTGCAGCTGCTGGTTTTCGGATTCCTTTTCGGCGGCTTCGTGGGGAAGGTCGGCGCACGTGCTGGTGGTTGCTGCGAGGCTGCTGCTGCTGCTGGCTCTGCTGTTGCTGCGGCTGTTGCATTCTGTTCGTGCAGCGGCAGCAAGCGGCTTGAGCAGAGCGCCTGCTTTGCGCCGTCTAGACGTTTCCTCGAGGGAAAATTCCTTGTTGGTGCCTGCATCAAGCGGCTGAGATCCCCCAGGAGCATTCCTCCCCTTGGCAAGCTGGCGTTTGATGGTGGTGCAGTTGCAGCTGCGCTTGCTCGTTCTGCAAGGCGCAGCCGTTTCCTTGCCATCTGCAGCAGAAAGCGTCTCCCCGAACAGGGGTGAGACAGGGGCCCCCCTCTCTGACATCTGCAGCCGCTGCTCAGGCGTAGCAGTGTCTGCGTGTGCTATATACGTATATCTCTGCTTCTGCACTCCCCACGCCTACTGGCTTTAAGTCAGAACAGATAGGGTTGCTCCGCCTTCCAGCTGAAACGATGCTGCGCGCAGCTGTATGAGGGAAGCAGCCGCTGCCGAGACGCAGCAGCTCCCGCCTCGCTTGTGCTACAAGAGGTGGCATGCAGCGACTGCCCTTGCTGTTGCTCTGCTGCTGCTGCTGCTCTTTGAGACGGGAAAAAAAGAAGCGTATTTGAGCAGGCAGGACTGTCTTTCCGGAATTAGGCTACGGGGTCTAGGGAACACCATGTCTGGGGGAGTGGGGTTGGTGGTGCTCCACCCGGGAGGTCTCGCCTGCACACGAGACTACACGAACAGCGAGACAGCCTGAGAAATAAAGGCTTAAGGCTTCAGCAAAAGGAGATAGTGTGGTTTGGAGTCGAGGCTGAAGGCTGTGCTCGTCAGATCGCAGCTGTTCAAACGACTTGCATCGCTCACCTGAACAGAGGCAGCGGCATGCGCTGCAACGGCAATCCAGGCCCATAATGTTCGCTGCCAGAGTGCATGCAGCGGAGCACTGAAAAGCATGTAGCTTCCGAATTACTTCCTTGGATTTAGAGGAGCTCCGCTTTCCTTTGTTTTGGCAAGTGCTTATGCTGAACCTCAGGGCTTTCGACGCGCCGTATGCTCATGCAGGTGTAGCGACAGCAGACGAACGGTATCCCTGGCAGGGCGAGCCTCCCGGATGAAAAGGCCTTCCCAGCGCGGAAATCCCCTGATTTCGCGCTTATTTGTTCTTTGGAGCAGCAAGCACCAGGGGTGGTGATCTCATGAATGGCGGGAAGAATAGCGGCTTCATGAGTGCGAGCCGGAGAGGCCCTCAGTAGCAACAGCCCATGCGTGCATGCGTGCTTTCCGCGTGTGCCTTCTGAAGTTTCTTTCCAGGAATTGGGGGCTGCAGACGGAGCCTCTCGAAGAGAGCTGAGCCGAGAAGAAGCAGGGGAGCAGACGAAGCGGCGCACCGCCAGCGGGGAGGATGTCGGAAGTGTATGCGAACGAGCCGGCTACGTCGGGAAAGGTGGTGCTCCACACCACCATGGGGCCCCTCGACGTCGAGCTGTGGGCTCGGGAGGCCCCTCGAACGACTCGCAGCTTTGTTCAGCTGTGCATGGAGGGGTACTACGACAACTCCATCTTCCACAGGCTGCTCCCAGGGTTCATTATTCAAGGAGGAGATCCGACAGGCACTGGCAAGGGCGGAGCGAGCATCTACGACGCCGCAGGCGACGCTCGAGAGGCGCCGTCGAGCGTCGCGCGAAGAGAGAGCTCCCTAACTCTCGAGTTGAACTCGCGGCTCCGCTTTCGCTACCGAGGTCTAATGGGAGCAGCCAGCAAGGAAGTCGATGGCAGCCCTCCGGGAGCCGCTCCGCACATAGGCAGTCAGTTCTTTTTCACGCTTGGCAGAGCAGACAGTCTGAACGGCAAGTACACGTTGTTTGGCAAGGTGAGCGGTCCTTCTCTGTTCAACCTGCTGCGCATGGGAGAGCTGCCCGTCGACAAACACGACCGACCCAAGGATCCCCCCAAGATCGTTAGCACCGAAGTACTCTGGAACCCCTTCGGCGACATCGTTCCGCGCAGTCTTCCGCTGACAGCGCAGCAGCAGCGGCAAGACGCGCAGCAGCAGCATGCAGCGGAGGAGCAGCAGCAGCGGGAGCTCAGACCCCAGCTCGCAGTCGCGAACGCGAGTCTTCTTTCTTTCGCAGACGAGGAAGAAGCCTTGTTGGAGCAGCAGCAGCAGCAGCAGCAGCGCGAGAAACAAATTCTGTCTGATCAGCAGCAGCAGCAGAAGAAACAAATTCTGTCTGATCAGCAGCAGCGGAAGCCACCCCTCAGTGCGCATGATCTCCTGACGGACCCCAAGCTTTCCAAGGCAGCAGCACCCCCTAGCGCTGTGTTGCAGCTGCATCCGAATTCAGCGGTCGAAGCACTCAAGTCTCGCATTGCCGCTCTAGCCACCAGCAAGAGCAGTGCAGTCGGCGCTGCTGAAGCCGCTGAAGTGAACAGCGATAGCAGCAGCAGGAGTCGTAGTAGTAGGAGTCGTAGTAGGAGTCGCAGTAGGAGTCGCAGTAGGAGTCGCGGAAGCAGTTCCCAGGATTTGAAGGGCCCCTCCAGGGGGGCCCCTCCCGCCCCGAGCCGCAAGGATTTTGCTGCTGCTGCTGCTGCGCTACCAGATGCAGATCTGCTGTCGCCGGCTGAGCAGCGTCGACGGCTGCTGCTGCTCCAGCGGAAGGCGCAAACCTCCAAGCAGAGGCAAGCGGAGACACTGGAGAAGTTGAAGGCTTTTCGAGAGCAGGTAGGAGGCAGACGGCCCTTTCTCGAAGCATCGTTTTCCTGAGAAGAAAGTGCCAGAGTAGACATCCCCCCCCCACACTGCACATCAGTCATTCCTGGGGATGTATGTGGCTGTTGGTGTCGTTCATCGTCAGCTTCAAACGCTGCAGAAGAGCAACAGCAGCGCCGGCAGCGGCAGTTCCAGAAGTCGCAGCAGCAGCAGCAGCAGCACAAAGCGTGATGAGGCGATTGAGGCAGCAAAAGCTACAGCAGCGCGTGTAGCTGAACCCGTTACGCTGGGGGCCCCATACGGAGGGGCCCCCAACGCAACGGCGCCTAAGGAGGAAGATGAAGGTGGATCTCCATGGTTCATGACGGGTGGGCTGTCGTTCGCCGTCGACAGCAGCACGGCGTACAAGCTAGATGAAGCGCGCAACAACCTCGAGGTAAGAGATCCTCTGAAAAATCGAAGGTTTGAAGAAGACACGAAGGCGCAGCTCAGAAAGAAGTCAAGTGTGTATGAGGGAGGTCCTCGACAACTCGCGAGGTGGTAGGAGGCGGCTGCCTTCTGCAGCTTTAAAATCCTGGCTGGCACGCCATCGGAAGCGGCGGCGGCGGCTGCCTTCTGCAGCTTTAAAATCCTGGCTGGCACGCCATCGGAAGCGGCGGCGGCGGCAGCGTTACGTGCACCCGACACTCGGAAGGTCGCTCGCGCCGTTGTTGGAGCCAACGGCGAAGTGTAGCTACAGCAGCGGCAACAGCAGCGAAAGCGCAGCAGCTCCAGGCAAATAGGCAGATATCAATTCCGTGAAGGGCAGTCACGGATGATGTAGGGGTGCTTGGCGAGGAAGTAGCTCTGCCGGCACCAGTTGCCACTGCCTTCGTGCAATTTGAACTGCCTAGACGCCTGCTTGGCTCGCAAACAGAAATGCAACCAGCGAACGGGAAACGAGCCACCTTCCTAGCTTTTAGAAGAGGGATTTAGCATCCTCTTAGGGTTGAGACAATATATTGTATTTATATATGTATAGACTACTGATCTCGTCACGAACTCTTCTTATGGGCTTCACAGTCCAGTTACGGTGTACATACACCGCGGCAGCACTGGCTGCTGCTTCGGCTGTAGCACCTGTTGCCGTGCTGCCGCAGTGCGTAGGTGCAGCAGCAGCAGGCAGCAGCTACGCATGATAACACTGTTTCAAAAGGCGGCAGCAACAGCATTAATTCTACAGCAACGACAGCAAGAGCGTTGCAGCACCTGCAGCGGCACCAAGCTCGCAGATTGATTTCAAGCTTCCGTGGCTTTGATGGCGGATGGATCTCCTGCCTGCTGCTCGCTTTCCAGCTGCTGCTGGCTAGCCTCGTGCTGCTGCGCTGAAGGAACCTGCACGGCTCCCCTTTGCGCTTGCTCCTGAGACTGCTGCTCCTCCCGATTCTGCACTCGACGTTGCTGCTCTTGCTGTTGCTCCTGAGACTGCTGCTCCTCCCGATTCTGCACTCGACGTTGCTGCTCTTGCTGCTGCCGTTGCTGCTCTTGCTGCTGCCGTTGCTGCTCGTTTTGAAGGCTCTGCTGGGTATCCGCGTGCTGCAGTAGCAGTAGTTGCTGCTGCAGCAGTTGCTGCTGCAGCAGCTGCTGCTGCAGCAGCTGCTGTTGCAGCTGCTCTGTAAGTTGCTGCTGACCATCCTCAAGAGGCAGCAGCTGGAGTGCCGAGTCGCTAGCTGCTGGCTGTAGAAGCAACCCAGTGTCATGGAGCGGCAATCCTAGGCATTGCAGCTGCTGCTGGTTCGCTGTTTCCGTTGCAGCTCCCTTCTGAGCAGTCTCTCCCCCCTGCAGGTCGGTCTGCGGCTGCTGTCGTGCGCAGGATGCGAGCAGCAACTCGTGCTGAAGCAGCAGCCGCTGCTGCTGCCGCAGCAAAGCCTCGCTGCTGGTGGTGTCTTCTGCCGCCGGATCGCTGCTGCTGCAGCAGCTGCTCTCCAGCAAGTGCTGCGCGCCTAGGAGCAGTGGCGGGGTTGATGGAATCGCAGAAGCGGCGCTCATGGCAGCCGATGCAGCCATGGCGGTTTCGAGAGCCTTCTGCTGCTTCTGCTGAAGATCTGCTTCTCGCTTCAGCTGCAGCAGCAGCTGTTGATGCATGGCGACATCGGGAGTCAGCGTCAACTTGGGGTCGAAGTTCAGCAGCGAAAGGGCACTTCCGCCGTGGGTTGCATCTCCCAAGACGTTCGGCTGCTGCTGCTGCTGCTGCAAACAAAACTCCTCTGCTCTACGCTGTGCGTCAAGGTGACCATACTTCCTCACACTGAACCTCCTGACTACCTGCAAGCGAAAAATCTCGAAAAAACATCGTGAGACGATGCGCCTTCGCTCGCGCTCCTACCGACGCAGAAAACGCAACAACTGGCCTTTAGAGCTCCGGCGACATCGCTTTCTTGAAACGGCTTTTGCAGCAGAAAACACACACATGCACACACACGCACCTGTTTGCCAGTTGCTTTGTCAGTCACAACGCCTCGCCAGCAGCCACGTGTGGACTCAAAAACTACTCCTTTGACGCTACTTTGCATGCGCCCATGCTGTTGCTGCTGCTGCAGTGTCTGATGCTTCCCCATCGATGCTGAGGCTGAGGAAGCAGCAGCTCCCGCATCCTCCTCTGCAAGTATCAAACCGCCTCGTTGGTTGTGTTGCTGCTGCTGCTGCTCCTGAAGCTGAGCTGCCAACCCTCCATCTGCAGTTGCAGCTGCAGCTGCAGCAATCGCCAGAATAACACACACAAGAAAGGCAGCTCAGAAGGATCTGCCCGCCATACCCTTCATTCACCCCACACCTTCCTTCTGCCACAGGAGCATATATCTATACATATATATACATACATATATATACATATATATATACATATATACACATATATATACATATATACATATATATACATATATATATACATATATACACATATATATACATATATATGTAGCTACAACAGAGGGCACCTTCTTTTTGAACACCACGCCATTCTACGGATGCAGGTTTTAAAAAACTCTCAATTACCGTTCTTAAGCTCCTTCGCTATAGACTCAGCAAGCGCCTTCGCCTGCTGAAAGCCAAACTTGTTGACTGAGAAGCAGCGCGAATACTCCCTGCCTAAGCGCAAGGGTACAAGTCTCGCCAGACAGACACACACGCAGCTCTCCTCTTCCATCGCAGATCGCAGATCAAAAAAGCAGCAGCAAACAGCAGCAAACGCAGCCACAACAAACAGCCTCGTCCGCCCAAACGACGCTCACCCGTCTCCGTATCTTTCCATCGGAAACGCCAGCCACAATGGGGGGTAGAGCGAAAAGACACCCCGTGAATGTCGCTGAAGTATTTGACCTCATCCCCCGCTGCTGCTGCTGCTGCTGCTGCTGCTGCTGCTGCTGCAGCAGCATCGCCGCTCCACTGCGACACAGAGCCAGCGCTGCCTTGCTCCTGCAGCAGAGCGGCTGCCGCTGCCGTTGCTGCTGCTCTCTCCTCCAACCACAAAGCGGCAGCTGAAGAGCACCCCACAGCGTCGCGTGAGCCTTCCCCCCCGTCGCTGCAGCTGCCTTCGTGATGCTGCTGCTGCTGCGGAGACAGCACCTGAGGCTGGCTGTCTGCTGTCGCTTGCGCTGCCGATGCTGCCGCTGCGCCCACTGTACAGACACTGCTGTTGCTCATGCTCGTGCTGCACGGCTGCCCTCTCTGCCGCTTTGCCGCCTTCCCCTTCACGGCTCGCCTGCCTCCACTGCCTCGCTTGCCTCCTCCTGCTGCTGCTGCTGCTGGAGCAGCGAACGACAAACTGCTGCGTCTGCAGTGGCGCACTGCAGCAGCAAGCTCTGCGACAGCGTCTGCTGCAACCCCTGCATGCTTCGCTGCCAAGTCTGCCGAAGCAGCGGCTTGTCGCGCAGACGATGCTGCGGCTTGCGTCGCTTGCACCAAATTCAGAGACTCCTGCTGCAAAAGAAGTCGCAGATCCGTTCGCAAGAAGTGAGAGCTAATGAGACCTCCTCCCACTCCCGCTGCTGCCGTCTCCCCTAGAGACACCCCCCCTGCTGCGACTTCCTGCTGCAACAAACCTCCCCCATCATCTTCTGCTGCTGCTGCTGCTGATGATGATGATGCTGCTGCTGCTGCTGCTGCTTCTGCTGATGCTGCTGATGCTGCAGACAGAAAAGGGGGAAGCTGCTGCTGCTGCTGCTGCTGCTGCTGCTGCTGCTGCTGCTGCTGTTGTTGTTGTTGTAGTTGTTCGTTCGCTGCTGCTCCAGAAGAGGCCTTTGCCACTGCTGCAGCCAATGCCACATCCTGCAAGGCTGCTGCTGACGCTGTTGCTGCTAGAGGAGGAGGTGAGTCTCCCTCTGCCTTGATGGAGGCTGCATCTGCCGCTGCAGTGGACGGTGTATGGACTGTCGCGGCTGGATCTGCTGGTGCCAAGCGTTCTGCTGCTTTGGCTTGAGCAGCCTGCGCAGTAGCGAGCGGGGACGGCTTCTCTACCGCTGCGGCTGGAGACAGTGTCGCCTCTTGCTGAGTGGCATTGCTGTCGTTGCTGCGCGGCTTTGCGTCAGCCAGTGTATGGGGTGCAGCTTCTGATGAGGCTACGACGTTTGGAGCATCCGCAGAAGCAGCTCCAGCGTTTCTCAGCGCAGCAGGCAGGCGTGTGCTTGGAGCAGCACTCTCGGCGAGAGCCTTTCCGCTGCGACTGCTGCCGCTTTCTGCGGCAACACACGAGCAGCAAGACGTTGGGGTACAACTTGCAGTGGTAGTCTGATCGCCATCCACAGCGGCGGCTGAGGCTGAAGGGAGCCAAGGAGCATCTGCCGAGGCGGAAAGAGCAGCGCCTTCTGCTCCGCTTGAATCCGCTGCCTGCGCTGCCGCTGCGCTTCCACTCCCCATCTGGATCCGGCGATCTGGCTGCTGCAGCCGCAGCTGCTGCCGAAGCAGAGTATCCACTTGAGACATCTCCCCAAGCCACGAAAACTCGGCACTGGCTGCTCGTCGAACTGCAGCTTTCGAGACGGAGCCTCTAGGTACGCTTTCTGAATATCCCCGTGTCAGCGTTCCGCCATCATCTCTCCGCACGAGGGGTTTTGAACTGCAGCGAACTGCTTCCGCAGCGACTGCGGCAAGCCGACGGAAAAGACTCCGTCGCGGTGCACTCCTAAGGCGCGTCTCTGTTGATCTGAACGGCGAGAGACTGCAGCTGCAAACTCGCAGTACGCCGGAGCGGCTGCAGTTCTTATCAGCTCGCAGCGCGCAGCAGCTGCAGGGGCCCTCTTCCGGCTGGTCGGCAACTTGAACGGAGGTGGCAGCGCGGCTCGAAGGAGGAAGCGAGTTGCAGTGGCTCGAGTATTGCCGGAAGAAAATGAATGCCGACGGCGTTGAAGGGGTTCTGGCGATCTGGCTGTTCGCTGCAGCCGCGCGTGCTGCTGCGCGTAACACGAAGGGCCGGAAGAAGGTGGTGGCACTCCGCCAGAGACTTCGTGCCGCGCAGCAGCCTCTGTACCTCGCGCAGAGGTTGGTAAGTTGGAGAAATGCAGACAGAAAGAGGGAGCAAAACACCAGAAACAAAGCCCGTTGCACGAAGGGGCCCTTTCCCCACGACGCTGCCTCCTTCAGTTGCTGCTGCGCCTGTGCTGCAGCGGAGTGGGGGGGGGCCCTTGCTGCTGCGCACAACCTCTTTCGCGGCGATGGATACAGTGCAGCGCCGCGTTCCGTTTGAATAATCGGTGCGCTGAAAGCGAGATTCACAATGAATTTATTTTTGATATTCCTTCTTCTGCGGCTGAATTCCAGGGTAATTTTCATGCGCCGCGACTCGGAGTCTAACCCTCGCACGAGCCCCCATACTGCGACTTGAACTACTCCACCGCCTAGGCACTGCTTCTTTGCACCAAAGGGCACTTCCAGTAGAAAAGCAAACTTGTTCATGAAGCAGAAACGACGAACAAGCGCACCGCTCTTACAGGGGCCCCAGTGTTGCTTGTAGCTCCCCTGGTTGTAGTGCTCTTACTGCCGGAGCAGGCTGCACTGCCCTGTGAAGCAGCGCGTAGACTCGTGCTTCTGTGAGTACCGACACTTCTACTTCCTTCTTTTTGATAATGGCGATGATGGGGGCTCTGATGGTAGTGCGATTTCCCACCATTTACGCGTGTTCCTTTCGACAGTGCAGTTGCTGCTTTGGATAACGCCGGCGTTGCTTTTTATTTTCGTGCTGGGTTTTTCTGTCAATGTTGCCGCACACGCGTTGCTACTCAGGATTCATTAGCTTTGGCAGTAATACAAGCACCCAAGTCTTGCTGCGGCGTCTAATTTACGGTGGCAGTGGTAGCAAGGAACGCGGCACTTGAGCCGCCAAGTTCTTCTTCTACCCCAGAAGTGCTTACCACGAGTCTAAGCCAAAACGATTTGACTCTCCCCACATCTGATTCATTGCAGGTCGTGTGCTTCAGATGAAACGTGCAACTAGCTATGCAAGATTGAACTGCTCAAAGGGCTCAGGTGTACGTACCCTCTAGCCCTCCCTCTTCCCTCATGTGGCGAGAATACCCAGGGGCACGAGCAACGGGAGGAGCAAGCCAATTTAGAAACCATTCAATAGTTTATTAATAATGCATGGACTCCAGAATTAAGGGGCTACCTAGGGATAGAGCGTTGCATTTTGTAGCATCGCCGGTTTGATGCATCGGCTTCCTTCTCATCAACCTGCAATGCAAGGGGCGGGATGTCAAGTTCTTTAGAGGGTTCCCCGATGTCCATCAAGCTATATGATAGTTCAATAATTTGACATTTCTCTGCAAAATTCAGGGGAGAACAGCCTTGTTGGCGACAACAGTAGCGCATAGCTTGTTGATACTACCAAAGCCAAACTGTTGGCTGATACCCCGTATTTCTCGGGTATCCACAGAACGAGACTTAACTCCAGAGGCAACACAAGCCTAATAGAGAATTTTTAGTGCACTTTAAGAGGGCTCCAAGCTCCCTGCATCTCCTCCTCGCAGCCCTTGGTATCTCCTTCGTGAAGGGTCGCGGACTGCTACGGTGTGCGTACCTGTACCTTCAAAATTCAAGCTTGCACAGCTGGTTGCGCATACAATCTAATGCACGTGCACAACTCGTTGCGTCTTTTTGTATTGATTTAACACTGATATTCAAAAACAAGATATGCAAACAGACGAACCAAATGGCCAGCTCTCTGCTGATAATTCACTGATACTGCCAGTTTCGTAAAAAATGTCGACGTGTAACCTACTTCATTACATTTCCAGCATCATGCCTGCAACTTAGTTTGAAGCCATACACCCTGTTGTCGTGTACCTGGACGTGATGATCAATTGCATGGAGGGTAGTGAAAGAGTCTTCGTCGTAGGGCCCTTTCTCAGGCAGACAGAAACCTTGAGACGCTGCAAATGAGGAGCGCAGATAGCACATCAGGGGGTAGCATGAGAACTCCGGAAAGCAAGAGGCCTGATCTAGTCAACAGCATATGAGAGACTAAACCTAGAGGAATGCTACGTTGCAATGGTGCGCTATCGTTCGACCGCTGAAATTTTTGTGCTGCTGTGAAACGACAGAAGGCAAGTACAATGCATAAAGGGGCTCAAAAAGGGAATTTAATTCAACAGTGCCTTCGCGTTTCGTAAAGCCATTTCTGCGTGAAAATACAGGGAGTGCACGTAGCGTGGTCAAGGAGGCATGAAGTTAAATGTATAGATAGGATATTTGCGAGGGACGCCGCATATATCTGCAGCTATTGATTACCCTAAGAATAAGAGCCAGAAACATCCTAAAAGACGACCCTTAGACGACGACAGCTATTTCAGAGAGAGGGTGCGTGGGGAAGAACAATTGCCTAGGAGCGCGAGGACGACTCTCCATGGTGACAAGTGTTGTTGCTGAACTCAAAGCCTCAAATTTCCCCAAGGCAAAGAGGTTCGTAACTCCAAAGTCAACCAATGAGGTTGGCGCTCTCCAGCTAATTCTACCAAAAGCTTACGTCTAGTGCGTCCTCGGCGATGAAGCATCCTAGAATCCAGCACTCTTCAGCTTTCTGTAGATCCCCCGCTTAAAGACGGGTACCGTACTAGCGCAACAAAATCCACGAAGAACTCGGGGAGTCTAGAAGATTTAGGAACAAAGTATTATAGCTTCATGCCACTTGAAAATTTAGGAAAATTCATAAATCAAGAGAAATTATTGATTTTCGACAGGCTAGCAAGACAGACGTACCCACCTGGCTGCAGAACGTCTTTGTCTGGTTTATAGTTTTTCGATGCACCTCATGAAGCCTGCGAAGCCATCTGGCCTAAATCTACAGGCTCGACATATACAACTGACCGCGGTCTGTGGCTCCGTGCCTGTGTCGCCCTCCAGCGTCGCGCATGCATTGTCTCCTAGTCTGTGAGCTGCTAAGGGTGGCTACTGACTCAGGGGTGAGAGATGGGTAGTCTGGTGTACTTTCGCATTAGAAAGCTACTCAGCACCGAAAACTCTCAACCCAAGCAGTTTGACTTTGGTGAGCATAGAGTTGCAAACACTGCAAAAAGGCGCGTTTGGTGCTCTCTGTCGAATCATCTGCCTCAAGGTAGTGTTTTTTCCATTTTCAGCATATGCACGCCGTGAAGTAGCAGCAGAAAGCACTGAAAATCTTAGGAGTGCTATCCCTGATGATACTCCAGAGGTGTCGGCAAAGCCATATGCAAGCCGTGAATTAATCAAGCCACTTTCTTAGCCGCCAATTAGCTGAAGCAGGGGTGAAACAGTCATTTGCTGAGGCATCAGCAACCCCGTAATTGCTTCTCCGACCCTTGATCTCCGGCAATCCAGGAATAAGGCTCACTGTCCGACTAGATAGAGTATTGTGACTTCTTAGAGAGGTTTGCTTGCGTGCGTGGCTTCAGCAACCGACAATCCGGGCATGACACTGCAAGCTCCTCTGCGGCGGTTCGCACACAGACATTGAAATGCCCTGAGAGCTTTTAAAAAGTAATGCGATCTTCACCATCACCCGAAAAAGCAGGATATTGTGTTGGCGGAGAACAGCATTGCGGAGCGGGATTGGAATGCACAAGCAACAGAGCCTCGCTTTCTTTTTGGCCTCATCGAGGTGTCTTCAGGCTTAGACTGCTGCACACTATGCCCCTTTTTGCACTTTTGCAATGATAACCCGTGCATGAACAGCGTTAAGCCCTTAGACTCACTTAATTTCAGTAGAAAGTATAAAGCACCACCGTCAAGAGCGGTTGCGCCGCACAACAGTGCGTTGGTGGAGAATCGCAGAAAAGCGTGGGTGTTCACGTAGGCTAAGCGATAAAAATCTATTTCAGTAAAGCTTCGTGCTTTAGCAGGAGGCGCTCGAATCATGGCATAGCTCTACAGCTACAATCCTGCTATTCGTCGTAAGGCACGAAAAACCTTCTGGTCGCTCTGGGAAGTAAAATAGCACCCGTTCAAGAGTGCAAGAAATTTTCATGCACCAGCACACCAAGTAGAGCTCCTTTCCCATACTGGCTGATGTTGTTCGGCGTAGGTGAAGCGATGAGAAAACAAGCAATAATGTGCTGTTTGTGCGGGCTGGTAGTATGTTGAAAATGAGTACCAACCAACGCTGTGAGTAGCGTCGACTGTCAGAAAAAATGATACTTTCGTTACGGTAGCACAAGTGCTAGAGGATTTGCAAGGCTGCTGATAAGCGCACTTGCTTCGGTATTAGCCTTCCTTGTCCAAAAAAGACTGCGTTTTCTTGAGTAAATCAGCCAAAGGAGCAGCACACCCAGATGACATGCGGGTGGATAAAAGCTAAGGCGACACCTTGATTGCTTCAATTGGTGTCGGAGCGTAATCAATGTACAGAGCCCGAACACGGAATGCCAGCGAACGCCTTTTTTGCTACGAAAGCCAAATGCTTGCGTTCCACCACATACAAGTGCTTCTCCTGCACCAGCTGAGGCGAGCGCTAGTGTTTAGGTGTACATGAACGTTTCTGCTAAGGAATGTTGTCCATGTAGAATGCCGTTTGCCCCTGCTTCATAGGCTCATCAAAATGCAAATTAACTCGCCATTCTAGCGTAGCTGGGTAACTGACAGCTCCAAACGCCTACTCGACCTTGCGAGTGCAAGTGTGGAACGTTTTGTGCCTGTCATTTGAGCCAACGCGGATTTGGAAGAAGGGGTCAGTGATATTGGACGGCGAGTAGACTGTTGATGCGTCACAAGTTTGATTTACCGGAACTCCCATTGTGCTCCAACCTACCAGATCCATGAGACAAACCTTCCATGAAGGCATGCACTGCAGTCATATCCTTATCTGCACGACTTCCTGTACATGGAAGGTAACCACTTTCATGCTCCCCCCAGTAGCGCATGCTACAGGGCGCAGGCTTTCCTCTTTTACTGAGCTGTATAAACAGAGTCAAATTCCAACATGCTTATCAGAGCTTGAACACTTGCGGTGTCCTTACGACCACATACTTTTCTCCACTGTACACCCTTGCAAAGAGTCGCACAGGTACTTTTCAGCTGAAAAACTTTTTGGTGCTGGTGAAGCAGCACCTCCCTGCCTTCGTTCTTAAGGATTCCGAAATACGGGGACAGGGGGGCAACTACGGTGCGCGCTGCTGGTCCCCTGTGCACTTGGAGCACTCATAGCTAGGTCCACATAACGTGTAATGCAAGCAGATACTGCATTATTTCTTGGTACCGTACGCTCTATTGATATAAAGGGTAGTGTAGGATTTGTCAGATGATCGAAAAATTAGTATATGGCACTGTTGCTGGTATATTTGCCTTGTGTATATCTGTGTAGCTTCGCCTGTTACAAAGACCTCTGAAGAAGCTGCACTCTGGTGCTGGCAGCGTCATATATTTTCATGAACAGTGCAGCAGGGCGTACATAGGTGCCATATACAAAGTGATCCTACACCATGTTATTCATCCACCGGCAAAATTTAATGCAGCTTCAAATTGTGTACAAGGCTGTCACAGTCAGTTGGCCTTAGCAGGACTGTCCTTTCCACTATGTAGGCAATGCGCTGCAGTGTGGGCAAGCTCGTGGTATTCAACAGAAAAGTTCATTCGCAATGGCGTAAGTGACTAAGAAAGTTTAGACGCGCAAGCATCAGTGTTACTGGCGCTACCTAACCTGTTGCGGTCAGCTCAATATGTCTTAGATGCACCCGCCACGGCATTCTTATTAAGGAATGAAAAGGCTGGGGCGAAACATAAGACAACTCCTCAGCATGAAGCTGAAACGTTTTGCAAACGACGGCCTCAATTGTGCAGCCTGTGGCTCTTCGAATTGGCAACTTCGCAGCAGATTCCTAGGAGCTTCACTGAGTGCATGTGGAGGAGCCATGATCGCCGCTGGTGTTGCAGCTGGAGCCGTGGCACGAGGCACCTTCGTTGTTTTGAGTTCAAGTCTCAGAGGGGGGCTCCTGTGGTAGCAGGTGCAAAGTCGTTCTGCTCCTCTTGTGTTATGCATTAAGCATTCCAACAAGGAAATTTCCTGCTTGTTTTAAGAAAATGGGTATTTAATCACTAGGCGACAAACGGTTAAGCCCTTGCGTTGCGTGTGCAAAGAGAGAATTCAAAGGCCCGCCCCTCCCTCGTGTGCTTCTAGACAAGCTGAGTGTACACCTGAACAGCCTGACAGGAACGAGGAGTCTTCTTGCAAGGGTCCAGCCAAACTTTGTGGTGAATTAGTTATGCATCTCAGCCGCACTTCTAGAGGCGCCTCAACGTGTAGCACGTCTATCCGATGCATTTCAAGGCAGACGCCTTAAGGCCTCTTATGAGAACCAATTCAACTGCTTCATTCGCCTAAACCCTAACTACACTCCCGCGTTTTCTACCTGCACTTGGAGACTGCTCTAGTGGTTTTGTGTCGGCCGCTACGGCTGTTGCGACTCTCGCTGCTGCTGTTCAACCAGAGCCAGATCGCTGTCTGTGAGATATTCGCCAAGGGCGACTTCCAGGAGCTCTGCCTGGTCCTGCTTCGCTGCCGCCTCTGCATTGCGCCACAAGGCTTCCTCCTCTGCATCTTCTCGTCGTCGATCATGAGGCAGCAGCAGATGCTTGACTCCCCCTGCAGTACCCGCTGCGTCACTGCAAGCTGCTGCTGCTGCTGCTGCTCCTGAAGCGTCCTCCTCCCTTACGTCAAAAATGGAGTTTCCGGCCCTTGCAGCTTCTTCGCCGGGATATTCGACAGTGGCTGCGCCAGCTCCAGCGGCGTCTCCCCCCGCTTGCAACGAGTCTCTTGCTGCTGCTTGAATGCCAGAGTCTGCATTTGTTTCTGCAGCACTCGGCCCCATTTGCAGCAGCTGGTGGAGGTCGTCGAGAGACAGCCGCTTCAGCAACACACAGACGCATCGCACATGAAAGAAGTGCCTCTAGTACAGAACCTGCAACGGCTCAGGGGGCGTCCAGGGTTAACAGTTACGGGATGCACCTCGCAGAGCAAAGCCTCGCTGCTGTTTTTTGACGCTTTACGTGTATGCCGCAGCTGCGCTATCCGTTCCTCTACGGTGTCTTTCACGATGAATCTGAGCACGACAGAGCACCAAAGCCGAAATCCGGAATTCCGACCTTGTTGAGGCGCTCGTCCTGGCAGCAGAAATAAGCCTCCCACGCACATGTGTGTTCAAGTATGTGGCTTGAACAAGCGCACATCCTGGTGTTATGTAAAACATCAGCAAAAACTTGAGAGGACCTTCCCCGACTTCGAGGCGCGTCGGTGCATCGTTAATGGATGCGGGTGGGAATCGCGAGACAGGAGTGTTCACTGTCGACCGCATACACTACGGCAATGAGGGCTTTGAATTCAGAATCTGCTACCTATTGATTACCTCCACACGTGTGTTTGTCTGGTCTGCGAGATCCGATAAACTCGTCCAATGGCTTGCTTCTCCTCCGCAGCATTGAGAGGGAAGTCAACGAAGACTACGTGACGTGCTACAGTGAGCGTTAGGCCCCTTCCCCCCTTCCTCAGAGAGCAAAGTAACACTCTCGGAGATGCTTGGCTGCTGCTACAGAAGGCCCTTATGGATGCAACCTCCGCGCGAGAGCCGAAATAGCACAAGCTGCTAATGCCGACGACTTCGAGCGAAGCACGCAGCAGCACGAGAGCCTCACGCCACTCGGAAAACACCAACACCTTCTCCATGGCTGCGTCGTCGTGGCGCTCCTTCTGCTGAACCTGGTGAGGCAGTTGCTGCTCGTTCTTTCGCGCGTCGAATCCACATGCTGCCATCGGCGCCTGTGCCTCTGCCCCTCTGGAGGAACCGCCCTCTCTGCCCCCTACCAGTTCCACGATTTTGTCGATTACAGCGGCGAATTTCGCAGAGTGAGTCGTCCCGTGGAGCTCCCGACGTCTCTGCAGCCGCAGCCGCAGACAGCACAGCCAGGCAGAGCAACTCACGACGAGGTGATCGAGTTGGAGACGAAGTGCTGAGCCGCAGAAAGCTTCTGCTGAAGAGAGGCCTTCTCGCCAAGTCTCGAACCGACGGCTTTCGCCTGCATTCACGGGAAAACAAACGTACGGTAGGAACGGCAGGAAAGCGTTCGGGAGAGGGTGTGCGCGAAGGCGTTCCTCCAAACCCCTCACGACGTTCCTCCTCCCCCTTGTCGAGAGGAGCAGCTGCCGCGCCGTCTGAAGACGACGCGGCAGCTGCTGCTGACGCGGCAGTAGCCGCAACAAGGGCGACAGAGGAAACGCTGAAGCGGTGCCGACAGACTGCGCAAGTCAGCAGCTGAACCCGTTCGCGCTGCTGCTGCTGGTACTGCCTTTGCTGCTGGCGTCGCTGCAGTTGCTGCAATTTCTGCAGGCAGGCGAAACACGTGGAGTGGCCACAAGGTGAGACTGCCACGCACCCTCCTGCGTCGAAGTTTTGCAGGCAAATTGGGCAGCGCTGGAATTCCTCGTCTTCGTGGTAGAGACTCCTTTTCCGTGCATGCTGCTGCTGCTGAAGACGCTGATGCCACTGCCCGTCCTGCTCCAGCTCCTGCGGCTTCGATGCAGTGAGCTGCTCTTGGCGACGTGTCAGCGACGCCGCTGAACTCCGAGGCTGACGATCGCGCGAAGTCTCGCTTTTGACCAAGTCTTCCTCTCCTGCCAACTGCCGCTGCTCTTGAAGCTGCTGCTGCTGCCTGTGGATAGCAGCAGCGGCAGATCGACAGCGCCGCGCGTCTTGCGGTCCTCGTGAAAGCTGGTCGTTGGCTTCTGTCATGGCACCCGCTCGAGAGACTGTAGATTTCGCCTCCGTTTCTTCGTCCTTTCGATCATCAGCAGCAGCCACGGGAGGATCAGAGGCAGTTCGGCCCTGAGGAGGTCGCTTGAGCGCAGCGTTGCTTTCTTTGGTTTTCAGGTTCGTCAGGAACTGGTGTCTCGTGAAGCACACAGCAATTTGCTCCTTGGAAAGCAGCAAATCCCCCGTAAGCTGCGAAAGAACCGCAGGAATCTCATGAGCTCCCAAGCCGCAGCGCTGCAGCCACAACTCGTGGCGTATCGACGAGTCGCTCAAACCACCGCAGCAGTCCCCACCAGCTGCAGCTGCGCAAGCGCCAGCCGGAAAGCTGTTGTCGGGAGACTTCAAAAAGAAGCGAGAGACAGACATCCGCAGCTCGTCGAAAGCAGATAAGACTCCCCGACTTGCCAGCAGATACACCCCGGCAGCAGTCAACTCCTATGGCACAAACCCATGCTTGCATCCGAATACAATTTTCTCTAGGCTTCATCCCCAGAGCCACTACCCCTAATCTTTCAACACGGGAACGAGCCGCGCAAAACTAACTTGCTTTCTGACCCCACACGTTAATCGCCAGACGCAAAACAATGCTGCACACCCGCTTGAGGCAGTCAAGCTCTTTCAAGTGTTCTTCTGCGGCTGCAGCAACACATGCCGTCTCAGGCACTCCAAGATCTGAATCTCTACGGAGAATGCTGCATAAAAGCTGCAAACAGCGAATAAGGTCGCTATCGCCGTAGTGGTGGTAACCCTCCTGAACACGCATACACCCCATACCCTGTAGACGCAATGTCTAGAAGAAAGACTCGGGGAGATATCGCTCCTCCTCGCCATCAAACCCTTTGCGTTCTTTGCATGGCTTGCTTGCTCCCTCCCTCTCTGGAATTGCATAGCTTGCTTGCTTGCTCTCTCTTTCTCTCTCTTTGAAAAGCTTTCAAAGCGCTCATTCAAACAAGCCACCACAAACGTAGAAGCGCGCGGGGTGGGGGAAACGTACGATGTTCAGGCCATAGGGATCAGTGGTGACAGTGTCAAGGTTCTTTGCAACGGTGTTATGCACATAGTATTGTAATCTGCAGAGCCGCACCGCAAAAATGCGGATACTTTGCAATCTCACGGATATCCTACACCTGCCTTGCCGCATGCAGGAGTCTTTTGGCTACGAGGCTCAGCCGTCAAGCCATGAAGAGAGGGGCTGACTCTGAAATTTGCTGCGCAGCTGCGCAGTGAAAACAAAGACTCCCAAGAAGCACTTCTTCGAAGTCTCCTTTTCGTCTGCGTTTTCTTGGAGAGGCACCTGTCCGAAGCTGCTGTTGCTGTTGCTGCAGATTCTGCTGCTGAACTTTGTTGGATTTCTTCTGCTGCTGCTCCTGAAACTGGTGTAACTCTGCTTGACAGATCTCGTTACAGCGTGGGCAGCCGCCAAATGCGGTCTGCTGCTCTGCACAAGGTTTCCCGTGATGATCGAGGCTCTCCAGAGTCTGTCGCACACGAGCAGCAGCAGCAAAAATGTGCACTTATTAGGTCTAGCGGCTGCCAGCTGCGGCGACTGAATGAAAGCCGCGTTCTCGCACCGCCGGTAGAAGCTCCTAAGCTGACAGAAAGCAGTTTTCAACAAGGTGAACACATCAGCCTGCTAAAGAATGCTGCAGACACTGAAGTTGTGCAATATATATACATATGAATATAAAATATAAAAATATATATATATACAAATATATATATATTTTTATTCATTTATTTTTATAAATAAACGTCCCCAAGCCCGCGATACTGAAACTCGTGAGACTTTGTTTGTTAGAGACACCGTATTACCACGCATTCCCACTACACGGAGCATCGAGCAGAACGCACCTGAATAAGGGCTTTTCGTCGGCAGTCGAGCTCATCAAGGCGTATTTCAAGAGCACTTACAATCCCCTTGCAGCTCGAGACACCCCCCAAGTGCAGTCGTCTACCCATGAAATTCAAGGGGCCAGAACGGCATCCATAGTCTCCAGATGGAATCCCCCGCAGGTTGGCGAGTTCGTCTCGCACTCTGCCGCACACACGCACGCACATGCACATACACACACATGCACATACACGCACATGCACATACACACACACAGAACATGCACTGAACCCTGAAGCCTCGTCTTACGAGGCAGCTGCTCTCCAGTCTGAAGAATAAGGCTGCGATTTTCAAGGGCAGTACAGTGGGCATATTTGATGCAGCGTTCCCGTGCGAAGATCTCTATGCGGAAAGGAAGCCTGCCTGAGAGAAACGGCCTTGCTGCGTTCCTCGTCGAGAGTGGCGAATGCTGCAAACCACCTCCCCGAACCGAGAGATCGTCTCTGCGTCTCAGCCTCCTGAAACTCCGCTAATGCCGAAGAGTCTTCCTCGCTGCGCAGAGCTCTTCTCTGCGCGCTCGTGGAGAGCTCGCGTGCTCCGCTGCTTGGGAGATTCTGATGGCTGGTGGGAGGGCGCTCTTCGGCACAGTCAAGTGCCTCGTCCGTGGTAAAGGGCGAACGGGTGGAGAAAACGGGGAGGCGTCCTCTCTCCCCCTCCGTAGGAGACTCCTCTGGCGAGGAGACACATGCTGGTGCCTTGGGAGGCGCTAAGGAGCAGCCGCGAGTTGTTTGTGAGGCCTTTTTCTTCCCAGCGCATAGCAGTGTCTTCTCAGTCCGATGTCTCTCTGTGTCTCTAAAGCACATTCTGAAGGCTTCCCTTGCGCGGTTGAGCTCTCCAACCGCCTTCGAAACATATTCTCTTCTTAAACACTGGTACAACTCCCAAGCTGCTGCTGCTGCTGCTGCTGCTGCAGACTGGTCTGTAGCTGCTACCGCGTCGCTTTGGAAAACGCTCTGCGGAGCTCCTCCTCTGTCTTGTGACGCCTCGCTGGCGCTGCTGCGCGTCCAGTTGTTGATGCTGCTTTCCGCGTTGAAAGGAGAAGGCGTGCCGGCTACAAGATCCGAATGAAGCCCAAGAGCCTCGTCGGGAGTCTTCCCTCGTTGATGCACGGGGGAACAGGCGTCGTTGGAAGGCTGCTTGGAGAGGCTCTCGTACAGGTTGTAAGCCGCGTGAATTTGCTGCAGCTTGTCGATGTGGTAGCACCCCGAAGTAAGCGACTCAACGAGGGGAGGCTTCAGTATGAGACTGCCTATGGATTCGTCAGGCACCCCCAGAAACGCCGCGACTTTTCGGGGAGCATCCGAAGCTCCCAGAGGGTGTGCAGACAGCTCCAGTACATGCCTGAGACGTCCACAGGCTAGAAAACACCGGAATTATGCGTCTCCAGCTGTATTCATGAGGCGCCAGCAACCCAAGCCCGTCTCCTGCCATGCTGCCAACAACGGTCAAGCACCCCTCCTGCCCTTCTGGAGCACTCACAGGTAGAGGAGAGCCGCGCGAGCAGGCTTGCCTTGAAGAAGCGAAATGCCAGCTACGCCATTTATCTCTGCACAGTACGCGCGTAAAGCTCCTTCGAGCTCCACCTGCAAACACGCAGTCACAGACTTCAAGCCTTTGAAGCCAGCCAGCAGGAGACACCTCCTACCTTGGCTGCGCGCTTCGCCGATTCCGATTCCGTGATCACCGCTTTGCGCTACGAGCAGCAGCACGCCGTGCACGCGAAGCGGCGAGGAGAAAGCCAACACGTCTGCAATGCGCGAGTCGGTTCTGTACCCGTGCATCTGCGAGGAGCTGGCACAGAACCTCGTCCATAGACATGTAACGACCCAGCGCCTCAAGACTTTCAGGCTTCTTTCGACTTCTGTTGGCGTTCGCGCTGCTGTTGGTGCTTCGTCGACAGCTCAAACCAAGCGCGCCGAGTTGGGGATGATTTGCTGCTTGCCGCAGCACCAAGAGTAACCCCACCATTTGCGATGACAACGCTGCTGCAAGAGGGGCACTCCCGACAGCAGCTGCAGTCGCTGCGCCAGAGGCGGCGGCTCTCGCTGTAGCAAGCAGCAGCCGCTCCTGTTGCAGCAGCAGCTGCTGCTGCTGCTGCTGGTGCTTGCTGCACAGCCGCAACACGCGGCGTGTAACCGTCCGCTGCTGCCGCTGATAGAAGAAGCGCTCTATTGGTCCTAAGTCTACAAAAATATCATGAACTATGGGAGGGGGGACGCCTAGCTCTTCGGCAACATCTGCACACGCCACAAGAGCCACAACTCCCCGAAAAACAAACTCCCTGAACGCTCCCCCCTGAATCTCAGTCTGCAGACACCACGAGGAGACAGATAAACGCCGCGGCAGCACCCCTGCACCGCATGCTCTAGCCTCGAGAGTAGGTCTGTCTCCAAGCGTGGAATTCTGAACAGTGTAGCGCACAGCTCTGAACACGCAAGCCAAGATCTCACCGCTCATGTTCGTTTTCCACATAAGAGGAGCCAACAAATCAACAGCCACATTGAGTGCGAAACCTGTTAGGCCCCAGTTAGGCCCCACACGAGGCGCAGAGAGCCTCGTGTCTCCAAAAGTGCTGCTGCGAGTGTCGCTGCTGCTGCTGATGCCGCTCGCAGGGGGAAGAGCCTCTTCCAAGGCACTCTGTGGCAGCGGGAGCGAGAGCGCGTGAAACACACGCCTGAGCAGCACAGGGAACGCACACACACACACACACAAGACGCAGACGCGAAGCTCGATACCTTTTTCCCGACATTCGTGTGCGCAGCTGCGCTCTGCTGAACGTGACGCCAGGCAGCTGCTGTGCGTTCAGAGATCCCTCAAAAGCGCCAGAGGAGACTGCGCTTTGCTCCTAGCCTCCCGATGGGAACCCTACGCCTGCTCACTGGCTAAGTGCCGGGGGTAGGGGGTGAGCTCCGTCGATCGACAGGCGCAGAGCAGCGAGGATTCCAGCAAGTTCTCTGGGGAGTAGCGATCCCCTTGGCGCATGCGCGGATCGCTTTGGGGAAGCCTCACCCGCCAACTCGTCAAGAAGCGGGGTTCCTGACACACACCAACGGTGTGTGGCTTCGATCGAATGACAGAAACGAGCAGCACCGCTGAATCCTGCGCCATCAGTGCCACAATATCGACAGCAGTCGATGACGACGCTGCAGAAAGTGGGGTCTAAAGCTGAAAGCCAAAGCCGTCAAATCTCCAATCTACGAGACACCCTACGAGCCCGAGGATTGAGAATTTGAACAGTAGAGGGTGGTCCGGCTAGCTCAGGATGACAAAAACTCTGGAGGAGCTTAAAAAGCAGCGCTCAAACGCTTGAGCGGGGAGCTCTAAGAAGACACGTGCTCCCTTCGTTTGCGTGCAGCGTAGCGAAACTCATCGAGTGCTCAAGTCGCGACACGAAAGCACCCTCCACTCCCGAGGGAGTCTTTCTCTCTCTTTTGTCGCCAAGACGAGCACTACTCAGAACAAGACGAAGATGTCAGGTGTCTACGCGAGAGCCCACGCTCGGCACCCCAAGTGCAGAAAAGAAGAATGCGGCTGCACTAACCTCCTGCAAGCTGTGCTTCATCCACGACGAGCCTCCACCAACGAATACCCACGATCGGAGAGAACAGCTTGCGATATCGTTTAGTCCCCCTTAAAGACATTCTGCCGCTGCCGCTACAGCCCAAAACGGTGGAGCTGGCATCGCTGCTGCTGCTGAGGGGGGGAGCGAACCACACCTCCTGCTGCAACGCCTCAAAGGGAACAATCACAATGTCAAAATCCATCAACTGGGAGCACAACACAGTAGGCCCCTGCGGGAGGCACCCGAGAACGGCTTCCACGGTTCGAGGGCAGAGAGACAGGCGAGAAGAGTCTCCAGGATACTCTTCCGCATCCTCGCACCGCTCTCGGCTGCCACTTGATGCACCAGGGAGCGACGACGCTCCGCGGGAAGCTGCTGCGCGCGACTCAGCCCGCGCAAGTGCTACAACCTGAGGCATTCCAAAAACTCCAAAAACGATCACAAAAGCGCTTATTCGTCGAGAAGAACATGCGGCGTGCAGGCACGCACCTGACCAGCACCCCTGCGCGAGCACTTCCGTCGTCGCTGTCTGGTTCTGCCGTGCAGAGGATTCAGCAGCAACGTACAGTGTCAGCCAGAGCAGCTCTGGCTTGCTTAAGGCCAGGATACACTGCGACTTTCAAGGATTTGTCACAGTGCAGAGAAACCTCCCGTTTCCACTGGTCGACGATTGCTGAGGGGCAGACTAAGACTGTGCCTTTTCCTTCTGGCAGCTGGTCGACGCTGCGACTGCCAGCAAGCCTTTCTTGACTGTCTACAACGCAGAAGGGGCAGAGGAAGGGCACTTCTGCGGCGGCTCCGGGAGACGCCGCAACGCAGAAGACATGCGAGAGGCACTGGCAGCTGCTGCACTGCACGACTGCCAGCAGGGAGGAACTGCCGTTCGCTCGCTCCCCCCGCAGGTGCGACGCGCGCGGCTGCTTCGGCTGCTTTTGCTTGCTCCTGCCTCCTGCTGCCTGAGGCGACCATCTTCTGCTTCCTTTGCGACAAAGCGGACCCAGAGAATCCAAACCGCAGATACAGCAAATCCGGCAGTCGGAGGATATTTCGTCTCCCCAGCGGTAGAGTGCTCCCTTGAACTCGGCAGGTGCCGCTTCCGCCCATCGCGCTGCGCCTCTCGAAGCCCTCTTCGATTCTGTCGCCGCTGGTGCAGCCAGCGCCGAAGGGGGCAGGCACTCTTCCGTTGCTGCCTCGGAGGCTGCTGCAGCTTCGGAGCAACTCGCAGCAGGAGGCAGCGATTCGGCGGCAGGCTCGCCGACGGCAGCGCACGCAGATCGCGGCTTTGGGTTGGCAAGAATAAGCGTCAGAACCTCAACGCTCTTCCCTAAACCCATTGCGTCGCAGAGCAAACCACCCGGAACCTCAAAGCTGGCAGCAACGCCGTCTGCTGCAAATGAGTCTGATGCAGTAGCGGCTTCTGAGGCTGCAGCTACCTGGCCGGTGACGTGGTTGATCCACATTGCCGCAGCAGAAGGCAGCGCGACTCGGATCCAGAACATATTCACGCTTTGCTGCATCGGCTGCTGGTGCTGCTGCAGCAGCAGTTGCAGCTGCTGTTGCTGCTGCTCCTCGAGCTTGTTCAGCGCCTTCTCTGCGCCACTGGCGCCGCGCATGCTGTTGCTCCTTCCCAGAAAAGCCCTCCACTCCCTTGTCAACGCGAAAAGGACGGCTCTTTGCTGGTACGGACGCAGCGAGCAGCGCAATCCGGCAGGCTGGAGCAACTCTATTCCAGAGAGAGGTAGAGGGTCGTTGCTGGCATGGGAGCTGCTGGTTTGAGCTTCTCCGGAGGTGCTTGTTTGCAGCAGCTGTTGCTGCAGCAGCGCGTGTAGAACGTGTCTCTGCGAAACGAGACTGTATATGAGAGAAGGGCTTACAAAGAAGGGGCGAGGGGCAGAGGCGTTCGATTGCGCGTCTGAGGATCTTGTGAGTGAGGCTGCTGAGACTGCCGCCGCAACCGATGCTGGCAGCAGGGAGGGGTGCCGCAACATCCTCCCGAACAGCCTGCGGCAAACACGCAGAGGGGTCTAGAATGCGTGTACAATGCAGCCAGTATCGCACGGGCGAGGAAGCAGCCGCCCTCAGAAGCAATCCAGACACGCGAATCGACAGCTCGAGCGGCAGGAGCAGGGGAGAGCGCAGTGCTCACCAGTGAGCGGCTTTCGTTCGACAGTCAGACACGTGTAGCTGCACGCTGCAGGGAGAGGGGCAGCTGGCGCGATCGAGGCACAGCGACACCTCGACTAGCCAAATCCACTTGTTACTGCTGGTTGAAGAGCTGGGTACTGGTACAAAACCTTTAACAGATTCGGAAGCAGCTGGAGAGCGCTGCCTCTTGCGGCTTGTCTGGCTTCCACTTTTGCTGGCTGCTGCTGCGCCGGTCGGAGGCGCAGCATCAGCAGCGAAGTGTCTCGCACAGAGCAGCTTTGCACGGAGGCAAAGAGGCAGCAGATGCCTCCTGGAGGTCAGAACTGGTAACAAATCTCCCATAGAGTGAAGGGCGGCACTGGCGTTCAATCTGCACTCAGCGCCAACGCGTGGATGTACGGCAGCCGCCCTGCAGGGTGCTGCTGCTTCTGCTCCCGCCAAGCAGGCACTATCTGCAGTTTCGCCAAGCGGAGTTGCGGCAGCCTTGCACGAGACGGCTGGAGAAGGCTGCGCAGCTACCAGAGTAAGAGAAAGGTCACCTGGCTCGGGAGCCTCTAAAAGTGCCCCCCAAAACCTTCGACAGCTGCAGATCGGCTGCGCTGCAGCCGCCACCATATCTGCGCATGACGACGTCTCTGCGGATTCGTTCCCTCTGCCTGTGTCGCACGCAGCTGCGTCTGCTGCCAGACGCTCTATATGGGGACGTCGAAGGCGACGCCATGACGTCTCGACATGGCTGCTGGGGTTGCACTGCCAACAAATTTCGGCAGGGGGCGTCTCCGCAGGAATCTCCAAAGGCTCCCAGGTGTACAGACACTCCAGGCCTTCTTTGCAAGCGGCAGACGCTGCTGCTCGCAGCACCGCATCGCGCTTCAAGAGACACTGGCGCTGATGCTCGGAGTGCTGCTGCTCCTGCTCATCCTGTTGATGCGTTTGCCTTCTACTGAGGTCGGGAGAGCTTCGATCGTTGGCTGTCTCAAGTTGAATCATCTTGTGCTGCCGCATGAGCCGTTTCTTCCTCCTTTGTTGACACGGTGATTCTCTGCGCGGGTGGGTGTGTAGCTCCTGCTGGGAACCATGGCGGCACTGCAGATCAGTATCCACAGGGGGCGCTCTATGCTGAGGAGCGGTCTGCGACTCCTCGTCTGATGCAGGGGGTGTCGCTGCTCCCGCGGCTCTTCCAGTCCTTACCAAGCAGCCACCCTCCGCATCTTGTTGGGGAGGTTCCAAGGAGCTCAGCGGGAGAAGAAGAGTCATCGGGCTGCTCTGGCGGAGTCATTTCTGCAGCCAGCTGTTGCTGCCTGCAGATGCTGCATGTAGCGATGAAGAGCAGCTGCGGCATCAACAGCGGCAGCAGCGGCCTAAGCTCTCAACGTGCTTTTGGACCCAGAGAGCTGGCAGATTCACTTCTGTTGCTGCTCCTGTGAAAAGCCCACAAGTTATATCCAGCAGCAATGCTGCCAATGATGCGTCGCTCGCGATTCTGCGCCGCTAATGCTGCTGCTGCTGCAACTGTGGGTAACTCACGCGTTAACAGGCGACTCTCGAGCCGACACAGGGCCTGGACCCTATGGCAGTACGCCGAGCAAATAAAGCAGATACACCTCCAGAAAAATGCCAATTCTAGCATTCTCAGTTGCTGCTGCGTAGCCGCTAGTAATAGTGCTACAGCAGCTATCGTTGCAGTAGCTTCACTGCTCCGCTTACCGCCGAGAAAAGTCGACCGCGGCTCACACGGCGGCAGCAGCGGCGGCTGCAGCACCACCCGCCGCGTGAGTCAGCACAACTAAAGAGCAAAACAGCCACAGGCAACTCTGTGACACTGCAAGACAGCCTTTCTTTCGTCTCGTATCGTCCTATCCCGCAGATCGGTCTTGCTAGTCTTCTGACAGCAGCTACTGCGGGGTTCTTGCGAAGGCAGAGCGAAAGCCCTCTTCTTCATGACTCAAAAGACTGTCGCATCCATGCATTACATGATTCTGAAACAGATGCGCAACTCCATGTCTAATCAAAGGCTGCAGCTGTGGCAGCAGCAAGGGCTGGTAGCGCAACCGTAGCAGCAGCTGCTGCAACAATAGGATGTTGCATCCCCGTGCATCAGCCTCAGAAACAGGAAATCGTGATGCCGTTAGTGAGAGTCCTAGAAGTGCTTCTCACCGACGCATATCAGCTCCCGCAGCAGCAGCTACATCGGCAGCCTTGCCAGAAACAGTTTCACTCCAACAGCTACAGCAGCTGCAGCAGGATGTTTGGGCAGCAGAAGCGGAAGCAAAACAGCGCGTCCTGAAGCTGTTGAAAGAGGGAGAGGCGCAATTTCATGAACTTCAGTCTTCTCTGCAGCAGCAGCAACAGCAGTCCCATCAAGCATCTGTGCATGTACTACAGCTGCAACAGAAACTTGTAGGAAATGGATCTAGAGGAGATTCTCTAGCATGCAGGCTGCAGAAAAGCGAGAACCAGCAGCTTCTGCTTCGACAGCAGCTCAGCGTCATCCAGGAAGTAGAAGGGTTTGTACTTCAGTTGCAGCTGGCGCAGAAGCAGCTGGCCTTTTTCAGAGAGCTGCTCAAGAAGCAACTGCTAGTCGAGGCAGCAGCTTCCCTTCAGATCTTTGCGCATGCGCTGCTTCTACCCCTCCTTGCAGCAACAAGGGATACCAAGCCGCTTCCAGCTATTCGAGAGTTGCAGCAGCAATTCATCGAGGTGCACAAGCAGCTCGTTCTTTCCCTTGACTCACGTCTGCGACAGCACCTACAAGTATCTTCGCAGCAAATTACGTTAACACCCGTCTTGCACTGCAGCAGCATCAGTCGTTCTCCTGATGCAGCAGCAGGAAACTTTCATGCCGACAGCCGAGGTGTAGCAGCCATGGACTGCTCTGAACTAGCAGCAGCAGCTGAAGCAACGGCGGGAGAGATCTCATCAGGATCAGGCAACGCATGCGGCACTGTGTCTCGCCTTACCGACGTGTGGAAGTCTCTGCATCACCTTGGACTGTTGCATCGCCGTTTGTACTTCATTACACAGCAGATCAACAAATGTGTGCTGCAGCCGCTGCTCTCCGCTTTTGCCCGCAGCAGCGGCAACTGTCGAGTGACAGCTACTGTCACAAGTCACGATCAAGCCCCTTACATGGCTTGCAGAAGTTTCACATGGAAGTGGACAGCTGACAGGGAAAAGGCGTTCGATTCAGAGGGCACTGCAGCAAAATCGACATCTGCAGCAGCAGAAACTCCTGCAGCGCCAGCTGTGCTCCAAGCCCTACAGTCGCTGCTGCAGTATATATGTGATTTCGCTGCAGAAGAACACGTTGAGTGCCGTCGCATGTGGGGAAAAATCCTGTGGAATTTCCTCGAGCAGCCACTCCTGGAGCTGCTCCTGCATTCTCGTACCGAACATTTCCTGCTGAGGGCTGAGGCAGCAGCGGCAGACGCGGTGGCAGGAGGTGTGCTGCCGTTTTATCCAGCGGCAGCTGCTGCTACCGTTAGCATGCAGATTGAGCAGCTGTTTCAGAAGCAAGGCTTGGTGTCACCACAGGATCCCCAGCAGCAGCAGCCGCACACCAGCCGAGCAACGCGTAGAGCCACAGAATGGCTCGCTAAGGTGTACGTACACCGCAATGCGAATCTCCTTGCAGAAGCACGCCAACTGCTGCTACAAGCACTTGCAGGGAGCGCCTCCACTGCTTCTGCCGCAGTTCTGGCTACGGATGCGAGCATCCCTGGAGGCATGCACGACATTTTGATGGTACAGCAACTCACTAATCAGGAGCAGCAGACGCAGCGGCTGCAGCTGCTGCAGTGCATTGCAGAGGAAACCGATATCGCTCTGGTGCTCTTGGCGCCGCTACGGATCACTAAGGAGACGTGGCTGCTGCTGCAGCTTCTGCAGTCTTTGCTGCGGCACGCAGCAAGAACTGTTGCCAACTGCTGCCACAGTAGCAGCAACGACTTGTCGCTTCCTTGCTGGTGCAGCATCATGAGAGATCAGCCTTGTCTGTGCAGCAGTAGCAGCTGCTGCAGCAGCCGCATTGCTGCACGTGCTGAGCTGGCTACGGCTCTCTCTATTTGCAACCTATTCTTGATGCTGCGCTTCCTCGATTCTCATGCAGCTGCAGCAATAACAGCAGCTCCTGGGGTAGACATGAGCGCACCCGCACTAAGGTGGACAGACGCTGAAGTTGTCTGCCGCTGGTTGCTGCGGATGCCGCTGATGCTTGCAGTGCATGCAGCCACAACAGCGTCAAGAGGCGCACCTTTGTACAGTGCTAGCAGCTGCTCCTGCAGCAACAGTAGCAGCAGTTGTTGTTGCAGTTGCCAGGCTGCTGCAGCTCGCAGGACGTATTCGTTGCTGAGTGACTCGCTGCCTATCTTTGACGGCTACCCGGATGCATCCATGGCAGCAGCGTGTGGTGTATCTACAGCGGCGCGTGATCCCGCAACAACAGCCAAACAGCAGCAAGCCGAGGTTCCCTTCAGGCAACAAATTGCGGAGCTGGTTGTCGCACTAAAGCAGCAACAAGAGACCATATTCGTGAATATGCTTAAAGGACTGCAGAAGGAGCTACAAACCGCATCAAACGAATTGCATGAGCTGCTGAAAACGGCAACGCGAAGCAGCACCCGACTCGAGACTCACTTAGAGGCAGCCGCTGGAATCCTTACGCAGCGCCTCAACAACGCAGCACTAGATCTCCTGCCCATATTGCCTATTCAAGTACTCCCCAATACTTAAAAACCCTATGCCCCAGTTCTGAACGCTAAGCTTGACGACTGAACCACGTGCCAAGCCGCATTCTGATATGCCCTCAAGTTGCGCCAGTCGCTATCCCCTTACTGGATGGGAAATTTTGAACCTTGGTTTCGCATGTAACTGCGAAGCTCTAATGAAGTCTCTTGTTCCTGTCTTGCAATCCCTGAACCCTCACGTCACCCCCCAATGCTAAGAGATGACTGTTGTGGTGTTGCCGCTTCAGGTGTATGCGGAGGTTGTCGGGCTTGCAGCAGACTGTCTAATCGACTGCGTGCTAAGGACCGTCCTCTCCGCCGCTCTTGCTGCAGTCCCGGGAGTATATACACCAGAAGCAGCAGCTTCTGCCGCTGGCAGCAACAGCAGCAGAGCGGTGGCGCAGCGTTTAGGGCCGCTCTGCTGCAGATTGCTGCAGCACGTCTGCTCTCAGGTCAGAACCACAATGTCGCTGCATTTGTCGTCGCGGCAGCAGCTAAGACCTGAGGCTGCAGCACAGGCTGATGCTGCAAGTGCGTCTGACTGGAGTGTAGTGCTGCAACGGTTGGCTGGCGGTGAGGACAGAGGCATCGCAGCAGACGTATCGGCACAGCGGCAGCAGGACGAGAAGCAGGGTGCCCAGTGTGCAACAGCGCATGCGTCTGTTCGCGTTGAGCAGTTTTCTTCTCTGCTGCGAGTTGCTGTTGCACTGCAGCAAGTGCTTGAGGCGGACGTGCTGCTTTTGTTGCAGCACGCGGCGACGCATGCAGCGTTGCTGCGGCAGACCTTTCGTCCAGTTGAGCACCGCCTTGCGTTAATCGCTCTGAATCCCTTTATTGGGGCAGCCCCTCTAGGGGCGCGCAGGGAGGTGTTTCTCAGCGTTGCAGCTGTAGGGAACGTGCATCTTTCCGACTGTGTCGTTCCGTCTGGCGGCTGATTCCACTGCTCAGGCTCCGCTCCCAGCATTGGATCCTTGCCAGCTCTGTTGGGGAACTGTTTCATCGGTATTTCTGCGGTCGCCTCACGTCAGGTGATCCGCCGCCTCGATGGATGTCAACCGTCCCCGTCTTCTGGGAAGACATTCAGCAAGCCACGCGAGGAGCTCCCTGGCCGTCCACCCCATACCCACGGTTCTAGTGGTCTTTGCTTTAGCTAGAGGCTTTCCTCTTTTCTCATCCGGCGCTCGTCAGACGCCTTAATAAACTTGAGTATGTCTCCACGGGCTCCTTTGTTCCAAATGTATGGCCCTGCATCGGTCTGCGCCATAAGGCGCCCATTAGTGAAACTCAGAGACACCTGAAAGCGAAGATTCCGCAGATAGTGTACCTTGGCAGAATGGGTGAAGGGCGAACAGCAATTGTTACTGTTGTTCTTGCGAAATGTTGATCTGGCGTCTATATGTGCAACTGAAAGGGTTCACGTATTCTCTAAACCGTGGGCCAGGAAGACGTAGAGAAGCAGCATCACGCAGTAGATACACTGAGCCAGCTGGAGAGGGCAACATAGGAAGCAGTACAGGAGAGGCACGTGAGAGTAAGAGAGCATGGACGTATGTGTCGAAAAAGCCGCCAAGGCGAAAGGGGAAAGTCTACGGAGGAGGGCGTCGCTAGGCATGCACTAGTTGTCAGCTGTCGGACTTACTTGAGTATCACCATAAAAGTACACTCCCTCATTGACCTTAGTCCAGCGCTGAAGGCCAGAATGATTGTTGTGAACTTCTGCTAATGCGTCATCTAGAGATCCCCAGGCTGTTCGCGGGTGATCTCCACCACAGACACAGCCGGGGAAGTCTCCTGGCAGGCAAACACAGCGCCTGCTTAGTGGGAAGACAGTCACGAGCGTTTGCAGGAGGCATCGCTCAGAAAGCCTATCTACAATAAAGAGATGCGCAATGATCAGAAGGCCAGGAGAAGTGAGAAGAAAGTAGATATTTTGTTCAAGCGCACGGAGGCACAGCGCCATAGATTAGTGGCTAGTGAGTGGAAGAGGATGACGCCCAGAAAGTCTCGCATATGCGCTAGCCACAGGAGCGTCCTGCCTGCGCACGGCTTACCAGCAGATGACGTGCAGCCTTCCGCCTGCAAGTAGGGCTCTCTAGGGAATATCTGGAGTCTACTTGAGGGGTCAAGAGACTTCGTTTGCTCCTTGGACATGATGCCTTCCCCTGAGGCCGCTCTTTCGAGCTGGTGCTTCTTGAACAGCAAAAGATTTATTTCCCTTCGTTGTTCCTGCAGCAGCTCCCGCAACTGCTGCTGTCGGGTGCGCCTAAGGCTGCTGGATGCTCCATCGCGTTCGTTGGGAAGACGGGAGCACGCCCTTTGAAGACATCCGCGCATCCTATCAAGGTTCTCCTGGGGAGGCAAGGACTGAGACTCCCCAGAAAAGGCACTAGGGGGGTCTATCTCTGAGCGAGATCCACCAGTGCGAGAACGCAGACGAGGCGCTTCTTTTGAGTGATTTCTTGTGGAGGCTTCGCTCGCACCCTGGTGCATGTTTCCCCAGCTGCTCATTTTGCTGCGGTTTTCAGACCCCTGAGAGCGCGAAGAGTCGCCAGACTGAAGGCGCAAGTACTCTGACCCCTTCTTGGGTGCTCCGCGAGGATTCAGTGGCCTCTTGGCTGCCTTTAGGCTCTTGAGATGCTCCTGCAGAGACTTTTCCCTCAAGCGCTGCGACTCTGTCGATCTCAACAGTCGAGGTGGACATGTGGAGCCACCCACGAGGGGTGAGTTGCTGCGGCGTGGACATGCAGACTTGCTGCTGTGTTGCGCGCTTTCTTGCCCCTCTTCACCCCCTGAAAAGTGCGAGGCGCGTCGCGGCATCTCGGAGCGACAGCGGGGAACTGATTCCTGCGCTGTGTTTTTGCCTTCGCCCTCACAAGGCCGTTGGATAAGCTCCCGTTGCATTGCGTTGCTGCTCTTCTCTGGAGAATTTCTGTGAGCACTCGCACTCTCCGCTGAAGGGAGCCGTGTAGAGTCACCCGACTCTCTCCCCGGCTCAGGTGCAGCTGCTGCGTTGCCGAGGATGCCTGAAGACTTATTCGTCTCGGCAGGCATGGAGGGTTCCCCCCCAAACTCTTCGCAGGAGCACCACTGGGAGCCTTGCGGGGGGAGCTTGCTGTCGTTCAGCTCCTCCTGACGGGAAGTCTGCAGCAGCAGCTGTTCTTGTGCCTGATGCAGCAGAGGCAACTCCGCCCCCTTTGTCGTCGTCTCAGCAGAGTTCAGTGGGGGTAGCCGGTTCCTTGAAAGAAATGGTGCATAATTACGATGCTGCAGCTGCAAGTCACTCTTTTGCTGTTGTTGCGATAGGGCTTTGTTCGACTTTATGAGTTGGTGACCTTTGTAATCCATGCTTTGATGCTGCATCTCGTATTGCGGTTCTAGATGCTGCTGCAGTGCTTGTTGCTGGAGTCGTGGTTCTTGCGCCCGTATAAACGCCCTCATATCTGCCTGTCTCTGCTGCAGCATCTTCGGCTGCTGTACGAGGTGCTCCTGTTTCTGAGGTGGCTCTACCCCTTGCAGCTGCAGGCGTGCATGCAGGGAGCCCAGCTCCCTCTGGTGCTGTTGATGTCGCTTTTTTCCTTCTGAAAACTCTTTCTGCGTATCTTCAAAGGCCTTTTGTTGCTCTTTAAGCCGCTGCTGCTCCTTCTGTTGTTCCTCAACTGCTGCTCGCTGTTGCTCCTGCTGCTTCTTGAGTACTTCTTCTTCCTGTTGAAGTAGCAACAAAGCTCCCTCAGCTTCGCGTTTCTGCGCCTCGACTTGCCTCCTCTGTCTTGCTAGCTCTTGCTGCTGCCTGAGCAGGAGCAGCTCCTGCTGCTGCTGCTGCTCCTGCTTTTGTTGTAGCTGCTGTAGCTTTTCTGCAAGCTGCAGCTTCTGCTGCTGCTCCAAACAGCCATCAAACAGAGCCAGCAAGGCCTCCTTTTCGGCAAGCTGCTCCTCGACAGCCAGCAGTTCTGCTGCGAGGCGATCATGCTGCTCTCTGGCGCCCTCTGGAAGCTCAGATTCGGCTTGCTGGTTGTACTGTTGCTGCTGATTTGTGTCAAAGCACAGCTGCTGCTTCACTGAAAACTGCGGCTGCTGGTTGGGGTCCAGTGTTACGCACTCATGCTGGGGGTATTCAACTGATACTGTTGGCAGAAGCGAATCTACCTCCCATTCATTCTGAGCCTTAAGCTGCGAATGCTGTTCGTATTTTTGCAATGAAAGCTGCCTAGACTGCTGCTGGCGCTGCTCGTGCTGCTGGGGAGGTGGCCGCAGCAACGTGGCTGACATGGAAGATGGCTCCAAAAGCTCTTGCTGCTTTGCATCCTCATACACAGAAGCACATGGGGTTTGCAGCTGGTTAGGCACTGTCGAGACATTGCATGTGTCCGCTGCGGCTACTTTCGTCACTGCAGCAGTCCCTATTGGTTCCACTGTGCTTTGTTGGCGCTGAAGAGGTAGGAAGTGGGATGCCTCAGACTGTCGGGGAATCATAAGGGGTTTCCTGTGGGACGATCCTGTTGGAATGGAGGCTTCCCCAATGTATGAAGGGGGGAGACGATAAATTCTCGTGCAGCTGCCCTTGAGGACTGCAGCTTCTCCTGTGCTACAAGGAGATATGTTTTTAAACTGGGAGAGCATGCGTGAAACGTTGAGGGGCCTTCCCTCCCGAAGAGAGCCGTGCTGCGACTGCAGCTGTTGATGCTGTTGCTGCGATCGAGTCAGGTGCTGCTGGGGCAGTCTCACAGGAGATCCCTGATTTTCCGCATCCAATCGCTGAGGCGGCTGGAAGCAGCCATCATGCGCTCCAGAAGGCAAGGGTAGCTGCAAGGAAGGCGCATTTGCTTGGGGGGGATGGTTACGCAGTAGCCTTACCACAGGGGCACCTGGCCTCATCGTTCTCAGCAGGCATGGCCGATGCCCTGTGTACGCCCCTCTGTCATTCCGCAAAAGTGCGGAAAGTTGAAGGCTAGCAGGAGTCATCAAACGTTGTGCATACACTCGAAGTCGGGAAGAATTGTGGAGGAGCAGATGGCCCACTCTGTGCCGTCGGCTGCAGCTCAGCTGGAATTGGCGGATCCTTTTGCTGCAAATCAACTAGTTAAATGGAGCTAGTATTCTACGCGACTATTTATGCATAAATCTAAAGCTTAATGCTGGTGGTTTGGAGGCGGGGAATCGTACGTACAGCAGTACTTCTGGCACCGGGCAGGCCTTTCGCGCCGAGGCGCTGCATGGTCCGTTGTTCAAGTGTTTCGGGTAAATCGATCCTTCGTTTGTCTGTGGGCTGATTTTTTTAAAAAAAAGCCATTTAGATTCGCACGTAAAGCTACAATGTGCACTTGATGCAATGGCTTTTTGCCGCTGTCTTCGCGCTACAGCTTCTACATTGTCAAACTTCGGCGAACACCAGCAGCCCCGAAAATTATTGCCCAGGGGCCCCTCGGAAAAACATGGGGGCCCAAGCTACTGATAAGGCCAGAGCAATGGAAAATTCCGACATCTTTATTCAGGCGCTTACGAAAAACCTACAGCTGACAAGTGGTCTGAAAGCTCAACAAAACAACACGAAACGCGCCACACTCAGATGCATCGCTGCATCTGAACAAATGCAGCCTCAAATTTCCCCGTGAAGGCGGAGGGCTGTGGCACCTTACCTATCATCACATTCCTGCAAACTAGCTTAGAGGACCAGGAAAGTCGGCTAGGCATCTCTGCTTCTCATAATGACCAGAAGTTTGGACCTTGCGTTGAACCCCCAATTATCAAACCCAAATGAGACACTCGACGCGCCTGCACAATCAGGGCCTAATCGCAGAAAGCTGCCCACTGCCAGCGAACGAAAAGTAATGTACCCCAAAGAAACTAGACTCCAACCAGCCTAACTGAGCAGTTCACGGTTCATTGCCATCCCCTATAGTGAATTCGATTTGGCTATGAATGGAAGGCGATGCTCCATTCATTGAGTTATAGCGCCTATAGCTTTGGCTGAATGCGTAGGGTTCGTTCTGGAAAGGTTTCACGGAGCAAAGAGGTAGCAAATGCGAGAATTCAAAGGATTATGACGGTAGGTCCTGGGGAACTCGGGTAAGTATTGGGCTGCAGGGCTTCTAGATTCAGTACAGAGCAGCTATACTATATTTTGCCGTGCTACATTTGTTGGTAAGACGCTGCTTACCGGACAAAATTAAGTCCATAGGAGTGTTCCAAGGTTAACTTACGACAGCAGCTCCTAGCCCAACTTACCAAGCAATCCTGGCAAAGTGGATTCAGTCTTGAAGTGCAAGAGTTGCTGCTGCTCCTAGTAGCAGAAATTGTGATATATTTCATATGAGCATTAAAGTTTGATGCGTGCTACACGACTCTTCCTATTGGTGTCCGCACACTTCAGGCAGTTTTGCCAGTATAGCAAGAAAACCTGCTGAGGTGAGACACAAGAGCTAGTTGCTTTGATTGCTTCAATAGCAGAGTGACGAAATTCTGTGCTTCAGCAGCAGGCCCTTTCAATGTTGCTTGTATGTACTCCAGTTTTCAGTTGAAGACCTTCTCGAGAATCTGTCGAAGGACAGCACTCCTCAACAGTAAAGGCACACATTTAATAGGACTTTAAGGCTCCTTTCACAAGATTTTCAAAATCTACATATGATGACTGAATTGGGCTACTGAGAGCATTGCTAATTTAACATAACGAATGTATGCCAGTATTCAGTGGATGCATTCAGCGGAACGAACAAAGACGAAGAAAACCCCGTGGGGTGCACAAAAAAGTGCACCAACAGTTGTCCCCCAGGCACTGGTAGCAGCCTTCTAGCAAGCAGTAAGTGATTTCTTGTGGTATCACCTCGAGACCATCGGCGGTTTGCTGGTGTGCTCGTCGCTCGGATTGTCAAGTAGCTTCTGCAAAGTACTTTTGGTAGTCACAAGCTCTGGCTGACCCCTATGGGATGACAACCGAACAGGGCAGGTAACGATCAACCTACATGATCCATTGATTCACTGTCTCACAGGGAGTGAAACGGCTGAAAAACTACATGTCTCTGAGACGGTAAGGACAATGGAATGCTAAAAAAATCTGATGCTCCTCACTTCTGCACTGCATTGTGAATAGCTTTCTTATAAAGGCCTGAAATTCTGGTGTTCAAAGGCTTTAGCACTCTGTTGCCTCAGACAATCGAGGGACCGTGGGAGGTAGAAGGAGTTTTGGGCCTAAAAAGCGGTCCGGAGCATGTTGAACTCGAGAGTACTAGCCGAGCAATGGAAGGAAACATGAATAGTATTGGAGGGTCTTCAACGGCTGAAGTTAATAAAGCTGCTGTAGGATCCCACTTTAGCATAAAGCCGTCTTCTCCTGTCAAAAAAGTGCCGCATTTTGGCTGCTAAAGCTTTCGATCTGCATTTTCGGGGCGCTTGGGCGACTGGGGTCTCTTGAGAAAGTTCGTTTTGGTAACCTTGGTTCTAGTCACGGGCTAGAGCAATTACGAACTTGTGTGCAGAGCCTGGCAGAGGCGAGTCTTCGTAATGCTAGGCTTGAGTAAGACTGCATGATTCAAAGACTATTCTGACCTTCTAGTCCACAAAATCTGACGCAGCTCGCAACTGCAACCATTGCAGTGTCTCGTCTTCAGATTCAGTCTCACAACACCCCGTACATTTTCTAGGATTTTTACTCTTATTCATACGCATAGTCCTGTCAGTATTAATGTTCCCGACCTGACTGTTCAAGTATCTGTTAGTGTGGCATCAGGGCGGAAACTCAACAGCTGCGGCATGAATTAATCTTGCTAAAGCGGCGTATGCAGTGCGAATCAGTAGCCCTACAGGCGCAACACGACGCCAAAGCAGCCGAGGAGAGAGCAGCGTGGGAAAACGAAAAGCAAAAGCTCTTGTTTAAGAATCAAGCCCTTCAGACAACTGTGGACCAGTAAATCTTAGATGCTTAGCTTCCTGGAAAGGAATCTGATCAGCAACTAGGCAGCATATCGTACTCAGCAAATAATGTGTAGGATGGCGTTAAACTCGAAGAATTCTTGCTGTGAAAGTTGTGCATAATGGTTTAAAACTGCTTTTATTCTTCAGAACCTTGGCACGATACGAAGAAGATGTGAAACTTTTGGGAAGAGCCAGGGGATCCGTGCTACAGCAACAGCAGGTTGAACAACAGCAGCAACAACAACAGCTTCAACTACAGATGCAGCAGGCGCTCCACTTCGAAAGAGAGCATTGGTCTGCAAGGCTTCGAGCAGCAAATGATGAATGGCGAAAAAAATTGGAAGATGAAAGAAGGGAGGCAGAGGCAAAACTTCTTCAGGCCCAACAGCTGAAAGTATGTGTCATCCTTCGTCCCTGGGGCCTAGCGTTACCCCTTGCAGCCTCACTACATCGACATCCAGGTAGTCATCCGCTTCTTGGCTTTCTGCAGAGCACTTCCATGAACCCAAAACTGAGCCCAGTATACTTTAAAAACAGCCTAAGACATCACGCGCTGTTCAGGTAATCCTCAGTTGGTGCGTCGCGTCAGGCAAGCACATACCGTGTCTTTATAGTGTTCTTGGGTATGGATTTCCCACTGAGTTGTTCCTTGCTCGTGCTTTCCGGTTTGTACAAGGGGCCTGCATTTCGCGAGCTACAGTCACTGATATTGGAATCAAGGCGGACTTCTGACGAGTTCAAACATTTGCTACTCTCTCTCCAGCAGCACCAGCGAGGAGATAGCAAACAGAGCGACGCTCAATGTAAAGTAGGGGACCTGGATGTCTCGGTGATCCTTAACTGCATTTCTCAAAAACAACCTATTGAGGTGCTTTGCCGTAGCGTGTGCTTTGCTGTTGATAAATGTGCTGCTTCTCTTGCGCTGATGCGTTCATCAGGCCCACGATGAACGGCTAGCAGCTATGGGAGATGCAGTAGCAGCGCTTCAGCAGCAGCAGCAAGCACTCCTACTAGTGGCGCAAGAAACAGCAGCGCTTCGTGAAGACACCGAGCAGCGTGCTCAGACCACTTCTACTAAGTGAGAGCAATGCCTTTCTGGCTGTGTACAGTCCACACGATTTTTGTTTCTAAAAATTCATTTCTCACAGGTAGTCCGGTAGCCATCTTTGGGCCTTGTTACCTGTTCGTATTTTACGAATATCAGGCATGGCTGACACTCTAAATATAGCCCATTTTTCGTGGCAGTGTCTCGCAAAACAACCTTTCAGCACAGCAAGTAGAAGTGCATGTATGAGGTATTTGCCTTTCAATGGTTAGGCTGGCCGAAGAATCGCTAAAGCTACAGGATCTCCATCAGTCGCTGCTCGAAAGCAGACAAAAGCAGCATCAGCTGGAGCAGCAGCAGCAAGAGCAGCTGCGGCAACAGCAACAGCTCCTTGAGGAGCAGCAGCAAGCATTTGTTCACAAACAGCTGCAAGCTGAAGCTGAGGCAGCGACACGGCAATTAGACCTCGAACAGGCAAAGTCAAACCCAGTCTCTAGTGACCTAACCCTGTTGCAAACCTTTAGTCATAGCCAACTTAGTTAATACAAGCCTCTGCTAATGAAGCAATCGGAAAACCAGTGCGGATGATCCTTGTGAGCACATGCTAGATCATGGCTAACAACAGAACATGTAGAAAAGCGTTTACGCAACAGCGTGTTTACCAATTAAAATAATAACTTATCAGCAAAGTGTAAGCCTGGCAACATGAGTACCGCCTTTTGAAACAGTCCTGCGTCACAATTGACCTGCAGAGAGAACGCGAAATAGAGAGAAGGGAAAATCGTCTAGCAGGTGCAGCGTCGTTCCAAGAAAAGCAAGACCAAGCTCGCCGCGAATATTGGCGAACCGCTGAATCTCATTTACTTAAGCTTCAAAACGAGCTGCAGAAGGAAAGGCAAGGATCATGAACACGAATGCAGCTTTCTGACCACTGCACTGCGTTACAAACACGCCTCCCCCTCTATTCTATTCGGCACTCGCTACTGCTGCATAAGAACACCACATTCAGCTATATAGATGTATTTCTTTCGGCACGTGTGATTTATACCATGATTAGCTTTTTAGACAAACTGCTGCAGTGAGGGGGGATGGCCACTGCTATCTGGATGCTTGTCCCCGTCAGAACCCCTTTTTCTGGGCTTTTGCCGGAAAGACGTGGTCGTTGTAGCTCCATAGAGCACGTTAACCAGATCCGTGGCTGCCTTGTGTAAACAACTGCCGTGTAGCTGTGTAGTTGTGTGTTCAGGCAAGAATTGACAGAGACAGCACTTGCACTGGACGAAAAGCGGCGTGCACTCCGATGGTGTTATGAAGAAATTGAAACACAACGATATGCCATAGAGAGCCGAGCAGCTGCTGCCGCAGCGGAAGCAGAGACGGCTGCTGAAGAAGCTCGCAATGCCAGGATGCTTCAACAACAAGGCCTGCAGGCAAAGGAAGCTCTTCAGCAACTTCACCGTAAAACAAAAGATGTGCATACCACGCGACACTAATTCATACTAACCCATGCTGGAGGAATACAGGATTTAGTCTAATAAGATGTTGGTTGTAAAAGGGTACCTAGAAAGGGTATACACATGCATGTCCATAGACTTTCGGAGACGTACTATTTAAGGGCTAGCGGGCACAGGGGAGACTTGAAGTCGGAACAGCGGAAGGAATGGTGTAGCTGGGATTCAACCAGGACGAAAGACGGTGGAGCTGCTCATAAGGCTTACAACCAGAGGCTCAAAGTTGTCCATTGTATTGCTATTAGAATACACACCGCTATGCTAAACAGAATGGTGTGATGCATCGTTGAGAAAGGGGAATACGCATGTACACACGCTGGAGACCTTATCTACCACCAACTATTTTTCGCAATGCTGAGCACACCACATGGAATAATCGTTCACAAAGAAAACTGCCAAACGCCTTTGGTGAACGCTTTTTTTGCAAAGCCTTTTATTTAGAGAGTCCCCCCCAAATTTATCTTCATCGTAAGTAGCTGTTAAGCGGCTATCTTAAATCGCTTAGTAGTTCAAAAGCCAACTTGCTTCCTTACAAGTTCGGATATGTGTTTTTTGAGAGCAGGCCGAGAAACGAGAGGCGGAGCAGCAGGAGATTATCAAGAGCCTTGTCAAAGAATTAGAGACCAGCAAACTGGAGTTGCTACGAATGCAGCAGCAGTCTGGTCAGCTGTATCTGTACCGCCGCAGAAAACCGCTTGGCCCATGCGGCAGTCGTGATTTCTCAGCAGGTACGTCCAGAGCTCAGCTTCCTTTTATTCCTCACCATAGACCCCCCTTTTCCTGCAGAAACAACAAAGAGCTAATCTATATAAGCGTTGACAGGGGCGCCGCGCCTGCTGTAAGTAAGGAACTCGTTTTGCTGAAGGGCCACGCTCAGCCAACAAAGTGGCATTATAGGCTGTGTAATCCCTATGCTGAAGGTGTGGCGAATGAGAGCAGCCTGATAGTATAGAAGAGCTTCTAATGTATATCCAAATGTGGAACAAATGCAGTACACCACCAGTAAGAAGTGTCTATCTCGCATCAGACCAGTGCGGCTAAAATATTCGCTTTGATACCAAAGTAAAACGGCTTTGTGCTCAGGAAGTTTTCAGAATGCAATGGAGTCACTTTCTAAGGCCAGTTCTCTGCTAGTTCAGAAACGAAGAGCAGCGCACGAGAGGCTTCTGGCGATTAAGGGATTCAGCACGAGGTAGCTGGGTATCAACTTGCTTTACCTGGCCACAAGCAAATTATCCCGCTGGAGCGGCATCCTAGTTTAGCTAGACCCTCTAGTCTGCCAAAGCTTTTATGTGTCTTAAGCACTGCGGCGTCGAGCTTGTTGCAGCTCGAAGGGTTTTCATCAGACGATAAACCCCAAGACTTCCCGCGCGGTGGTGCCAGCACCGCAAGGTGGTTTTCTGGACCAGCTGCCAGTAGTTGTTCCTTCGGCACTGCATACTAAGCAAAAGTGCATTGCTCCGTTGAATCAAAGTGGAGAAAAATCAGGTCAGCAGAGCCAGTTGGCCTGGCTTCGACCAAAATTTGTGTTTTTCTATGCACCATTGCGCTGGACTGCTAAAGAAAATTGATCAAATATTTCCTCAAACAATCTCATTAACTCATGTGCGTTTACTTTTCCTGGTGTCATTCAGATACTCAGATAGCCCACTCTACTTAGACAGCACTTACTTAGACAGCACAGGGATATATCTGGCTTCTTTCACACCCCTAGATGTACGAAAAAAACTGTTTCATGATTGGGAAGCAAAGAAATTATGTCGTTCCCAAAGATGAAGCGTTGCGGTGCTTCAGGAACGATGGGATCAACATGCTCCTCGCTTGATAGTCTCGACGAGGCCGGTACTACGCCACAGGCAAAATAGTTGCTCTCCGCAAGTAACCAAGCGTGGATGCCAGGAAAGCCATTGCTGTTTAGCGGATTAGCTTTGGGGACACAGAACAATTGGATGCTCAGTGCCATAGCCTTTGGCCTAGTAGAATACTCTTGTTGTTAACACTATATTATGAAATCCCTACAACTATAAATTATTATGGAATGCCGAGCCGAGGACAATGGAACTGTGCAGTGGGTGCTCAGGCATGCAATATGGGTAGACATACGGCGACCTTGGTAGCGACCTAGATTACGTGGCTTCAAATTGAGTATTCATGTATCTTCATGCTTGCACATAAGGACGTCGGATGGTAGGATCCAATTTATGGTAATTAGCTGCAGGAATGTATGATCAACTAAGCACACATGCTGCAGTCAAAGCGGGTACAAACCCATTGTTCGCGCATGTACAATAGTCTCGAATGCCCTTTGCGCAGTTGAGGGGCCAACCTGATTTTTTGAGAAGCTTGCAACTCTCATAGGAGCCAGTATTGCTGCTTCTATTCCTCCTTTAATTTGAAAAAAAAAAACCGATAAAACTATGGAAGTTCACTGTTTATAAGATAGCTCGCCCATGCAACCTGGCCACAGACTGCTTCGTTGTGTTACCTTTTAGTCCACCTTGTAAGGCAAGCGGAATTGTCGAGACTAAGGGTCATTTTCACAATATCCACCCGATCGCCGCTTGTTATAAATCCATGCTTTTTCTTTATCACTGTGCACATATCCGCGTGCACTAGCCAGCAGCCCAATAAATCCCTCGACTAGTAGGGTAGCTGGTGACTGACTGCGGGGCTATAGATATAGGCTTAATCCAGAAAGAGTGTCATTCGTTTAGACAGTCGATACGGCATTCAAATAGGAAGGCCAGTAAACTTCTGCGATATAAAACCACGCAGTAAGCGAAAGCAAAGCAAGCCAAGCAGTCGAATTTACGTAAGCATAGAGTAAAAAACCTGCAGAAAAGTGCATTTGAAGTATTCCGTTTGTTTGTCTTAGTCAGAGTGTTCCGAAGCAGTCATAATATGGTCAATATTCAAGAGGCTAATAAAGACACGCCACCTACGCGGTATGCCAGGAAGCACTAACGATCCTGGGGCCGCTATCCGTAATCGTACTTTTGGGGTTAAGCGTGAAGCTTCAGATATGAGTTTTAAATAATTGAGAGGATTCTTGACTTGTACTAGGAAAGAGCTAAAGCACAGGAGGAAATGAGCACATGTGCAGAATGTGTTAACAACGCCGTAGATGCACTACTCTCCTCTGACACTGTCAGTTAAATAATGAAGTCCATGGCCTGATCAATACAAGCCTTTCTAGAATCGGAAAGCTTCCCTAAAGGCTGGCTCTTACAGAATTCCGGGACTGCAGCTGCTGACAATATGAGCATCACGGTGCGTGCTCCTCTGCCACTGAATGCATCCCAGGCCATTAGAAGGACCCTTAAAACTTCTCAATTGTATTTTGGATTCCACCGTGGCCCCCAAAGCACAACCATGTGTTTCTCGCGAAATGACCCAGTGGATCGTTGTTGTGGGCTACGAACGACGGAGTCAGCGCGGTATTTTCAGCCACAGCACACTACCATCAAATCGGTAGTCCATCATCCATTACCACTCTGGGCAATGCTAGCTGATGTATGTGTGTCGGAAGCGCAAGGCTTAACCACTTTCGCCAGAAAACGAAAGATACCCTGCTACACAATGGCGAATTCTGAAGAATCCGAGAGCACGTTAGTGGCCATAGTGTGATTCCCTTACTATCCGTTAATGTAGAGTCGTGCCGCCCGAGGCCCCCAAACCTACGACCAACTGTAGAGAAATGTAATTTTTTGTAGATTTCCATGAGGTGCATTAAAGGCTCATGATCGGTCTGGGAAGTAGCATGACGCCCACATAAATAGTGCCACCTTCCACGCTCTAGCATTTGGCATAATTACTGCCTATAGGTAAATATCGCTGCTTGCCTTATGTAAATTAATGAGAATAGCAGGCAATGATTTGGTACTTTGAAAACTAGTAGCCTGTTCTAGGAGAATAGCACCGACCGGTATCTTTCTAGCATCGATAGTTCAGAAGGAATGGTGCTCACAGTCGGGAAACGCAAAGCAGGAGGAGGTGTAAGGCGGCCGCTAGGAGTCCTACGTGCTGCATCAGCTTCCAATTTCCAAGTAACAGACCGTGTATTCTTCAGTATCTCAGTCATGGGGCAACGATTTGAGAGAATGAATGAGGTACGTGCTGGTAAGTAGAATGCAGGCAAGTAGAGCTTCGAAACGTTCTTGCGGGTGCGAAAAGTAAATGCGACGCCTTGGTTGCTTCAATCTTTGCGGGTTTTGGCTCAATTATTGCAGCCAAAACACGGAGTCGTCGACGCGTAACCTTTATAGTAAAAATATAAAGTGGTGTTCCCTCACATACAACTGCTTGTCGTGCAGTAGCTGAAGCGCACGCCGCAGGTGCTGACAGTGCTTTGAAGGCATCAACTGAATAGCACGGCCTTATTAGGCCCACATAAGCCCCGAACACCTGACACTGTAATTTAGTTGGAGCGCTAAATATCTTAAATAGCATTCAAGTGCGAGTGAGTTTGCGAGTGAAAGCTTGAAAGTTCGTTTTTCGCTTGTCATCTGGGTGAATCGGGATTTGTGAAAGGCGTCTGTGGACTCCAGTGTCGAATAGACGGTTGCCTCGTGAACTTTCTCATGTACTTTGCTAACATGAAGCGAGGAAAACTAATGGTGTGCAGTAACTCTATCGAGAGGCTTCAAAACAGCTCACAAGAGCCACCTTTCGTCCATCTTCGGCATCAGCGCAGTCTTGTGCCCGCGGCGCTACTAGATTCCTGCACTTGAAGTATTTTAGCCAGCATTTTCCAGCCGCTTGACCTCAATATGTCGTCAAATAAAACTCCACTACAGTGGAACATATATTGAGCCTTACCCGAATACTAGCTCAATACTGTGCACTACAAAACCAGCAGGTGTGCAGCCTGCTGGCAGCTCACCGTAATTTAGCACCTCCGCAAACTCCTTTTGAATAGTTTTCCCATCCTTGCAGGTACTCGGCCGAAGTCTTATAACATATAGATTTCAAATCCAGTAAGATCCTGTCCTTGATCAGATCTATTCTCCCACTACACTGCGAACCCGCACACAATGGGCTCTGCCTCACTTCGTTGAACTTGCACTGCCCTGGAGATAAGGAGAAAGAGCGAAACTGCAAGCTTTGTTGCCCTTTCTATTAAAATGATCGAAACGTTCGCCGATTGCTGTACAGGAATGCAGTGTAGTCCTTCCACGAGCCGTGCAGCTGTTTACACAATAATAATTCATATAAAAGCACTCCCTCACGGAAAAGGATTATGTCTGCTTGTAGTTTGTACTGCGGAAGCAGTACAATTAGTGTGTAACTATGTTGTACTGAATACGGCACTACCAGAACTTTCTGTGTCTCATCCACAGTAAAATCTCGTACTACTGGCACTGACCACTCCGAGAAGGTATGCTGCAGATACCCTAGCACCTTGAGGCACCACACGCGGCGTGCACTGTGGAAACACTCATGAACCCAATAGATTTGAGTAACACGCTTCATAATATACTAATGTACTGCCCGCTGCCCAGTGTATGGCTGTGCGCAGCTTGATCCAGAAGACATAGAAAAGTCTTTGTTTGTTTGAAGGGGGGGTATGTTTTGTAGATGGTACGCCTGAAAGCGCTGTGCGTGTGATAGTATCTGTACCTCATCATTGCGTGACTTACATCCAGTCGCCCAAGTTACAATGTAGCCAAGGTCTTTCGTAATTAGATACGCATAATCCACGTGGTGAATATGCAGGAAAATCTTTCGTTGCATTTGCTTGCAGGGTATTCCGTCACCATTGGACCGTTTTCATAAACTCAGGTGACCGTCATACTTTACGCTCAAACCGGGTAGAGCCTTACCAGTTTTGAGAATCACAAATTAGTGTGTAATTAGCGGCCGTGATTCCAGAGTGTGGTGCAATCGACTGCGTTTTGGAAACATGTGATCCTTAATTTTGTGTGAAGGGAGACATGCATGAGAGAGCCGAGGCTGTATTCACTGGCATGGTATGGAAAATGTTAATAGAGCCAAACACGTGCAAATGGCATACCAATGGGCTGTCAGATATAGCGCCTGCTACGGAGGCCACAAGTGCAATGCACCATAATTTTTCCCTTAGCCTTACTGCAAAGCATGGGCTGCGAGCCGCTTGACATGCTAGATTCCTTTCCAGCGCACACAGCTTGCACTAGCTTTAGTGCGCGAGCTGCAAAAAGTTTGACCTGCCAGGGGCGCGAGGTTCATTACACGCCAAAGTCCAGGCGATGGCATAGGACGCAGGGAAAAGCTGAGCTGGCTCTTAAGAGAGATATGCACAAGGTACTGCATGCACATGCCGACCTCGAAACCGCTTCACATGTCTTCCTGGAGCACGAGCGTTGCATTTCACTCAAGGCATCAGCCTCAACAGGTTGATCCCACCCACTGATATGCGCTGGAAGTTTACTTTGTGCGTAAACAGCATCTGAAACACTCAAGGTCGACCGACCTCGTAGCTACAGGTAGTGGCCAGAGAAGCTTTTAAATCCCTGTACACGACTTCTGGTGGCATGTACACGTTAGCAATAGCGCATGGGCTCATTTCCGCAGATGTAGAAGTCATAATGCAACAGCATACTCAGTTTTAGAAGCACGAGTAAGGAGCCAGGATTATAGTTAGGTGATGCCGTTTTCCTTTGTTGCAAGCTGGCACAATGGACCCTCCGTGAATTCGCCGTAGCCATGCGCAATGCCTGACAAGGTGAATGGAGAGCACTAGTGTAAATTGAGTAGGTTCGAATAAAAAAAATATCTTTTCAAATAATGAATATTTTATCACACACTTTGGCTGCGTATTTTGGGTGCAAAATCACATATTCCAAATGGCTGGCGCACAGCGCGTCACCACTCTTTGGGGTGATCGGCCTAGGGTGTTTGCAGCTGCCTCATAAAGCTTCAACCTCATAAACATTTAATTTGTGGCACGCACAAAAACGCTCCCAGGTATTTTGCGGCTTTTCAACCTGTGGGTATTTGGGGCACTGGTGAATGGGTCTGTGTGCGCTTAGAAATAGGGCGCTGCACCACCTGCACACAACTTGTGCGGATGTGACGACAAAGATTTTAAGTAAAGAGGTATACTTGCGTGTATACACATTTTTTGCGGCTAACATATTCTGCTGCGAAGTTTCACGTTGTCTTCTAACACCTGATACTGAGATCCATGGTGTATGGATGGCGACAGCAGCAGTGAGACCCTCAGTGTTGCGAGCACTTGAATGCGGTGCTGCAGGTAGTTTTTTCTTTAATACAAGAGTCTATACCCTTTGGTATTATGCCTTATCCAGTTGAGCAGCTCAACTGGCTAATCGGGGTGCGGATTAGAAAACAGGAAGAAATCCATGATGGCCTGCTCAAAACACATTCGACAATATGAACATTGGCAGTCGATAATGCATATAAGTTATATACCACTATAGCCATAGAGGTAAACACAAATCTGAATTACTCAATGGATGGTAGGCGAGCCTAGCGCTATGCCATACAGGAGCTGGAGTCATCTTTAGAGGCACCCTTCCATTCACAAGTACCTTCCCCAAACATTTATGTCTAATAAAGCGCAGTTAGTGAGTAGAATGCCCGCGCAATGATATCAGTATTCTTGTCGGCACAGGGGCACGGCTCTAGGCAGAGGCGTGCACGCAGGATATGGACATCGAGACTAAATTACACACTGTCTCATTACCAGCGAAACCGATCCGCACTTAACTCTACAGTTTTTCCTTACTAAAGGCAAAATTAGCTTGCCTGATGCACAAATGATTGTGGCATGCTCAGTGTCTCTTCCGACATATGAAGCTAGCGACCCCATGAGCTCCCCCTTGACGGATGGGCGAGTCACTGAATCTACGCTACCACACCGCTTCCTGTTTGCCCAGTTCGTGACTTCCGCTGGTGTAGAAATGATTCTTAGCAAGTTTGAGCCACATATACTTTTCATACCTTCTATTTCCAGACTTCAATTGCATTACTTCACAGTGGTATCCCGTGCTCAATGAGGGCGTGCAACGGTAGAACACTGCCGCTATCTCAGTTTTGAGCGTCGATCATCTGACTGCATTTTTCTCTGCTAGGCGCCTATCCCACTGCTCTCTCTCAATGACAGCCCTTGCAGGCCGGTAAATCCAGATCCGGTTCTTGTGACTTCCATACGTCGTACGTGTGAATGAAGTGCATCAGTCTACTCAGGTGAGAGCAGACTTTCACTTTGGCTCTACCCCATTCGAATAGAGCCTTCTATACTTTTGCATAATCTAAAGCCTTTGTCGGTATATCCCCTCATATTTTTGCACTGTGCAACGCCGTGATCTTATGCCCCGCGCGATGAGGAAGTTCAAGGAACTAACGGTTCTGGCCGCCATGGTCCTAGCCCTTTCAAACCAGAAAAGGACAGAAGCATGGAAGCCCCCACAAAGTCTCGATAAAGGAGCAGATGAAGCATTTAGTGCGCAGTCTATGGTTGAAACCAAATGGGGAACACCTTATACGTATGTGACCGGGTTCCAGGTTCCTAACAATTCTCTCGTTTATTTATTTGAAACTGCATCGGGCACGGCCAAGGGTTATGACGTGGAGGTTGAATTCCGAAACGAATGCGCTGGTATGGGCACTCTTGTGGACAGCGAGAGGTCGGAAGTCTCTGAAAGATTTTCCAACATCTCCAGTGCAGATGATTGCCAGGAGCTGTGCGGTCAGACGAGGAATTGCGTCGGAGCAGCTTATGATGAGTCTGCATCAACATGCAGTCTGATGAAAAGCTTGCGGGGGCTCACGCAAGGCTTGTCGACAGTGGTTGTGCCGTCTTGCGACTCGGAGTGCTTTCAGGAAGGCAAGAAGATTAGTGAGAGTGGAACTTCGCTGGGCTTCGCCCCCAATCCAAATATTTGCCAGGCAATGTGTGAGGGGGAGCCGACTTGCCGCGCCTTCACATGGACGTGGACGGATAAACAATGTTTCTCTTATGCGAATGGTACGGTTATGGTAGCCGCCGATGACGCAGTAAGTGGGCGAAGGGCAAGCTGCTCATTAAGCAGGAAAGAGGACACTTATGCAGAATCTTGCATGGTCAGCGAGCTTAGCTCGAATTTTTACTCTCATGAGATTCTGGGAGGCATGGGTAATGTAAATTTCTGCAAAATTGCCTGTCTCTCTAGGAGCGATTGCAATTATATTACCTACAATTCATCAACTAGAAAGTGCTACATCAAAAGGGGACGAGGATCATTGGTCTTTTCCAAGCGTGCAGACTCGACTGGGCCGAAGTACTGTGACACGAGCTGCTTTCTAAAGGACATTGAATACGAAGGGGAGAGAGTTGCCACAACGAAAGCAGACAAGGCTTCTCACTGTCATTACGAATGTTTTATCAATTCGAAGTGCATCAGGTGGACCTACGAAGAGAGTACACAGGGATGCTACTTCTTTGGGGAGACTAATACTGCTGTGGGTGCACGTTCAAAAGGCTTTTGGAGTGGCCCTAAGGGTGGCTGTGGGATCGAGCCGCTCTATGCCTTGGCTGCTCCAGATTGTGCACTTAAGGGAATCAAATACAGCTTAGTGCCGCTTCAAGCTGTGTCCACAAGCACTGCCACGGAATGCCAACAGAGATGCCAAGCCGATTCCAATTGCAAGACGTTTGCATTCAATACGACGGTGAATGCTTGCGAGCTACACGGAGCCACCACCAATTATCACAGAAGAGACAACCACTATTTCATATCAGGTCCAAAAAACTGTTAGTGACAAGAGGACAGCTATAAGTACTGTGGGATTGTCCGGCCGGACGTGATAGAATCAGTTCAGCCGACAAGTGTCAACTGAGATGGCAGCCACCCACGACAGAAGCACTGCAAATTTCGGAAACAAGCATGCGTCTCCACAGGAGCAAGTATTTTTGGAGGGTTCAACACGGAGCCTGCAGGATGCAGACGATGGTATGACCACCTGGGCGCTTCCACTTTGTCCATCAATCATAAGAAAGTTGTGCGTAGTGCTGTCCGGCTAAGGAGGGGATGTGCAAGGGGAGAGGCGGGTATCTGGCCCTTTACAATGCAGTGCTGACGCTTCGTGCTCCCATAGGAACGCGATGTTCGAGATTGGCGACAACAATGGATTGGCAATACGTGAACCTGCAGAACTGTGCCACGAGGGGCGTGCAAAAGGCGTCCGGTGCAAGTTTCGTGCATTATGGGCGACCTAGTGTATTCTCGAGACCAATATTCATGAGACATTCAACTTGAGTTAAGACCTTCACTAAGTGGATTTCAAGGAATAGGAGGTGAGGACAGTCCCCGTCCAAGAATTCGTACCGAAAGGGAATGGACTACACCTTGGGAACAGTTTTTATCACATTTAGGAACCTAAAGAGTGATAGGTATATGTCTAAAGAAAGCCTCAGTGACGCCTGCCAATGTTGCACAACACTGGAAGAGCTTGCTGGATAAAGATAATTTCGGGGTTTGCCAATACAGAAAAAGCCATCTATGTCACTGTAATTATGTTTCCTCTCGCCTACCCCAGGTGCTTGCATGAAGGAATTACCTGTAAAGGTTGGCCGCTTAGGATGATCACCTGCGTTCTTGCAGAGGCGAAATGCGAGGTCGCATGCATTCTACAATATAGCTGCACTGTTCTCATCCACAAAGAATCTCGGTAGGCGCTAAGTCACCCTGGAAATAGTGATAGCTGCAGAGACGAGCAATGCCGTTTCCATTATAAACCTGTAGTTAGGCAAGTAGAAACAGCGGATGGCATTCCTACTGCATGAGTTCAAGAACATTTCTACTCTCAAGCAGATTAAATCAAACGTGCTTCATTGGGAAAGACAGCAGTGTTACTTCTCTCTAGTTAAAATTGGGAAGGAAACTGTTTCAGATTTGTATTACGGGGCAGGTGCCACGAACGGCTGTGATAAGACGAACTCGGGCGGTTCTTATAATCAGCTATTCTCTCTAGAAGGGTGCTCAAGTACTGGATTTACCTAAGGCTAGCATGGAAAAGAGCTATGGTTTTTAGGACCTTGTAGTAGAGGCCATAAGTCTCAGCTGTACCAATCACGGCTGCCCTAGTACCGTCCTAGACTTTGCTGGATCTATTGCGGCTTTACACAACACGTGTTCCAAGGGGTTGCTCAAGAACATTGGGCGCAAAACTGGCTGCGTCACGGGACGGTGCGTTTTACGAGTATTGATGGAAAATTTCGTACAGATTTAGCAGGTGCTCCCCCGTAGCACAAGTTTGTATCTGCGTAGTGCACGGAGCAGGGTCCGCTACATAGGATTATGCGATCCAAATTATGGTGTTTTCTAGACTCATGCATTGCGGTCCCAAAGTTTGTGAACCTTCCTTGAAGACAAGGTGGGCGGTTCGTTGGCTCTTCTGCACCTCTCCTGTGTAGTGCAAGTCATACACGTAAGTGTTCGAATCACTTTATCACGATTCGCCTGGGCTGCAGAAAAAGGCTTTTTCCAGCACGTCAGGACCCAGAAACGCTCATGGAGGGGTGCTGAACTGCGTGCAGTTATGAAACTGGAGCTAAATTCCAGCTGTCTACATGAGTTACCTTCCCGAAGCGAAAGACTTTTCCTGGAGAGACTATCCATCCTATAGGAGCATCCCTTCACTCACGAACAAGTGGAAAAGGCTCAAAGCAGCAAGGTCGATGCGGTCTTGTACAGAAGTATTCTATTTGGAATGCTGAAGAGCATAAGTTACTGTGAGTCAGCGTACGCTCATAACTTTGAGTAAGAAATCCACACTTCCACCACAGCGTACAGTGCGCGCTCTTGCATTTCAATTTTGCTGTAGGCAGAGTGAATGCGTTTCTTTGTTCTGCCTGTATGCAGTGTAGAAGAATGCTTTCATAGGATGGATTATCTGATTCGATCGTATGCGTATCTCTCCGAAGGTCACACAAACCGGCCGATAGCTCAACTAATGTTAGCGGCAGCGGGTTCCACCCAAACCCTAGGATATCGCGTTTCTCTTGAGCTAATTTTCAACTCTACATCAACCATCATGCACGATGGGTGAGCTACTTGCAGGTAATTGCCTTTGATATCCATGTGTGTATGTGCAAAATCCTCCTGTGTTGCTACCATACCCGCTTACTTTCTGGAAAACGGTGTACACCCAGCTGGCAAGCCACTTCGCTCTGCGCTCAAAGCTGACAACACTGTCTTCGTGAACAAACGACACTTGCTACCAAAGCCGACCACCGCATTCGCGTTCAGAGCATGCATCTCCTTAGGTTGCATAGCCTTCTTTAGAATCCTCTACCATGGACGGGCTGGGCGACATTGGAGGCTTCGCTCACTTGATAAGGCAGTCTAGGCTCCACCTGGTCAAAGGTCACCTTCTACTGTAGCAGTGCAGGACAGTCCCTGCTCGAGAAATTGGGAGGGGCTATGCGACCTCATGGTTTGTCAAGGGACGTCATCAATCAACGATCTCTCCCTCCATATGCTTCAGTCAGCCTGGCCTGGATTCAAAATTAGCTTTGCGGCCTTGGATACAGACTCTTGAATCATAAGCTGCTAGGCCCTGTCGATGAGGCCTTCGGATGCTTGGCAACACTACAACATGAATGACACTTTCTGCCAAACTTCCCAGTACACCCACACATCTTTGCCGTGTGTTGTTCTCTCCGACAGTTTTTATGACTGCTCCACTTGAGCAGCGAGGGCCGCCGGCACTGAGCTACTGTGATACTGTGGCGTATCTTGGCACAGCTTGCTGTATAATTTACAGTGAGCACACCTCAGAAATGGCAGGAGGTGTCACAATGCGTCTACCAGCACTTGGTGCATGCATCAAGGATAAAATACTGTCTCCTTCAGGGTGGGAAAATTCTCAGAACACAAAAAGAAGTCTCACGACCAAGCTATCCATGTCTCGCAGCTGATGTTGTCCTCTTCAGATGTTCCGAAGCATACAGTACTGCCGTGATCACACGTGGATCGAACTTTATCAGGTACCTCGCTGCGTGTCTGGCGTGTACAGAGTCTACAACAGCTAATGCTAAAGATTATACACGGTAAAGTATGGAGCACGCTTCCGCCTTGCGTAAAAGCCACAGCCTCTGCATGCAAGAGTCAAGGCTCTCAATTGTCATTTACAACCGTTCAGGGATTCAACTTAGAACCTAGCTCGGTTGGGATGCCCCATGCCTCCCCACAGCCCTACATGATCGTACTGAAAACGCGTCCTCTGAACACCATTAAACAAGTTTCCCAACACAAGTAGCCTACCAGTTTCTTTCTACGCGCAACCGAATCTACTGCCTCCCATTTCGGCAGACTCATTGGGCTCAGTGGCAACTCATTGTCTGGGCTTACGGCTATTGCATAAGGCGTATCACCCACACGAATATTTGAGCTACTCTCAAAGGAGTGCTTACGTTTAACACGAGAATCGAGGTTATAGAGGTGCTAGCTAACAAGTTATCCGTATTTGCAAAGGAGTGAACGTCGCGCGAATCTCAGAAAACCAGAAAGCTCTTTGCTCAGATAATCAACGTAGCATTACTAAAAAGGTTGGCAATTTTTCATTTTCGCTTTGTATACACGTTAGCGTGTACATGGTGCACGATAGAGGCTTTAGCAGCAAGTAGCCTATCAGGGGGCCCATGACAAATAAAGTTTGTATATGAGGTGTGTAAGGTGAGCGAAATGTGGACCGTAGTACAACTAATAGCGTCTACTGCGCACGTTGACCCAGAAAAGCATAAGGCGAGGACTGCCATGACTAGGCTTCAATCAATTTCTGATGCATTCAAACATCGTCCTGGAGCTCCTGAAGATACCTAATGGGTGGTTTGGCTTGCAAAAATGTAGCTTGATGAAAATGCATTCGAGGGGCATGGTGCTTATGGTGAGCTCAAGTCAATTGCTGCAAGCAGATGGCCCACAAAAGCAACCCATTTCGCATTTGCTGGGCACTCTTTTAAGACTCTGAAGTCTGTTCCGGATTCTTACGAGCTATGCAACAAGCGCGCACGAGGAAAACATCATCCTCCACATACCATTGTGGCCTGATGCAACATGCAGAGGCGGGTAACACGTAGGTATCAGCAGTCGCGTGTGTCACGTGGCCATCTTCCGTCAAATCATGTAAAATGGTCATAATGCACAGCTATATATCCGAGATACTCTCCTCTCGAGCGTCATTTTTGTGATCGAACAGTTGCATCTGCATCTTCCCCTTGTGCACGCCGCACGCATTTGGAAGTCAGAAATAATCTTTACTGTGTGCGTGTGCCGCAGCTGTTTGCCCGCCTTAGCCATTACAGCTTACAGGAAAGTACGAGGGGCAGCTGCAATTTTGAGCAACAGGTCAAACGCATGCCCTCTTCTTAGCGGAACGGGAGACACAGGGTGCCCCCATTATGCTCTACGCAGCACTCCAAGTACAGCGCTCGACCAGCGTGTGGCGAAACTACACTCTCAATCCTGTTTCCACCTGTGAGCATGGTAACCAGATCGGCACTCTGTCTTCAGTCGCAGCTACGTGGCTGCATAGCTTGGGGCAACTCAATTGGCACAAGCCGTGCACTAGCCTAGGAAACGTGCTGCGACTATACATTTTTGATTTGTCAAGTTTTGTGTCAAAACGAAAGCTGCCAATAGTTCTATTCTGTGAGTATCCTTGTTGAGCCGCAAGCGGCTCTATCAGCTCTGTCAAGCTCACAAATACGGATGAAAGGCCAGGTGCTGGCAAGTCCATCGATTCCACTTTAGTGT